TTGGGGGGCAGAGGAGGCGGCGGAGGGAGACGAGAGGTTTGGTTTGGGGGCAGCAGGTTCTTGGTCAGGGTTTGAAGGGGGGTGAGGGGGGTGTTACTGCTGCTGGGGCCTCTGGAGGAGGAGCAGGAGTATCGGAGGCGACGCCGCCGCCGTTGGAGGCGAAGATATTGGAGGATGCGCGGTTGATGGTTTTGGATTTGGAAAGGGAGGCCGTTGGGAGGTTGTTGGTTGCGCAGAATTTGAGTCGGAGGAGAGGCTGATCTTTCCTTGGAGAGGAGAGAGGAAGTGTAACCGGTTGATTGGAGGTGTACAGGAAAGGGAATGGATGCTGGGGAATCTAATGCTTTGAATGGTGTTGCGCTTTTGTTATACCCGGATAGATCGTGCATGATTTCTAGTATTCATTTTGCACTGTTGGGTCTAATGATCTTCTTGTTGATAATGTGATAATACCCAGGCCTTGGTTGCGTACAGTACATTGCAGGTCATGAATAGACAAAAGAAAAGTATGATTCTCATCCCGCTAAGGATTACAACATTCGTGGGGTTCCCTTCACTCCTTGCTGAGGTGAAGAAGATGGGACATAAAGTACATACATGCATATAGAAAAGGAATGGAAAGTCAAATACAACACATCACTTAAGAACCCCGAGAGTGGCCACCACCACGCATTCTCTTTCCAGCTGCTCCATCTCCTCCGTCAGCACCTCCATCATCCCGAGCTCGCTTGTTGCCCTGGGGAACGAATTGACGCGCGTGTGCATTCAATGCGCCCCGACCACCGCCAGGACTGGCCGGGCCTTGCTGTCCCTGACCAAGATTGGCGGTCTGCACGTTTTGATTTCCGCCCCGGCCTTGGCCTCCACGCCCTCCTCGGCCGCGAGGCAAGCCTGAACCGCGCTGGCTTGGCTGACCTTGACCTTGCTGTTGAGCTTGAGCCTGGGCCTGGCCTTGTTGGCCTTGTTGACCAAATGGATTCTGCTGACCACCACCACGACCGCCGGTTCTACCACCGCGCGCAACTGGAAGCCCGGACTGGAGAGCTCTCAGTACACCACCAGAGGCAGCACCGGCTGGAGGTTTATTCGGAAGCGACGCTGGTTGCTTGTTCTGAGACTGTCCAAATGGGTTCGGGGCTGCCCCCTGCTGAGAGGCCATGCCGTTGGCTTCTTGTGCCTGCGGTGTCTCTGTCTGCGGGGTAGCCTCAGGTTGAGCCTGAGCCTGAGCCTGAGCCGGAGCTTGAGCTGAGGGCTGGGCAGCTGTCGAATTTGCCGAAGCTGTCTCGGCGCCCTGCTGGGTGGGAGGGGCAGCGGCAGCGGCAGGTTTGGCTGCAGGCGTCGCTGCCGGCGCCGGGGATGGAGAGGGGGCTGCCGGTTGCGCTGCTACTGGAGCAGGCGACGGTGCCTGTGCTGGAGATGCTGCAACCTGTGCAGGTTTGACCTGAGCTTGAGCAGCAGGTGGTGCCCTGGTGACCTTGGCTATCTCCCAGACCTCGACAACGGGCTTCTGAGGCGTTTCGGTGGCCGCCTTCTGCACCACGTCGAGCTTGGCTTGCGAATTCCTGCACCGAGAGTCAAGCATACTGAGCTTGGCGAGGGACTTCTTATCGGACAGCTCCACAGCAGCTTTGATCTTTTCCTCAATGCCTTCTTCGTGAGCCTTCTTCAGGGCTTCTCTCTCCTCGTCAAATTTCTGCTGCAAAGCAGCCGCAGCCTCCGAATTCTGCTGGGAGCCGCGCTTTTCAGCTTCCATCTGTTTAGCAACCTGCGCGCGGATGTTGTTGCGGATGATTGTTTTGATGGTTTCATTCTTTGCAACAAGGTCCCTGGCTTGAGCATCTGTCAACGCAGCAGGAAGCCCACCTTCCACAGCAGGAGTCGCGGGAGTCGCAGGAACTTGTTCGCCCTGGTGCTGGCTGGGTGTTGCTGGTGCTTGTGGGGCTGCCTGTAGGCTGGCTTTAAGTCGCTCCACTTCCTGGCGATGCGCTGCCCGAGTCTCTGCCAGCTTGCTGTTCAACGTCTCTTTCATCCTGTCAATGCGTTCCTTGATCTTCTTCTCGTGCTCGGCGTCCTTGGCCGCCAACATGGCATCCTTCTCGGCAAGAGCCGCCTCGAGACGCTGCACCTTTTCTTCGAGGGCCTTGACCCGTTCGTCGTCAGTGGCAACCGCCACCTGGGTTGTCGGCGCCGGGAATTGCGATGCCGGGGTCGAATTGACCTCAGTCATTGCTTCAGGTGCTGGAGCGGCCGCAGCCGGCTTCTCGGCCATCTTTGTCTTGAGTTCGTCTAATTCTTGCTTCGTCTTCGTCAACTCCTCTTGAATCACCTCTTTCTCCTGTGTGACCGTGTTCACCTCCATCTGTTTGGCATTGATGCGGCCAGTAAGCTCCTTGGAACGAGCCTTGAACTGCTCGGTAAGCTTGCTCCGCAATTCTGAAACTCTATCTTCGGCATGTTTGAGCTGCTCAGGGAAGGTAGCGGCTTGAGTTTGAAGGCTGTCACGAGCCTCGATCGCCTCGTCACGCTCCTTTTCTAGGGTCGCAAGCTTTTCCTTGAGTCCTTCCATCTCAGCAGGGTCAACACGGTCATACTTCTGCAGGATATTCTGGGTACGTTGCTGCCAGCGATCACGATCAGCCTGCAACAGCCTCAATTCGCCGTCCTTCGTCTCCACCACATTCTCCAATTCCCTGACCTTCGTCTCCAGAGGCTCGATCTGCTGTACCAATTCTTCGATACGTGCAGACTTCTCCGCAAGGGATGTTTCTGCCTGCTTGACCTGGTTGCGCAACGTGACGCTACTCTCGCGGAACAGATTCAGCTCATTCAAGGTATCCATAAGCTTGTTGTGGCTCAGAGCGTTGTGATCGCTGTCAGCCGCAGCGCGGCGCTGCTGCTCGAGCTTGAGGCGTGCCTCATCGAGCTGGGATTGTGTGTATTCAAGCTGCTGGCGAAGGCGTTTGCTTTCTTGTGTCGAGAGATGATACTGTACGTCAACGATCTCCTTCTCCCGGCGCAGGAATTTGATCACTTCCTGGAGACCCTCAAGGTTGGGAGGTGAGTTCTCAGCATCATCATCACCCTCAGTCATGTTCGCCCGGTCACGCTGCAACGCTGAGATTTGATTCGTGATATTCTCAAGCTGCGAATGAAGCAGAGAGTTCTGATGAAGAACCTCCTCCCGACGTTTCTGCAAGTCGGCGAGCTCGCCTTCATATCTCTCCTTGAGCTCATTCCAACTTTCTTCCTTTTGAGTGAGATCCTTCTTGAAGGTCTCGGCCTGGGTCCGCAGCTCGACCACTTCCAGCTTGAGTTGATTAGCCTCGGAGCGGACTATCTGCAAATTCTTGGCGGCCTCAGCGTGCTTGACCAGTTCGCTTTCGTAGTTTTGTTGCGCATGTTGGGCAATTTCGGTTTGAGCCCGGAGGTCTTCCTTGTGATACTGGAAGGCGGAGTTATGGCGTTCATTCTCATCCTTCAACCTGGCAATTTCGGATTCCAAAACAGCCTTTTGCTCTTCTAAACGGCGGCCAGCCTCTCCTTGCTCATCACGTAACTTAGTGAGCTCGTTGTTCGTGGTGGACAATTCGGAGGAGATCTCCTCAATACGCTTTTCGAGATCCTGAATCTTGTTGTCCTTCTCTTGAATAAGACGCTCCGTTTCCTCCCGATATTCTTCCTGTGTCTCCGTGACAGATTGCAAGCGTTCCTCGCTCTGCTGGCTGATTGCCTTGTAGTCTTCAACCCGCTCTTCAGCATGTTGAAGCTCGTTCTTAGCCAAGTCTAAGTCACGCTTGAGCTCGGACACCTCGATGCTAAGTTCTTGCTCGCGAGTCAAGCCAGACTCCTGGCCTTCCTCGGTCTCGGGCGCTTCAGCCGGCGCAGCAGCAGAGACGCTAGGTCTAGATTGCACGACTTGGAGGCGCTCTTCGGCACTGCGAAGCTCAACAGTCAGCTCATCCACTCTAGCCTGCAAGTGATCTCTGGTTGTCTTGGTGGCGATCAACTCCTCGCGAACCGAGCCCAAGCTTGTCACCAAGTCATCAATCCGCTTCTGACTCTGCTCATGCTCGTACTCTCTGCGCAAAGTGGCCTTCTTCGACTCCTCAACCTCATCATTCAGTTTACGCTTGGTAGACTGCAGTTCTGACTCCAACGACTCGACGCTTTGCTGTAGCCTGCGGCGGCTTTCAGAGTCTGTATGCTCGCGCTCGTTCAGAATGGTCTGCAGGTTTGCGTTCAATGAATCCAGGCGACTCCTCTCGTTTCTCAAAGTTTCATTGTCCTCGATCAGACGCTTCTCGATACTCTTCCAAAGGTCCTTCTCTGCCTTGAGGTTCGCGTTTTCACGCTGAAGGCTTTCCACCAGTCCCTTGGTTTCGACAAGGTCTTCGGCAGCTTGTTGGGTTCTAAGATCTTGTCTGTTGGCATTCTCCAGCAAAGTAGCGTATCGTTTCTGCAACTCGGCATTTTCACTCTTTAGCATATTGAAATTGCTCTGGAGAAGCTCCGCTCTTTGCGTAGCAGCACCCAGCTGACTGCTGGAACGGCTGATTTCGCTCATCAATTCACTATTCTTGCGCGAAAGCTCATTGACCTGTTGTTTCAGAGCGGCGTGGTCGGTGGCGGATTCTTCCCGGAAGTTGTCGAAGTGAGCTTGCACCTTACGTAGCAATTCCGCATAGTCGGGGACGTCCTTGTTCTGCTCGTCCGATGCAACAGGAGCTGCTCCCAGCGGCAGAGACTGAGAGAAGACGGAAGCATCGCCGACAGTTTGGCGGCGACGAGTTAGCATGCTCCGGAAAGTGTCTCTCTCCTTCACATAGCTCTTCGTCTGAGCAACAAGGTTGGAGATTTCGTCGCGGTAAGTCTGCACACGAATCCTTAGCTCCTTCAACTCCTCTTGCTCTTGTTGACGGATAACATCCTGCTCGCGGGCCTCTGCGCCCTCCATCTTATCGCCCAGTTCTCTCAGCATACGGCGAAGCGTGACGTTCTGTTCCTGTAGCTCATGAAGATCCTTGAACGTCATGAGGTTGCGACTGATAAAGCGGCCGGTTGGGTTGAGATCTTCGGACGCGTCATCAATCTCCTTACGAGCAATCTTCTCGAGCTCTTCCCTGTCGTAACTCTCCTCGCCCTCCTTGAGAAGGGCGTTCTCCATCACTAGGAGCTTCACCTGCGAACTCAGGTCTCTAAGCTGCTGTCGTAGAATGTCACCCTCACGGGCCAGCCCCTCCACCTGTCCTTGCCATTTGCGCGCCTCCTTTGTCGCGTCGTCTCTCTCCTTTCCAGCAACTTCGAGGATGTTAGACATCTCCACCACAGCGTTCTCCAGCCTGGCATGGTCGGCCCGCAGCTCATCGATTTCGGGCTTACTGGCCTCCAGATCTTGAACCATTTCATCTAGCGTCGACCGGAGTTCTTGGTTAGATCTCTGCTCTGTAGCCAGCAACGTCCGCATCTTGTCGTATTCAGTGTACAGTTGTGTGATTGTAAGTCCGCCCTTGGTCCTCGAAGCTCTCGGAGAGAAGGTTCCGACAGGTGTACCTGAGCGAATGGGCGTGGTGGGCATTCCTCCGTTGAGAGCCGGGCTCATGGACCTTCCAGCCCGACCATCCGACTCGAGTTGGCTGACAGTCTGCTCAAGCTCCGCAATCCGACGTTCAGCAGCTTCCTTGTCGGCATGCTCAGTCTCAATCTCAACACGAAGTCTGGAGATCTCTTCGGCGGCATCGTCCTTGGCCTTTTCCAGAGCCACTTGAAGCTCCTGCACGCGCTGCTTCGAGGTCTCGGATGAATTACGTTGCAGTTCCGCCAACCTGTTCGTGCTATCCAATTCAATCCTGAACGACTCATTCGCTTGTATCGCCTCCTCCTTCAGTTGCTGGATGCTCGAAAGGGACTCCTCATAACGCTGTTCGACCTCGTCCAAGCGACTCTTCAAAGCATTTTCACTGCGTCTTAAGGAATCAACAGTAGCGCTAGCCTCCTCGTTCTCCCGCTGAAGCTCCGAGATTCGGGCGCTCTTCTCCTTGCGGAACTTCAAGTATTCGGCAGACTTCGTCTTCAGCTCCGTGTCCAACCATTCATTGCTCTTCTTAGTCAGGTCCAAGTCCTGCTGAAGGCTCTGTTCACGGAACTTGGCACTGGCAGATGCAGAGTTGGCAGCCTGAAGGTTCTGTTCGGCGGTAGATAGTTCCCGTCTCAATTCGACAGCCTTCTTGTGTTGCGCGGATAGCTCCTCGGCGAGCTTGTCGTATGCTGTCGACTTCGATTCAAGCAAAGCCATGGTATCACGGTTCGATGCTTCCAGGGATGCGATGCGGGATTTCAATGTGCTCACTTCGGACTCGTTGGTCGTGGAGGACGACTTGAGTGATGCAATCTCGGATTCCAAGGACGAACGAGCGTTTTCTGTAACATGTCAGCAGGCAATCAGTGAAAGGGCTTAAATTCCCTCTGACCTGACTCATGGAGCTTCTTCCTTGTTTCCTCAACCTCAGCGTGGCCCTTCTCGATAGAGTTCTTCAATACTTTGACCTTGCTTTCGCTGCTGCGGACCGCATTGTCAAGTTCTACTTCCAAGCGAGTTTTATCTGCCTTGAGCTCATCGTGTTCGCGTGCTTTCTTAGAGATGGCCTCTAAGAGCTGGTTGACTAATTCGACAGTGGGCGCTTGGGTGAGAGTTGTCAAAGTCGACTCGGCGATGGAGTAATGGGCCGATATGAACGGCAGTTCAATTGTTGCTGTAGCCATGGCTGCTGCCAAGTGCTTGCAGCAAGCAAGCCGTTAACAAGTAATATCAAAGGCAAGTAAGTATCGTCAAGACACAATGTGATGTGTGAATAGAGTGGAAGGTGATGTAGTAGCCAGAGCTACGTCGGCCAGGCTCAACTGCGCGTGGAAGGAACCGTCTGAAACAAGTTGCGCACAGCACCCCAAATGACACCCTATGTCATGAGGGGCGGAGTGACACAGAGAAAAAGAGTGAAGGGGCTTGACAGGAGAAGACTGAAATGAAGACGATGCCCCCGTCGCGCGATAGCTGAGATGATTGAATGAGCGACCGACCGACTTGGTCAAGACGGTAAGTTACGCATTAGCTTTGGGCGGAGCTCCTAAAGCGGAATAGCGCGCATCCGGCCGCGATCACGTGCTCTGCTGGTGCCTGAGCGGCCGCAAGGCTGCAACCTGCAATGTTGAACCTCTAGATCCGCCAGATGACGGCCACTCCCACTTCACCTCTGTTCTTTCATCTTGTGCTTTCGACCACGCGCTTTCGCGGCAGACGGAGACCTGTCCTCGTGGCCGATTGAATTCCTTACGTGCTTCTATGATTTAGTGCTACCTTTCAAACAGAGCTCCTTTGTGCTCCCTCACAAAGAGAGAGGCTTTGCCTCGTCCTTGTTCGCCTCCCCACCTTAGGAACCCCCGGACCTGCGTAGGCGACCCTTGTCTCACTCATTTCGCTTCTGCATCTCGCCGGCCCTGAATCTACATTGTTCGCCTTCGTATTCGCCAAAATGTCCTACCTCCAGCAACAGCTTAAGAGCTTCAACGCCAGTGTCATCGACTCCGCGAGTAAACTTGGACAGCAGAGACGCTTCATCCATAATAACAACGCTTCGCCCTCCGCAAGCAGCTCCCAGCTTCCGTCGTCCACATCTACTCCGACGCCCAGCGGCGGGGACCGCAAGCGCCACGATGCGGACATCGTGTACTCACAGCCGGCCAACACCGGCACGGGCAAGGATATCATGACGCAGGTCGTCTTCGCGATCGAGCACATGAAATCGAAGGGTGTGCCGCTCAGGTTCGCCGACATCGTCTCGTACCTCTCTCTACAGCACCGCGCCAACGACCAAGGCTACGTCCAAGCCCTGCGGAGCATTCTCCAGGTGCACGAGAAGGTGCAGTACGACCCCAGCGGCGCCAACGGCGAGGGCACCTTCAGCTTCCGGCCGCCGCACAACATCCGCACCGCGGAGCAGCTCCTCAAGAAGCTTCAGGCGCAGTCGACGGGTGCGGGAATGAGCGTTCGCGAGCTCCGGGAAGGGTGGCCGAACGTAGAGGATACGATCAACGAGCTCGAGAAGGAAGGGAAGCTCCTCGTGACGCGCAACAAGAAGGACGACCACGCTAAGATGGTCTGGGCCAACGATCCTTCGCTGATCCAGCACTTCGACGACGAGTTCCGGCAGATCTGGGAGAAGATCAAGATTCCGGATCAGCAGACCGTCAAGGAGGAGCTGGAGCGCGCCGGAATCGTTCCCACCAATAAGAACAAAGTCGTTAAGCAGCGGCCCAAGTTCGAGCACAAGAAGGTCAAGAAGCCTCGCCGCAGCGGGAAGACTACCAATACCCACATGATGGGGGTCCTCCGGGATTATTCTCACCTGAAGCGGTAAGAGGGCCAAATTAGATGATGGGGTTTGGGTTTTTGCTGCTTGGGTGATCCGTCCTCGTGCGCTTACTTGATCCTTAAGAGAACGCTCCCAAACTCAGGCCAAGGTACGCCATTTTCTATCTCTTTCTTTTTTGCTATCGCGCTTCGCATTAAATTGGCGTTGGTTGGGGAGGGGATTATTAGACGCAGGAAAGGATATACCTCGATTTCTTCGCAATTGTCGACTAACTCTCATCTACGTTTGGTCAAATTCATCGTCTGGCGGTTGCTATCGCCTTTACATGTGTACTATACAAGCAAAATCGATACCCAAACAATCTAAACAAATTTATGAATGATAGAGCGGATGCGTGTATTAGTTTTCTTTTCCTAAGAATAAGCCTCGAATCCCCATGAATATAGGTATATCAGCCGTAAAGACAAGAATCTATTTTTCCCTTTTTCCCACATCTTTTGTCAACCCTTTCGCAGAAAAAAAGCACCCAAGCCGCGCAAGATGCAATAAACGAACAAATCCAAAGAGCCTGATCCAGATGTACATAGCGAACAGGGAGAAATCCCACTCATAAAGGGAGACGTTTATACAGTAGATGAAGGGGAAAAGCAAACCACAACGATCTACCTCTTTCTTTTGCGCGCATCATGTTCATTGATTCCCATTCGTCGTGACACCACCTTCCGTCTTCTCCACATACTCGACCAGATCCTCGATCGTGCAGACCTTGATCCCCCACTTCTTACCGAAGCGCAGACACCCGTCGCGGCGCATCATGCCGTTGTTGCCACGGATCTCGGGCACCCCGTCGACCAGCTCGCCGTCCTCGACCAGCTCCGCGATCACACCCGCCTGGACCTTGCCCGTCAGTCGACAGAACTCCACCGCCGCCTCCGTGTGACCTTTCCGCTCGCGGACGCCGCCGCTGCGGGCCTGCAGGGGGATGATGTGGCCTGGACGTCGGAAGTCGTCGACGCGGGCTGTGGGAGAGGCGAGCGTGCGGCAGGCCAGGGCGCGGTCCTGAGCGGAGATACCGGTCGTGACGGAGGGGTCGCTCGAGTCGATTGAGACCGTGTAGGCGGTGCCCTTGGGGTCTGCGTTTTCGAGCACCATCTGGGGAAGCGCGAGACGTTGGGCGATTTCGGGGGTGATGGGGGCGCAGATGAGTCCACTGATATGAAAGAGGGAGTTTCAGATTAGCTGGAATTCTTCTTCAGGGTATTCAACGCGTTGATCTGCGGTTTCAGGGGCATGGTGCCGCGGCGAGGAGAGAGAGACGGGCAGAAGATTAGTTCTCACCTCGTGTACCGCACTAGGAAGGCCATCTGGGCGTCGGTGATGGCCTCAGCGGCAATGATCAGGTCGCCTTCATTTTCGCGATCTTGGGAGTCGAGTACGATAATAAATTCACCCTTCTCTGTAGGGCGCAAATGCGTGATTAGTCTCTTCGTGGTGAAATTGCACACAATGGCGGCAGAAGACGCCCTAGGGCGCGCGCAGGTGGTGGGAGAGTTTCCAGGCAATGGTGAGAGACTCACTAAAAGCAGCGAGAGTGTCTTCGATAGAATCGAACTTCAGGCTGGAGTCCGAAGGCGACGCCATGGCTAGTTGTATAATTGGGTCGCTTGAGTGAGGGTGTTTGGATCTGCCCCTCTATGCGGGATTCGACGCGGGGCAACTGTGGCGAAACGAGATTCGAAGATAGGGGGGGCTTCTGCGGATTGCAAACGGGATGGATGATGCGTTTGTGCGCGGTAAGGCGAATATATAAGGTATTGGGTCCAATTGAGTGTTTATAAGTGTCGCAATGGGGAAGTGAACACTCGATCACAAGCCGTATGACTCTATCTCGGCCGGATGTAAAGCGCGGGGCGGACTTACGGAAGCTCGGGTTCGGAGAAGGCAAATGGAGGGTCGAGGCAGATAAATCGAGATGTTTTCGTCTTCTGGATGTATCCTCGATGCGTTAATTAATGATCTTCAGGAATTCTGTATAAGGCTAGGTGGGTTTGCACAGGGATATCTTTTTACCAGCAACAGAAAATACACAAAGAAGACTAGGGAAAGATTGAAGACGAGGGCGATCACTAATGGTTTGTCAGAAGTCAGTCATGCGCGGGTGATTCGCCGAGGCCTGGCCCGAAAACGGCCGCAGGCGCCATTTCCAAGCTTCGTAGTGACTACTGCTACTCAGCTGCAATTGGAGTTCTCTTCCTGTCGCATCATCTTCCTTGATAGCAGAATTGATAGGAAAATAAGTAAGTATCATGGTCACCTCTTAGCACCGGTACCAATCATATTGATGACCGTTGAGGCGTTTTTCTATGTACAGTAAGTGCTGGTCCTTCCTTCTCATTGTGCATAAAACATTCTAACAGTATCTGCAGGCATCTCCTAGACGATTCCACGTCGGCTCTTATTGATCTGGCCGTAATAACTTCATACCCTTATTGCCTCTGCATCTCTGTATTTTTGATTGAAGTGGCATGGGGTGCCGGTTTGATCTCCAGTTCACCTGGTATACATCAACCTCAAGACGATGCAATGAAGGTGAATCCATGCTGCGAGCAGATATTCTTACGCAGTGAACAGTTTGTTCCTCAAAAAGCAGCCGTGCCGCTGGTGGTAGCGCTTATCTGGCAACGTTATGGGCTGATATCGGGATGGCAGTGAACGCTGTACCACACATCAGGGCATCATCATCGCCTAATTAGATCACCTTCATGACGCCTCCGTGATGTCTCTTTGCCCTTCAGGAGAAGAAAGAAAGGAATTACCGGGACTGGAACTCGAACCCAGACTCTGCACTCCCCTGACGCGGAGTCGGGGGCTCTGCAATGTTAATACCACTACACCCCCCCCGGGGGCTGTTGATGGTGGAGGAGGAGCTTGCTTCGATGATCCCTTTGTTTATCGATGCCTCAGGCCACTATCGTGGGAGGAGAGGATTTCGGATGGCTGGCGTTTGCCATCATTTCGAGCCTCTAGAGAAGCTAGGTATATTCGCTTCGGACGGTCAGTCAAGAGGATACTGGATCTATTTGTGCCAATCGTAGAGATACTTACCGATGTGGAGGTGCGGGCGAAGTAATGTTAGGCCTTCATTGTAGGGAAACAGACATTTGTGTCTTGCAGGTAATAAATATCTGCCAGTACGCGTATCATGTCGTAGATCTGTCGACAATCTTCTCTATGTCTGTCTATACATACAGTAACTAAAAGTATACAACCTCCTCCTGCACGACCTCCCACGTGACGCGGGTCTAGAATGCGGACTGTGGAGAGAAATAAATGGAACGCCAACCCCCAAGAACGCAAATAATATTATGGCCTTTGCTTACGCCCCGTCGCACAAGCCAGATGAATCCCCCTCCGCCCTCAATGGTGTTGTTGTTGTTCCTCCTTCTGCCTCACTACTCATGGAGAAGCTCCCCGTAGAGATCCTCTGTGAAATTATCGATTGTATGCAGGTAGCCTTCTGGGTCCCTTTCCCCTCCCCCTCCCCCTCCCCTTTAGCCTTAACTAAGGCTTCCAACACTTTCTTTTACCCCACACACAAACACCCCTCTTTCTCACATTCTCTCTCCAACTGCTGCTAGTCTATAGCTCACAATCTGGCAACATAATCGAAACAAGCTAATGACACCGTCTAGATCTCACCCCACATGAGCGGGTACAACTTCAATCCGTGTCGAAACGGCTGTTCCTGGTCGCTCGTGACAATAATCTCTGGAGACTCCACTGCTACGAGGAGTCATGGAGCGCCGCGCGAGCTTCTCGTCCCGCTAACGGCCGCGGCGGCGGCTCCGAGAGCCTGGTCACCAACTCCACCACGCCTCTCAGCGCGCTAGGGCAGACCTCGCTTCGATCCCTCATTCAGCCCCATGCTGGGCGTGAGGGGGATACTAATCTGTCAGCCGATCGGGCGCCATCGTTTGGTCTCCGATCACGAGCAGCCACGGAGTGGGACCCGTCTTACGAGGGTGAAGATGTGAACTGGTACTCGGAGTATATCGCTCGAAATGGGCCCATCTCGCTCAGCTGGATGCAGCGTCCGTTCACTACGGTGGAGGGTCAACGACGGAGGGAGTATCGGGAAGTGAAGGGGATGGGCCTCCTGCGGGACTGGAGCTCGGCCAGGGAGAACAAAGTCGTTGCACCTCTGGACGATGGAAGCGTTTGCATCTGGGACCTCAACCACTCGCACTCGATCGGCTCTCAGGAGACAAAGGGTAAGGTGATTGGAGTCAGCGCCCCAGGCATCTTGATGACAAACCTATCTGGCAGGAGGGATCACGCCGCGACCAAACAGTCTCTGGAATACGTTAATCTTGGGGAATGCGTGAGCGTGGACTCCATTCGTCGAAGGGCTTATCTGGCTGTGGGGAACATTCTGAACGAGGTCGACTTGGAGACTCTTCGGGTCGTCTCTCAACAACGCTACCCTTGGTCTGTCTTCGCCCTCTCTCAGGAGACCGATTACTCTGTTCCATTGACCCTTGCTACAACTTTGAGTCTGCACATTTACGATGCTCGACTGTCAGCGAGCGAGGAGGAAGAAGCCATCAACCTACGCTGCGAGGAGCCAACCGTCTCCTTGGTGCCCAAGTCACAGCTGTACGCTCCTCCCGACTCGCCGCTTCTGCAACTCCAACCCAACGGCCGGCCTCCGCACCGTATCAGAAGCCCAGGCCCCTCGCAGAACACCGACGATTATGCACCACTCTTCCAGCCAGGGCCCCTTTCACTTCTGCATCCGCCAGCGCCGCATGTACATTCCATCTTTCTGGCCGGTCGCTTCCCTAGCATCCTGCAGTATGATCGCCGTTTCTTCCCCCGGTTGCAGAACACAATCCATTCTGGAGGCCAGCTCTGCGGACTAGCCGCTGTTCCTGCGCCACGATTCCCCATCTCCGACTCCAGCTTTCCATCTTCACACAAGCTGGTAGCTTGTGGCGACTATAAAGGCAGAGGGTCCCTTGAATTGTACAATCTCGCGCCGTCCAACGCCAGCGACATGAACTGCTCGTCCGGATGCTCGTCCGTCGTATCGACGATGTATCAAAACCGGCAGAGTGTCGCCAGATCCAAAGTGCTATCTGTCGAGTCCCACGGCACCCGTATCGTCTATTCAGATGGCGATGGCAATATCAAATGGGTAGAACGCGACGGGAGGTCCGAAGTCCGCCGCCTCAACATCAACACCTACCAACACCCCCATCATCATCACCATCATCATCATCGGGCAACTACCTCACACCATCACCAACAACAGCCTGACGACACCGCGCATCACCCTCGCGCAGCAAACGGCGAGACCGACCACCCCACCGGTCTATGGGGCAACTTATCCCGCTCCCACAGCGAAGGCGAAGTCGCTCGCAAGATCCTCCCCACCGGCGGAAGCCTGACAGGCGATGAGCTCCTCGTCTGGACAGGCGAACACATCGGCCGAGTCCGATTCACCTCTGCCAGCCCTGACGCCGGCCTGGACGAGGACGACGAGGACGACGACGCCTCAATGGACATGGAATTAGACGATACCGCTCGCGAAGAACTCCGAGCCAAACGACGAGAGCTGCGCCGGCGTGAGCACGAATACGCCGGCATGATGCGCAAGGCGCTAGAGAGACAGGCCGATGAGGTCCGACGCATGGGGGGCCTTGGCCTTTAGATCAGGACTTTTCTTTTGACGATGATAATTTGAATCACTTAGATAACATGTTTGATACCATCAACGATCTGTCTCTATCTGCTTCACTCCTGTTTCTCGGGTTCCAGCGATTTAGCCTCCGGGTGATTTTTCTGCTTCTCGCATCTGCTTTTGTTGTTAGACTCGTACCTACCGCATTTCTCGTTTGCCGAGTTGATAGAAAGAATTGCTTTTATTTCCTCCTATGTTTCTTTCTTCTATGCTCTCTTTTACATGTAAGGTTCCAGGTGGGAAGAATAGGGCTTGTAATGAGCCTGCTCAGCGTGACTGCCTCTAATTCTTGTGCACTCGATTTCTCCGGGATATTTACCCTCGAGATTCGGCTCGGCAGAAACTGGAGGGTCTACCTACACGACCCTTATTCTCACGAGACAATGGCTCTGGTTGGAAGAGGGAACTCCGAGAGTCCAAACTCATCCACACACCTGCGCGAGACAGAGCTCCCCCACACCTAGGAGGATTCGTACAGCGAGTCCACGACTCAGGACTCGGTCATTCTCCTACCGACAAACTACAAAAAGATTGCCCGAGAGAAGCTCACAGTAACAAGCACGATACTTGATCGCATAATTCTTCTGATTTTCCGTAATCCCCAATCCCGATCTCATCATTATTACATTAATTCGTACATTATTAAGCCATTAGAGCATAACCAGAAGCACACTGCAGGACAAAGCAAAGAAAGCCGGTTGAGGGAGTCCAACAGCCTCACCTACACAAATGGACCAGCCCTCCTTTGTTTGTTTAGGTATCAGGCTTGTACACTGCATCCTTGCAGAGCACGGCCACCTTCTTGAAGAAGCGCCGCCACTCGACCGGGTCGCCCTTGACCTTCATGAACTCGATCTCGAAGAGGCCCTCGGCCACGCACTCGATCAGCACCTTACCCTGCAGCGTGCACATGCGGCCGTCGCGCGTGATGATGCGCAGCGTCGCGGAGGAGTCGCCAGCAGACACGGCGGGCACGGCGGGCACGGGAACCCCGAGACGATGCAGCGCCTCGCATATTAGGGGGACCAGGATTTTGAGCTCCCATGTCGAGAAGAAGCGCGTCATGGGGCGCGCGGGCACGATGTCCCGGAAGCGTTGGGCTTTTTGTGTTCGACTCAGGGGCACGGAGGGGTGTGGCGAGAATTGCGACATCGAGGGCTCGTCTTCCAGGTGGTTCAGGAGTAGGGTGTCGTCAGCGAATAGCGGTCGGCCCATGGGCTGGGTCGAGGAGAATGCGTCGGCTGCTTGCGGGGTGTCCCAGTCCACGAGCATGTCGCCTCTTGGCATTTCTGGCTGGGTGGATGAGATCCGCTCGTCGACGTCGAATCCGTCGCCCATATCTAGGTCGGTCCGCTCGAGGCCCTGGCTCCCGCCGCCGTGCGGCCGGGCGAAGGGGTCTAGCGAGAAGTCGATGTGGAGCGATTCGAACATCGTCGTCGCCATGTTGATGGTGTCTCGGAGAGTGCCTTTGCGCGACAGGTATTTGTTCGGCCGTGTGTACCAGGGGTGTCTTCGGACGTCCTCGAGGGAGAATCGGCAAGCAGGGTCCACGTTCAGCATGCCGCGAAGAAGTGAAAGCGTCGCTGGCGGCAACTGCTGCCAGAGCTCGTCGGTCGTGCGCCCGTTGGTGGCCAGGTATTCTTGGTACTCATAGCTCGTTTCCGTCGGGCTATCCCAGGGTGTGTTGCCAGCCAGGAGGACGAACAAGACAATACCACACGACCAGATATCCACCAGGTCCGGTCGGTAGCCCGTACCCTTGACTTGACTCCGGCTACTGCACGAGATCACTTCTGGTGCGATATATGGCGGACTGCCACAGAAGGTAGTCGAGAGCTTGGTCACGCCCTTGTACTCGAATAATGTGGCCAGCCCAAAGTCGGCGATTTTGAGATTGCCATCCGCAGCCAGAAGCATGTTCTCCGGCTTAATGTCCCTGTGTCCCACCCCTTTGGAATGCATGTAGCCGACCGCGCTTATGAGCTGGGAGAAGTAGACGTGCGCGATGTCCTCGCCCACGCCCTCGTCGGCTTCAATTTTGTCGAAGAGGTCGCCACCCTCGGCCAATTCCATCGCAACCCAACGCCACACATCGTCCTCACCGGTCTGAAAGAAGGAGATGATGTTGTTGTGATCGCCGATATGTTTGTGTACCGTTGCCTCCATCTGTAGTTGTCGCGCGCTGACTTTGCCATGGCGAGCGGCATATTCCTTGTGAATGAACTTGACGGCGAAGACCGGGCTATCTGTGTAGGAAGGGACAGCTTTTTTGATGCTATGAGAACCCAGACAATCGTTAGCATAGGCCTACACAGGGCAATGAATTCATAGAAATTCAAGAACAAACCAGGCATAGGCACCCTGGCCGATCGTCTTGGAGACTATTCGGAAAGGCAAGTCATTCGGCAGCGGGGCTAATTGCGAGTGATGCATCGTAGCGAATAAACCCAGTTTTCCCCTACCCCCAGCTAAATCCGATTTGAGTAAGACAGGTCAGATGGGAGGAGCTGTAAGCTCGAAAGATCTGTCCGGAAATTGTCGGCTTGCGGCCGGGTTCATGCACAGAGTGGTGAGTAACCACGCAAGGGCGAGCGATGCGGAGATGGAAGCTGGAGAGAAACGCGCGCAGCTCCGGCACGCGAAAGCCACTTTATCCTCATTAGGAAGTCTGTTGACAGGCTGCCGGTCGCAGGCATCCATCCCGGCGATTCATGGCTGAACAAAGATTGACAGATTGTCTGGGATGTTTTGATGAGGAGAAGATTGGTTTTTTCCGTTCGGGATGGCCCACGGCAGCCTTGATACACTAGTCGGAGTTACTACTTAAAGTTGCAGAATGCATGCTCTTTTCTAAGGGGAAAAAAGCGCGGCCCGCCACCAGTTATAGACCTGATTGTAGAAGTTTGCAGGTTGGCTTTTTTTCCCTCGAGAGAGGCAAGTTATCAATATCAATCTCTTTAGTTATTGGTATACAGTTATACTTACATGAGAAAATCTGGTATTGGTTTATCCTCAACTTAGATAACAGTGACAGCTGCAGTTGCATCCAGACCGGGCTAGGCGTGCATGCTCCCCAAGCGCCCAGTCACCTCCCTAGACTTCCCTCCATCTAGCTGCCAAAGCTTGAGTAGCCATAACTCACTCGCTTTGTATCACCTCGACCAGGGTTTGGCAAGGGGATCCGAGTGAGGCTCAATATCATTTGCGAAAGGTGACGGAACAAATTGCTTCTCAGCTCCATATCAGGGCGCTTGTGTTCGACAGCATTGCCCCCTGTTTTCAGTGTACTTCACCAAGAAATAGCCAGCATTAATATCGATCCGTTGGCGAGCATGCCGCTGGCGGCTGAGTGACGAACAAGTTGAGTAGGGTCACGTCATCCAGGCCATGACAGTAGTCGGCAACGGGTCAATTAAAACCTGCGGTAGAAACTGGGTAGGTTATGTAGCTGAAAGAACCTTAATACTCATCAAGGTTATTCCACCTGAGAGTTGCGTCGGATTGCATCACCTTTGACCAGTGGAGGTAGCAAATTCGCAGAACTTCAGGTTAGGGACATCTGGACATGTCCTGGAAGCTTTAATCACCATTTTCTGATCAAAAGAGAGCATCAACATGGCCTCTACATTGAACTGGAATACATCCGTGGAATGAGCCTGCAAGCAGCTTGGTTCTGCGGCAATCTGTCGGAAGACCAGCAGAAAGACATCATTACGGAAATTGCAGGCTACGTCAACCAGCTCCGAAGCTTAGAGCCACCACAGAGAGAGTTTGTTGGCTCTGCGACTCTCGAACCATGTCTTGACTATCATGTGGGCTTTTCTACTTTTGACCCATTCAGCGATCATGCAGAGTTTCATTCTTTCCTTCGGCGATATATACCTATTGAGACATGCACGCAGACTTTCGGCCAAGAGGTCACTCACTGTCACTCACGCTGACCTCTGTCCTCGAAATATCATTGTGAAGAACGGAAAAGTCGCTGCAATCATTGACTGGCAATCTGGTGGCTGGTATCCGGAGTACTGGGTATATACCAAAGCACACTACGGCATGGTTAACAGGCCAGATTGGTACGAGGCACTGGAGTCTGCCATCGCGAGATACGATGATGAGTATGAAGCTGAGCAAGCACTGTGGGAACAATGTGACCAGCCAGGAATTCCACTACATTTCAGTGGCCAAGACAACTAATCACAACTGGATGAGACTCTTCAATGATTTTGCAGTATCGAGATAAGACACCTCCAAGCAGGCTACATTGGTAGATTTGTATGATTGAAAACAGGCGCTGTAGTACATGGATGGACAAGTCAGTCTCAATCTAGTATCCAAAACGAGGGACTCGGTCCACTCTTCACTAGCTTGACCGCCCAGCCGCCGTCGTTATTCTGCCTGACATTTTCTTTGTCCGCCGGCCAAGACAGATGGCTGGCGGTCACATCAGATGTTCCCTTTCTGACAATACAGCAGGACCCTTTCTTCATGCTGAGACCGAGTAATCACCCAGGAATAACACCGGATGATACTAAGAAGAGGAATAAAAATTGTCGAGAGTCGGAATGATCGCATGGCTGTCAAATGAGCGAGTCAGATGGAGAGGATCAGATGCGGATGTAGGTGGATCATCAATGGCATAATCATGGTCAATCAACGGTTGCGTTGCCCGGCGGATGAGGGCGTAAACAAAAAAGACTAATCCCAATAAATCCAACACTCGAGATCCCAAGGTCTTCTACCCACTTGGGTCTTTTTTCTTTCTCTTTGACTACTGAACTACTTTCTCTGTTGCTCATCTTTGAAAAAAGATCTACACTACTGCTGAACACCAGACTTACATACTTCTGCTGCAGCCCCCCGTTGTCCAAGGTTCTGATTCCGATCATTTCTGGGGTTCTCGTAGTGGGTCGATCCGGTTTCTCTCCGGCCAACAGTCGCGCTGCTTTCGGTTACGCTCTCATACCTGGCACCAAACAACCTGCAACCTACACCTTAACTCGATCTCTCTCTACCTCTTGTTCATCCTTGCTACTCGAGTCTCGATCACTGGCATTCTTCCGGAATCTCTCCTTGCACCACTAGTCATCTCATTACTTCGACTTTTTCTCGCTACCCTCTCTCACAGTCCCTCCTCTCACGATGGACTACACCATGGAAGACACCCAGAACTCCGCTCCTGACGCTCACGAGACGTCCAAGCTCGGCTCAGCAGCACAAAGAAGTGACATCCAGAGCGTCACCAAACGGTCCGTCACTACAATTTGAAACGAACCCGTCGATTCTCGGAAGCCGATCAGATACTAACCCTCCCACTGCTTTACAGTCTTCAAGCTGAGCTGATGCAACTCATGCTCTCCCCCTCTCCGGGCATCTCCGCCTTCCCTGACGCCGATGGCAACCTTCTTTCCTGGACCGCCACCATCAGCGGTCCCAACGAAACGCCCTACGAAGGACTGACTTTCCGACTCTCGTTCGCCTTCCCGAGCAACTACCCCTATGCTCCTCCTACCGTTCTCTTCAAGACCCCCATCTACCACCCCAACGTCGACTTCTCCGGGCGTATCTGCCTCGATATCCTGAAAGACAAGTGGAGTGCTGTGTACAACGTCCAGAGCGTGCTCCTCAGCTTGCAGAGTCTCCTGGGCGAACCCAACAAGTATGACCGAGCCCATGTTCTATCCGATCAAAACACCAAGATGCTAACACATGATCCCATAGCGCGAGCCCCCTCAACGCCCAGGCCGCCGAACTCTGGGACACCAACCAAGAAGAATACAAGAGACACGTCCTGGCCCGCCACCGTGACATCGAAGATATCGAATAAACCTCCTTCATTCAGAAGATATGTCTTTAGTTTATTAGTCGCGGTCGGTTCCGCAAAACCCTCAGCCGTCGTCCACGCACACGGACTGAGTTGCATTGCATGACTTCGGGGTTGTCTCTTGGGTTGTTCTTCTAGGATGGTGATCGCTGCACAGTACCCCCTGGCTCTATTTTATACCAGGTCCGAGTTCACCTGCTTGTCCTAGGGTTCTGATTTTCTGGAGTTTACGCGTTTGGGGAAGGCGAGCGAATTTGCTCTTTTGTTTGATCAAGGAGAATGGGTTGACCAGCGGTGTGCGGGTTGGTGGTTATAGGTCCCGGGAATTAAATACCCTGCTTTCGTTTTTATATCCCTTCTTGGGCTCCTGCGATCGTTCCACAACTGTTTGTTATTCTTAGGTTGGTCGCGAGGCACGTGGGTAGATGAGCGACCAGAGGTAGTTAGGAGCTGTTTCATACTTTCTCTTCTTTTTTCTTCTGAACCGCAGTTGAATATGGCATACGATATCCTAGGTTCCGAGATTAAAGGTGTCAAAGCGAGTCAATCGCGATATACATATAACAGTGCTTCATGATCCGAGCAACATGGTACATCGACTAACGCATCCCACGTTTTGAACGAATCCGCAGGGTAAAGGCAAAACACGTTGCACACTCACCCCTCTAACTCGAATAAGCGGACTGATCCAATCTTCATCTATACCCGAAACGGAACCAAGCCAGGTTGCAGTGATATCTAAACAACAAAACCCCGTTATACTGAATGCACAAACACATACTTCAATCGAAGATCAACATCCCTGCAATCGCAGCACTAGAGCGTACCGATCGCCCTGGCCAGCATCGCACTAACCGCCACGCGGGAGACATCGCCGGCCCGGCTGGGCCCCATCTGCGACAACACGCCGATCTGTGTTCCCAGCGACTCAAGGTTGGCGAATCCGCAGAGCGGGTAGGTGGCGATCAGTGAGATGATGCATATTGGCGGTCATCATTCCCGTCCAGGCGCCGATGGAGTAGGCGTGCAGGGCGTTGGCGGGTTCGTGGTCCGGGTTTCTGTTGTGTTGCCGTTTATTGCTGCATAGGTTATGTATTTTCGAGATTGGTATATATGGCATCGTTTTTTTAAGTATAGCTCGGCCCAGCTGTCTCTAAACAATGCTCATCGCCATCACAAGTCAGCTCGTGGTTCTGTCTGCCAATGCCTTGAAGTCTGCATGCTGCTGTTCGGTCAAAAGCATCTTAGCAGCCATCATGCTCGCTATGGAAGAGATTTCATCTGCAATCTCAAAGATAATGCGTATATAGCACGTTTCAGAAGGTGTACACTGAGTAACAGTCCGTCGAGATGCTGTGACGTTGTCGGTTTTGGAAACTCAATGTCATGGATCAAGTGTCAAATGACGATAATCCCCGCACAGCTCAGGTACTAGACCTGCACAATAACGACAGTGACCTGTCCCTTACTTGAATCCTCTGATCTTTGCCTGGAGTGTCACAGGCACAAGGCTTAAATTTTCTATTTGCTCGGAGGCTCATTGTAGCCCGCGTGCCCCGCAAATTCTAGAAGATTTGGCAGATCTCACCAGCCCCGCCCCCCTCGCTAATGATATTGCAAGTAGGGTCTCACAGCAGGTCGAGTGATGCATCTCCCCTCCAGAACTTTGAAACCCATGAGGGAGACACACTCAGATTGATGGGTCCTACCAATAAAATCAGGTGAAGGCAATTCCTTTTGTCGGGTTTCGAATGTAGTTTTATGAAGCCACGGATACTCAATTTAGATCTATTCATGCATCTCCACGAGATTAGCTTAATTGCATTAAGGTCCTTGGCACATCCGAAGAATTGTGATCGCTATTGGTACTATGTTAGTACTATGATCTGTATGCAAAGGCTTAATACCATATTTCAAGGGAATTAGACTTGCCAGCGTCCTATAAGCCATTATGCCTTTTACTAATGTTGAGTATGGGAGCAGAGAAGGACTGGTTGATCATTAGAGATCCCGCGTGCTAGTCTCTTTACCTGGAGATCAAGCACGGTTCCATGTGGATTACCCCGGAAACGGCAACGGAGAGAGCATTCCAAGTTCCGCAGTGGACAAGAAGCGTGTGTTCCGTTCTAGGACAGCATTGAGTTCACAGATCGTAATCGAGTGCTATTTATGATTCTAGTGGTGCCGTCTCACTGCATCCTTTACTGCTACACTGTTAAAGGAGGTTAACCAGAGTTAGCCCCAAGCTTAGCTAGCTCAATCACGGCAAACTCCCGACTCGTTCCTTAGAGCGGGGCAGTTGAGCATATGACCTCATGGTTCCATTGCTTGAGAGCAGTCCCTGAATCCCGCTTTAATTAAGCTACTCAGCCTGGCACCGGATGCCCGCGCGACACAATCCCTCATTCGCCGATCCTGCGTGATCTACAATGACTTCCAACGACACTGATAAGGAATGGGAATTGGAGGAAGGGGTTCCCCAAGTCGAAGATCCTTTTATCCAGCAGTATCTGAAGGGACGGGACTCTTTAATTTTGCAAGAGCAGAAGCAACGGCATGGTGAGATTCCCTTGCTGAAGTTCCGTGTATTTTATGTTGACTAATGCGTGCATTTCAGACTTCAATCTTCGTAAGGCTTTGACTCCAATCGCCGCCAGGGCTTGCAAGATCGTATCCAGAATCCGCGACCGGGAAGCAAGCCAAGATCCTCATGCATCGTTGCCTCTTGACTGGGAGCAAATTCAGAAAGCCGACCTCTGGAAGATTGTCCAGAAAATGCCAAAGGGGTCACTACTGAATGCTTCCATCCACTCCCTCATCGACATTGACAAGTTGATCGACATCGTCCTCACCACAGCCGGGCTACATATTTCCTCCACTCAACCTTTGTCATCCCAAACTGTGCGGCAAGAAGCACCCATCACCTTCCAGTATGCTTCGGTTTCAAAACCCAGTGTGGAAGACACACCCACTATATGGTCAGATACCTACGTGCCCTCGGAACTTGTTTCCGTCCAGCAGGCAGTTTCGTCGTTCCCAGATGGTGGAGAGACCGGATTTCGTGAGTGGCTGAAGAGGCGGTGCACGACTGCAGATGAGTGGTCGGGTTACGCTTGCCACGGTGCATCGATAATCAACTCGCTCCTCAGTTATGAGCCTATCTTGCGTTTCTGCATGAGAAACGCATTCGCAAACTTGGCAGCAGAGAGAGTCAGTTATGCCGAGTTCAGGCATACCTTCAGCTATCCCTATCGACAAGAAGGACATGACGTACCCGAAGAAGATCAGAGCGAATGGTGTCATGTGTTTCAAGAGGAATTACAGCGCTTCCAGAAGACCAATGAAGGGCGGGACTTCTTCGGAGCGCGTATCATATGGACTGGCAGTCGCTCGCAGTCAAACAGGGATATTATCGATAACATGAAAACCTGTATCTTCGCAAAGTATGACTACCCCCAGGTGATTTGCGGATTCGATATAGCGAAGACAGAAGACGACGAAAGACCGCTCTCCGATCTTGTTCCTCTTTTGTTCTGGTTTCGTAAAGAGTGCATGGAAGAAGGACTGGACATCCCTTTCTTCTTTCATGCTGGCGAACTACCAGGTGACAGGGGCCGCGCCGATCAAGGCTTATATGATGCGATCCTGCTAGGGACACGGAGAATCTGCGAAGGGTCTACGCTCTACAAACATCCACTGCTAATTGAGTCGGTCAAGGAGAAGAAGATCTTAGTTGAGCACACCCCGACCTCAAGCGGGGTGGCGCAGATACTCCCGGCACTGCTATCGCGTGGTGTTTCGGTCTCCATTGGTGGTAATGATAAGCCAAATCTTGATGGGCGCGGTACGGATGGCTTCACGCAGGAATTCTGGAGAGTGCTTCAAGGTGATGACCACACGGATCTTGCAGGTCTGGCAATGCTGGTGGAAAACTCCATGCGGTGGAGCTGCTACGACGATCAGCCGACGGCTGAGTGGCTTTCCGACATTGGGGAAGGTATCCTGGGGGAGGGGGTCAAGGCCCGCCGTTTGCAGGAATGGTGGGCAAATTTCGAGCAGTTCTGCGAGTGGGTCGTGGCGACGTTCGCGGAGGAAGGCATTGATGAGCAATAAGGTGTAGCACTCGCAATTGCAATAGAATGCACGCTTGACGGGTCACATATGTGGCTCTTTAGTCTTGAAGGCTTCCTGATGAAATGGTGGCTGGTGGGAGAACGCTTAGTAATTATTCAACGACAACATAGATGAGTCACGGTGACAATCAACAGGTAATTGTTCAATCATACTTGTCATACTTGTCAGCATGGAACGGAAGGGTGAAATAGGGAGCTTTCAATATCTTCAAAAGGACTTGATTATCTCGAGTAAGTCAGTCACCGTCTGTAGAAATGTAGAAATACAAAACAACTTGACTGCATAACCGGCGTCTGCCGCTGGTAAGTATGGCCATGGAACGACCTAAAATAGATTAATTGCTACTAGCAGCACTTGAATGTGCACGGAACGTGCATTCGGAGAAATGATGGAGTTGATAATGACCGTTGAAAGCTTCTTATGACTAGTGGGGAATTAGCTCTCAGGCGACTGAGATCACGGGGTTTGATGGTTGCGTTGTGCCTTGTCTTCATTGCCACGGATTAATTAGCGTAAATCCCCCTGTTGCAGTCATTCCCGACATCTTCACCTCATCAAATCATCATCGGATGGGCCAGTGTAGTTACAAGTAGTAATAGGTGTGAGTTGTTCATGATGTGGATTGGGTTAGTCGGTTTAGCCCAAGCTCCGCCTGACTATTGATTGTGGTCGATCATCTTCGCTATCTCTCTCTCTCTCGTTATCATTCATTTCCACCTTTTCTTCTCCTCTTTTTTTCCCACTCGGTATCTATTGACTCCACCACTAGCCGCACTAGCGTCTCTTCCCCATCCTCCGAACGTCATCCTCCCCGGCCCTGAAGCCATCCGCTTCACCTTTCGGAGAAATCGTGTGTTGTTGCTGTTGCTGTGCTCGACCTGCTCGCTGCTCGCTGCTCGCTGCTCCCTGCTGCCTACCGGCTACTCGCTGCTCAGGCTCCAGGCATCGCCTACCTTCTTTCCTCCTCTCCTTTCTCTGCCTTCATTATTCTTGTTGCCTTGTCATATCTCGGTTCAGATGACAGTTGGGATCCTCAGATGAGCCCCCCGCCGGCTCCCTCTGCCCGAAAATGGCCTACTTCCTGCCTTCGTTCTTTCAGAAACGATTGCTCCGATATGCTCTGTCTCGCCTGGAGCTAGTTGATACTGAGGCTCTGGATCTGGATAGTCTGGGGATTCGATGGGGGCAACGTAGCACCGTCGAACTTCGGGATATTGGCTTGAGGCTCGAGGTAAATGCAATCAATGATCATCCGAACGGCCGTTCAACTGCCCCAACCCGCCCGTCTCCAAACCCCAGCATTTCACATTCTTCATCGTCGATTTTCATACTAACTTATACTTTTTCCCGACGTCCTTAGAAACTAGCTACACTGCTTCACCTTCCTGTCTCAAGCGAGCTTCTAAGCGCCCGTGTTCAATACCTGAAGATCACCGTCCCCGCAGACATCTACAGCAGCGGTATAATATGTCAAGCGAGTGGTATCGATGTACATTTGAAACTACTGTCGCAGGAAGCATGTCCCACGGGGCAAGGGTCCAGGGCTTCCGACTCACCACACACTGCTAGCTCTGACGCTTTCATGCCCAACCCTGCCGACCTCGCCCAGTCGTTCCTCGAAGCTGAGCCAAAGGAGGAAAAGGATGAATTACAAGCCGCCATCTCTTCTCGATCCCAGGTTCTACAACGCACTTCGACATCGATAAGTGATGACGAAGAAGAACTAGGTCTTGGCAACGAGACCGTGTCTCTGCCTAGTTTTGTGGCCGCATTTCTCAAGGGTGTCGCAGACCGCCTGCAGGTCCAGGTTGATGATATATCCGTGCGAGTGGATGTGGAAATGAAACAGGATGGGCCCTTTAAGAGACAGCCGGAGGACCGGCCCGATCTAATAACTGGGGTACTGAGTGTTGGCCAGGTCAAAGTGGACGCCGTCTCCGCACCCGCCGCAGATGGAGACCGATCTTGCAAGGGAAGACGGATAATCTCGCTCTCTGACATTGATCTTGCATTAGTATCAGAGCCAGCCGTCCTCGCCAATTATTCCCGGTTCGCTGCTCCTCCATCCCCTTCGACTCCTGTCCATGCGAAGGCAAGCCAGCCTCCTAGCCGGGCATCTTCCCCTACGCCCGAACCTTCTTCGGATCGAAGCTCCACCCTCGAAATGACCAGGTCGACTATACTCAAACCATCAACTGGGTTGATTGACCCTCGGCGAATAGACCATAATGCGCCCGAGTTGGAAGGGTCCGTGTGCACCTATGATGGACGGTTCTCAGACGCTGACACGGATGAGGGAGAGGCTCGGGGCTATGGTTTTCTGGAGGAATCCCAGAACTTCGCGGATGACGATAAACTGCTGGATAACCCTGCATACCTCGATTCTGTCATCAATTCTCAAATTCAGGACGACGAATTCGATGCACTGGGAAGCATCTCCACCGGAGCTGGTTCATATACTGCAAGCAGTGAGCTTGTTCCACGCCCTCTCAATTTAGGGTTGCCCGCGGGCACAACGGAACCAGTTAACGATACACAAACTGCCGTGATTCTTGCACCAAGGTCACAAACGGCAGCTTTGCACGAGCCCAGACAGTCTCCAGGGTTCGGTTCGCCATTAATCCAACCAACGCTACCTTCTCCCATTTCTGGATCCTCTCAAAGTCCTGAGCCGTTTCCAGATGTCCAGTTATCGCTATCTCTGTCTGCACCGCCTTCTGAAGCTGATAGTTCGAGCTCGACTTCTGGGTCTATCAATCAGGGCGATCTCAGTGAATCAAGACTGTTTTCCCACGACGAGGCGCAAAGCATGTACATGAGTGCTATGAGCCATGGCTCTACGTCACGAAGTTTCATGCCGAATATGCCCGGTGCCTGGGACTCCTCCGATTCTCACATCTCGAGGGGATCCGTTGCAAAGTATGCAGCTCAGATCAGTCCAGAAGATGGACATGAGCACGATTTTCATGATGAGACTTCTGTGTCAACACCTAAACTCACACCTCAGTCTGAACCAACCTCATCTCAGTCACAATCAACTGAGCAACAATCGCCAAGCACTGATCCTCATTTGGAACTACATAAAAGTTCATCAGTTCAGAGCTCAACAGGGGAACATAGCTCACCAGATGTGGCGAGGAGGTTTTTCAGCATTGACAGAATTCAAGTTTCGATCCCATCTGGCAACTCTGACCAACATGATAGTGAGGCCGCACCAACAATATCACCCCGAAGAGAGTCGAATGACGTTTTGGGGGAGTCCACAACAAATCTGCATGACTCCCTACCCGATGAAGGCTTGTTGAACTCGTTGACCCGGTCTCGTGGGGACTCGACTTCCGCGTTTTTCCCTGTCAATGATGCCAAATCAGTGAGTCAGCAGGGTTACGACTTAGAGGACCATATTGGCTTGGAGATATTCTCTGCAGAGATCCAATTTGACATTGCGATTGGTTGGCTGGTCGTCAAGGTCGGACAAAGAATCCTCAGTGCATTTGTTGGTAAGACGGATGACTCGACTAGAAAACACGACCCGTCTCAGAAATCAGAAGGGCCACAAGCCTATCGGATTTCTCTCGATAGCTTTGCTATCAAGTTCGTCGATCATGTTCCTGGGCATGGATACCCTCTTAAGCACGACAGTTCGACGTTCATCGACGGAAACCAAGAAGAGGTTCTACTACAGGCGGTAGTCTCGGGCTTAAAAGCTAATCTTGCTCTGAAAAATGACCTCACTACTTTTCATCTGGATGTGAACAAGTGCTTAGTGGGATTTGCCCATGAAGATCTGATCTCTTTTAGCGAGGAACTCAAGATGCGCGAATCCACGAGGGATGTCACTAAACCCAGTTCAGATGATATTTCACTGAACGTCCGGATGTCTTCGAAAGCCACTACTGTTGTGCTCATGACACTTCCTCTACAACTTAATCTCAACATTCAGCGTCTGGAAGAGGCTGTAGGCTGGGTAGGTGGTTTGAGCACCATCCTGGAACTTGGGAGCTCCATTTCATCTAGTTCTTCTAGTAAGGGACCAACCAAGGACATACCGAAGCGTTCTCGTGGTGTACATTTCGAGAGTGACCCTCCCCCAGCGACTTCACAGTCGCCTGAAACAAAACCTGTTAAGGTGAATGCTCGGATTGGTGGCATCACCTTGAACGTCATCGGGGAAAGCCATCATTTGAAGCTCAGCACAACTGCAGTCAAAGTTGTCAGCAGGTCTCAGGGTCTCAAAATTCAGATTGACAGGGCAAAACTCAGCGGGCCCTGGTCTCTCAAGTTTGACCGTGACCCGCCCGCCACGGTCAACTTGACAGACATCAGGTTTGAATACTTTTTCGCTCCTGAAGAAAACGACCTAGATCGGCTTCTCGCTTTGATCACACCATCAAAGGATAAATACGACGAAGACGACGATATAATGCTGGATACGCTCTTTCGCCAGCGCAAACAAGGCTCTGTTCTTCGTGTGACGATTGGCGGAACGAAGGCCATCATATCCCGGGCCGCTGAAATGGACTCTCTTGCGCAGCTTGGGGACGAGATCAGTCGGCTATCGAATGTTGCTAAATACCTACCTGAGGATGACCGACCTGGAGTCTTGACTCTAATCTTGGTCCGTGAGTTCGAGGTGCAAACACACCTTGGTGGGAAGGTAGGCGTTATCGCCGCAAGGCTTCACAACGCTGAAGCAGCATACATCAGTCTCCCTTCCCTTATCGCTGCTCGAATCGACCACATACAGGTTGCAAGGAATGGGAGTGAGGAGCTCGTTGGAAATGCACTTCTCCCAGCTGAGGGACAGTCCTCGGACGGCATGACAGCACCAGTCCTCATGGCCCGCTTTATCGCGGATGAAATGGATCCCACGATCAAGATCAAGCTACATGGTCTTCGTGTAGAATACAGTCTTCCTGCTGTTATCGCATTCCTTGGGCTCGGAGATGACATGACAACTGGTGACGTCGCTGCTAACATGGCAAGTTCAATAGCTAATCTTGCTGCCGAATCTCCGCCGGTCCAGCAGAAAGCGTCAGGCAAAGACTCTGACCGGGCCACTCCATCGAAGCCTTCGAGATTGACGCTTGATATTCGGGACACTGTTCTTGGTCTCAATCCGCGCGGCACCCCTGCCAGAGGTCTTGTTGTCCTCACAAATGCTAAGTTCTCTGGTACCATGTACGACGTTGTGTCTTCAGAAGCCGTCTTGGACCTTCGGAAAGCGTCGATTATGGTTATTGACGATGTCAAGAACGTGGGCTTTACGGATAACTTGCATCAAAGAAACATGAATTCTCCGCAGGGAGCCCAAATCAAATCATTCATCGACCAGGGCTATGTCCCCATTTGCACTGTGTCGTCAGCCACAGCTACTGTAAAAATTGTGCGCTTGAGTGAAGACGGAGAGAAATCTCTTGATGTGGAGCTCAGAGATGACTTGTTGATCCTGGAAACTTGCGCTGATTCCACGCAGACCCTTATCAGCATTGTGAATGGGTTGCAGCCTCCTACACCCCCAAGCGTGGTTACCAAATATCGGACCGAGGTTCTTCCCATTCAGGACATGCTAGCGTCTTTTACAGGCGATGCATTTGTGGCTGATCCTTCGGAATCTTCTGCTGCGGTTAGTCCTGAATCTTCTGCTCAAACGCCGAGCACAGGGAACCTGTTAGAGGACGAGGTCGAATACGTGAGCGACTTCCCTTCAGCCACAATCGGCTCCGAACAAAATTCTCTGCATGGGGCCGCTGCATCCGGCTCGAATGAGTTACTTGACAGTTTTCACTCGCAGTACCATGTTTCTTCCAGTGTCTCGGAACTTGACTTCCGCGATGATCACTTTGCGCAGAAGTCCGCTGTTGGGGGTACGGCACATAGGTGGGATTCCACACAAAACACATATGGTCTCTCCGACGATTCGAAACTCCAAAGGAGCCCCTTGAGGGTAAGGGTGCGCGACGCTCATGTGATTTGGAACCTGTTCGATGGCTACGACTGGCAGAGGACACGAGACACGATTTCGAAAGCTGTAAAAGAGGTGGAAAGAAAGGCAACAGAGCGCCGCGCGCGCACTGGCAGTCGAGCATCTCCTAGCTTCGACGAGGAGGAGGAATCCGTCATTGGAGACTGTTTATTCAACTCCATTTATATTGGTATTCCCGCCAACAAGGATCCTCGAGAGCTTCGTAACGATATCAATCGCAATATTGATGACCTTGTTAGTGAAACAGGAAGCTATGCGACCAGCACAACCGTCACTGGAGCAACTGTGCGTCAAAGCCAATCGCCTTCGCTACGGGGAAAGAAACTACGTTTGTCCCGGAGCAAGTACCACAAAATGACTTTCGAGCTTAAGGGGGTATGCGCAGACTTGGTTGTCTTTCCGCCTGGCCTGGAAGAGACGCAGAGCTCCTTGGATGTTCGGGTTGATGACGTGGAAATCTTCGACCATGTCCCCACCTCAACATGGAAGAAGTTCGCGACCTACATGCATGAGGCTGGCGAAAAGGAGAGTGGAACCAGTATGCTGCATCTCGAAATATTAACAGTTCGGCCTGTGCCTGAGCTTGCTGCTTCTGAGATTGTGCTCAAGGCAACTTTGTTGCCTCTCCGGTTGCACGTCGACCAGGACGCTCTGGACTTCATTTGTCGGTTCTTTGAGTTTAGAGATGACACTGCACCGACCCCGACCGCGCCCAGTGATGTTCCGTTCCTCCAGCGAGCTGAGATTAACGCTGTGCCAGTGAAATTGGACTTCAAACCCAAGCGCGTGGATTATGCTGGTCTTCGATCTGGTCGCACCACCGAGTTCATGAATTTCTTCGTTCTGGACGGAGCAGATATGGTGATGCGGCATGTTATCATTTATGGAGTATCTGGGTTCGATAAACTGGGACAGACGCTCAATGACATATGGATGCCCGATATCAAGCGAAATCAGCTTCCGGGTGTTCTTGCTGGTCTGGCCCCCATCAAATCACTTGTTAACATGAGTGGAGGGGTGAAGGACTTGGTTGTGGTGCCCATGCGCGAATACAAGAAGGACGGGCGTATTGTTCGGAGTATCCAGAAAGGCGCCATGGCGTTTGGCAAGACCACCACCAATGAACTGGTCAAACTTGGGGCCAAGCTTGCCATTGGAACTCAAACAGTGTTGCAAGGTGCCGAGGATTTGTTGGCCAACCTCAACACCCCGACCGCGGGCCAAGAGGATGATCTTGGTGACGATGAAGATGCGAACAAAATCTCGCTCTATGCAGATCAGCCGGTTGGAGTTGCTCAGGGCCTCCGAGGCGGGTTTAGAGGATTGGAGCGCGATCTGCTCACAGCACGTGATGCTATCGTAGCGGTTCCTGGTGAGGTGATGGAGAGCGGCAGTGCCAAGGCTGCTGCCAAAGCAGTGATGAAGCGTGCGCCAACCGTGATTCTCCGTCCTGCGATCGGTGTTACCAAGGCTGTGGGACAGACGTTGCTTGGTGCCGGTAACACGCTCGATCCAAGCAATCGTCGAAAGATGGAAGATGTGAGTTTGGCGTTCCCCCCAACTTGGTATCTCATTCTCAATACTGACCCAATGGCGCCATAGAAATATAAACGCCATTGAACGAACTTGACGGGAAATTCTGATGATTCAATTGACAATTTGGATGCTTGATACCACCATCTGTACGGCAGTCGAATATTACTATATTTGAGCATTGCTTTCTTTCTTTCTATCTGTCTTTCTTTCTTTCCAGGTGTGAGAGAGATGCTTTATGCACATTTGCTTCCTGTTATGATGATTATGATGGATTATACTCCAGCTCAGTTTCTTCTATTTATTCTTGATATAAACTTTGCTTTGCGTGGTTGAGCATGGGACGGTGTCTTGGATGTGATTTTTTACCACTCCGATGTCTATATTGGCTTGGTTACGATTTATTCGAAGGATCGGTAGACTGGTTGTAGAAATGTCAGATTATGTAGGGGATGCACAAGTTTCTACTTCGGTTGTACGACAACCTACTTACTGCATGATTCCATCCGCGAGAGATTATGCCAATCCAACGCACGTAGTCGCTTGGAGATGAGATGGCTCGTGAGGCACACGGCACAGAGCCAATGATCCACGTCCTTGAGTCATGATATGCAGCGCTTGGGTTGGTGCAGGACAGCAACGAATGGATGGCAGCCACGCCATAATCCACAGTCAGTAGACAATCTCGCTCTCGCTCTCGCTTCTCAGGCACTAGTAGTCAACTCGCTGTATGAACTACGTCCGGATAAAGGGTGGGTTGTGTCTAGCATGTTTTAGTCTCGACTGGGGATCATGCAAGAGGATGGGTATGATGGTGCAGTCGGTCATGTAGGGACTATGGGGTTGTCCAAGGAGATAAGTGATAAGATGGGAGAAGATGGCAAGCTGGTATTGTTTTCGCCGCATTGTACGAATTCTCTGGTCGGGCCTGCTACCGTTCGCCTGAGGGTTCAGGTTCTTGTTCTCTCCGAGTTGCTTATGATCATACTTGTCTTTATAGATGGGTGTGGATGGGTGTTCCTTCGAGGGCACGCCTTATTGGGCTCAGCTTACAGGTTCAGCTAACTAGTTGTTAAGCCAAGCAGGGGCTGTAGATTGCGAGAACATATAGTTAGCATTTACTGTTGAGATGGCTGAGCGACCTTGCGAGTTAGACACGGAGTGAGTAGCTTAAGTAAATCCTACTGTACTAGTAGGGGCTTGCGCATCTAGACCCAAGAGCCGGTGTTGCTCAGTGTGTACGTACGACCTCCAGAACATACTTTTCTGTCCTTCATCGGTTAGGGTTTACAGTTTCTTGGCTTGTGCGAGGCGTTCGAAAGAGATCCTGTCGGTGGACAGAAATAGACGGCAGAAGAGCCGAGAGGAACCGGTCAGCCTTGAGGGTTCACGATTGAGGGAAAGAAAGATAAAAAAGGTAACATTGGGGGGGCGGGGGGTGTTTTGAGTAGAAAGTACTGAGTAAGACTGGTCATGGCCACATCTGATGTGTGACAAAGTGCACGGCCCACAGCGGATTGGATGCATGGATGTATGTAGGAGTATGTATGTATGTCGACTGTCCAGTGCGGTATAGCCACCACCATTGCATCTCTGCATCTCTGCAAGCTGTATGGCGATTTGGCACTACTGAACTAAGCTGGATGTAGGCTGGACTCGACATGAAACCAGTCAGACTGGGCGCATTCATTGGCTCTGGGGGATGGAGGAGGATAGACCTGCGTGGACGAATAAGGGAGAGGATCCCGAACTTTGTCTCAGTCTTGCTCAGTACAGGGTTGAAACATGATCGTCCATCGGGGAGAGGAGGGAGAATGTTCGGGAGGGAATGAAAAGAAGCTGAGCAGCAGATGACGAGGCAAGGAGTACCTGGAAGTGACTTGTTGTCCCCCGGGTTTTTCGCTGGTGGGCTGATGTACTCGGCAAGTACTGGACGGGGTGTTGCTGCCCAAGTGGGATTGGCAGATGACGCCGCAACCGACGGGGCGAACAACCATTGACTCGTCACTTTTGCCTTTCCTCCCTCGTCGTTCTGCACGTCAACCTGCAGCTGGTCTGACTAACTGACTGAAATGACTGAATGAGCACTAACTAACGAACGGATCCTTTCTATCAAGCGATCGTCTTCGCACTGCAGCAGAGTAGCAGTAGCAGTAGCGACTTCTTTCTTTTTTTCCTTCTCCCCGGGCTTTCGCCATCAAACCTTCACTCGCTCCTGCCTGCCATTCTTTTTTTTAACCTATCTTTGCATTTTTTTGGTTTGCTGAACTCTTTTTTCTCATCTTCACCAGACAATTCGGTCGGCCTGTCTGTCGCAATCATCTTGGAAAGTGCAACATGCTGGCGGGCTGGTAAGTCCGAGTGGATGTCTGTCCCCTTGATCGATCTAGATCGCCGCGAGGGACGGTTCTCGTGCAACATTGACACGGCTTCATCTCGAACCATTATCAGTCCTTTTGAGACTTTCTGTCTCGCTTCCGTCGGGGGTGTATTTTGTTGACACTCCGCCCATTTCATCCTGCAACGATCAATCGAACTGTTGTGATTGTTGTTCTGTTGTCTCGGTTCAATCGAACTGGTGATGTCAACCATCTAGAAGATCTGCACTCGCCCAATGCCAGCATTCAACAGGTCTGAGTTCGAATCTTCTCTTCTTCTCATGTCCCGCTTGATCTTGCTTTTTCTCCATTTGTGTGCTATACCTTCACTCGCTTGATTCCGGTCTGAGTCGAGGCACAAAACTCCACCGTACAATGTCGATAGCCCTGGACATCGGGTCCCCCTGCCATGGATCCCCTCACCACCCCGACGCTATCCACTATATGTCGACCTCACCACCCTCTGACCCTCTGCAGTTATACGCCTCGAGCCCCGCTACTTGCCAAGCTGGATACGCAGGGAATCTGTCGCTGCACAATTATCGCAAACTACTGTCTGACAACGATCCTTTGGTCGATGGCCAGGACGGAAAGTCGCTCAGACGTAAAAACGCCGCTTTGCATCTGAACCAGGCCCAGGTCGATTCTGACACGCCGATAACTCCGTTCTCCATGTCTTCGCCAGCCTCAAGCCCACCACCATTGTCGCCGTCCTACTCTCCGAGCGCTATGAGCGACCAGGACCCGGAGAATATGCACGACTTCGGCTGTGAGTAGTTACCCCACTATCGCCCAGTTGGAACGCGCTAAGAGTGACTAATAGCACATCTAGTAGTCGCAAATCCCAACATGCAGGCACCATTGACTGCACCATTGAGTGCAACATACCCCAAGGACAATTCTAGGCTTCTGGTAAGTGTAGTCCTGGCGCAGCCTTTCATTCTCAACTGACGTAGGTATGCGATCAGGATACATTCCGTGACAGGCTTGAGAACTACCCCGAGCCAGGCACAGATCCGGAATGTTTCACCCGCAGGCACACCAGGACCCGCTCCGACTCCATTCTATGGAGCATGAAGAAAACAACGGCGACCATTGTTGACCATGGCACGCCATTCGAAATTATCAATCCCCATGAGTCGCTTAATTTTGCCCGGATCGTTTCATTCATCGAGGATGTCGATGCCTACTCATTACGGGCCTCGAGTGGCCACCATCGCGAATCGTACATCGAGGTGATCAATGAATTGGATCTGAAACCCAGTTTTGAAAGCCCACCGAGTGACGACCACCCAGACGCGTGTTCGGAGAAGGATTCGCAGCAAGTCCACCACGAATTAGTGGGGGACTCGCCGCATCTTCCCATGCCGTCAATATCGGAACGTCTGGAATGCGAGGATGCCGAGGACATGGCCTCGACCTACTCACGCTCGCCCGGGTGCACGCGAAAGCGCCCTGCGCCGCTCAGACCACGGGCCTGGACTGACGTGAGTGACCTTGGAGAGCCGGGCTCTCCGATCCGAGACGATCGTGATTTTCGGTCGCAATTACATTTTCCATTGCCTACCCCTTCCCCTTACTCTTTAGATGGGAACCACCCGACCTCCCTACCCAGTCCGGCGGCCTACTACGATCTTGGTCTCTGGTACGGACCCCATGGGGTCGACCCTAGCCAGGGCCATCCTCGCCCACTATATTCCAATCCAGCCTCTTCACATACTCTCTGTCCGTCTCCATTTAACCCCCATCCAGCCCTGCATCAGCCGCAGGAGATTCGTATACAAAGTGGGATCACCAAAATAACCGACCGTCGCAAGAAGAACGCCAAATCCGGGGGTAGTGGGCCCTTGAAACCTTTCAAGCGACTATATAACATCCTTCAACGCAAGCGCCAGTGATTTCTTCGTTCTACATCCGGTCTCCCCCCTCCTTAATCTGAGTCTAGCGTTGTTTCCTATTTGGCATTTTCAACCTTCCCAAGCATGCGCGAGCGCATGCATTCATGGTTTCCTGTTAGCGATTTTGTCTGTGTCTGTATCACGTTAAGCGATTGGCCTTTATTTGCTAGTTCCAAGGCCTTTGATAGGACCCAAGGTTTATCTTTTCTTTGACCATTATTTGTCGACGTTGACAAGGGCAAGATGCAAATAGAGTCTGGTTTGAGTCTGTGATGACTAGGGCGAGATATTTTGTCTTGAAACTGTCCGTACGCTATGCGTAAGCTGGTGATCTGAACGACGTCTAGAATGAAGCGATGGAGGGTTGAGAATGAAGATGTATAATTATAAAAGTTTGGAGTGCTCAGATGCATTTTTGAAGACCGCACCACTAACACTATCCATATCCTATCCCGCAATAATCCATAACAAAAGAATACACAAAATGTTCCAAGTAAATGTGACCGTTATGAACAAACTGACAGTTTGGGTATCTTTCTTTCAATATGCACACAATGCACAAGCGATTCCAAACCCTGAAAGAAGATAAGCGCAATGATAGGGTGATAAAAGGAAACGCGGGGCGAAAAGATGACATCAAATATGATACAAGAGAATCGGAAAAGAAGAATCGAAAAAGCATATACTAAAACAGTATGTCGAAGGTAAAAGAGAAATGACGGCATGTGCCAGAAGTAGAAGGGAGAAAAAAAAAAGAATAGAAAAAAAGGGAGCCGGTAGGAGACGAAGGCATCTCGTCTTCCTAGACAGATGACGCGTATGAATATCCCGATAGATATGCAGGAAAGCAACGGCCTCACTCGACCATCGAAGCCAGCGCCGCACTGACGAGACTCTTCCGTCGCAGGCCCTGCTCGCTCTTCTTCCGCAGGTCCCGGGTGGAGCAGAGCTGGTAGCTCTTCTCGATGCGATGTGACAACTGCAGTGCGCTGACGCTGCTCTTTCTTCGGGAACGAGCAGTGTCTGCCCATGATGATGTTGAGGAAGAATTGGAGGAGTATGGCGACGACGATGATGATGAAGAGTCTGTGGCGGGGCGGAATCGACTACCTCGCGATGTTGTCAGGGCGCGTCTGCGCGGTGAGGACTGCGGCGGGAGAGAGCTGGGGTGCCAGTCGTCTTCACAGGTGGAGGAGTAGTTGTGTGAGACGGTGGTGCGGAGGGCCTCGTCTTCCGAAATCAGGGCTAGGCGGATGGCTTCCAAGTCCGTGGGATTGCAGTATTGTAGACGCGAGATGTGTTGGCGCTGGGCGCGCACGGTGGTGCTGGTGAAGCTTCGCTCCTCCTGGTAGTCATAGTCGTTATCGTCCGCCATGAGGTCCATTGGCGTCGTAGTGGTGTCTGTTATTGTTGTTGTTGCGGGGGCGGAGGTGGGGTTCAGGTATGGGGAGGAGGACGGTGGTGGGAAGGTCGGGGATAAGGAGCCTGAGGTGAGGGACTCATCGTCCAGGTCTGTGTCCGGGGGTGTGAGGACGTAGCCGGGGAAAATTTTGGCGCTGTTGTTGTTGGGGAAATTGAGGTCGGATGGGGAGGTCGGAGAGATGGGCGCATCGGGGAAGCGGTCATCGCTGGGGACTGCGGCGATGGAGCCCGACTGGTTCTGAAGGGTGTGCTCGTGAAGTTTCTTGGTGAGGGTGCTGATGGAGAAGCGCTTTTGATCGTACGCGGAGAAGGGTACGGAGGTGGGCGCTTGAGCCTGGCCTCGGGAGTAGGAGGATCGAGAGCGAGGCAGGCTCCGGGGAAAGCGCTGGGCTGAGGAGCGCGGTGAAGGACAGCGTGAGGACAGGGGAGAGATTAGTCCGCTGTCGTGGTCGAGGGAGGTGAAGCGGTGGTGTTCATCTCCGTCCAGCGCTAGGCGGGGAGGCCGGGTGGATGAGGGGGAGGAGAACGAGAAGTCCTCGAACATGATGGCGAGACTGGAGGGGCGGATACAAAGGGTGGAGGATAATCAAAAGTGGCACCGTTTTAAAGTGCTGAGAAAGAAGTAATCTCCTCTATAAGTCTGGGAGAGATTGAAATCCGAGACTGATGAGTTTAAAAGTGGTGGTGGAGGTTCAGATTATCAAGATATGGGGGGAGAGAGAATAGGATATAGTGAAGAATAGATAGATAGGGGGAGAGACACAGCGGCACGGAAGAAGAGAGAGAAAGCGCGCGCGCGTTTAGTGCCTGGACCCGAGATTATAAGGCTAGAGCGAGAAGAAAAAAAGAAGGTCCCACAGTGGCCAATTTGCCTTTCCTTTTTGATTCTGGAAGAAGGGGAGAATATTTTATTGCGTAAAAGAAAAAAGTAAAAAGAGGGTCGAACGGATCCAGCGCGCGTAAACGTAAAGGGAGGGCCGAACCTTGGATGGATGGCGTGGGGGGGAAAGACAACGACGAGACAAACGGAGAGAGAGAGAAAGATTGCGAGACTTGAGAAACTAACGGCGGCCAGAGTGGGCCAGTAGAAAAACAACAGGGAAAAGAATTAACAAAACAAGAAAAGAGATTGGGAAAAGGAGAAAGGGGAGAGAGACTGGAGCAGTCGAGGCCTTGGGCCTCTTTAGCCAGGAGGCATATCAAAGACCTTTATAACGAATCCCCCCTCCTTCCCCCCTTTTTTTCATTTAATGTATAAGCCGGGGAAAGAAAACAAAAAAAAGTAAGGATGAAACTAACTACTACCATCTGAGTAACTATGAAAATGAATTCAAGACGAGGAAATGAAGGCAAGAGCAAATCGGAGAAAGACAAACTGCTGACCGCCTTCCCGCCTCGGATGGGGTTTCCGGCGGCTGATTTTGCCATGAAGAAACCATTCATTCATCACGAATTCTACATGTATTTCTTTGCCTCCTTTGTCAATCATATTCTTCAATCATCATCATCATCATCATCATTCTCTTTATTCGTCCCGAGTCTTCTATGTACTTAGTACTATGTAAATACCACGCACTACTGTTTGATGGCTTGATGAATCCCTGTCGCGGCGTCGGCCGACTTCAATATACTCAAGCACCCCTGCTCACAGAGATCTCGATCGGAATATCACGAGATCAAGAGGGTAGTCGATCGCCTCCGAAAAGAACACACACGTCGCCACTGGCTCTGGGCCTGTAATCTCGAACACGGCTCCAATTCTTCCCGGTTCCATATAACGGCCTTCGATCTGCCACGGCCGTCTTGGAGACCTTTTGGACCCTTGTCGCCACCCGCCTTAGCTGCTTTCGGTAGAACAGGCGCGTTTCGGTTTTCTCCTCAGGCAAAATTACGCTCTTCGCTCCGGCTGAACCTACTCGGAGATGTCCGTCCCTTTGGGTCTAGCGCGTGTCAATCACCAGGGGGGGGAGTGAAAATCAAAAAGCGAGGCTCGACTTTTTGACACGGAAGAATCTCTTCAGAAAGTTCAGGTAGACCGTACACGGCTCGGTTCCGAGAATGACAGGATTTGTGACTCGTGAGAACTCAATCCAGTCCTCGAACTCCCGGTCCCCTGACATTTTTGGTTTTCTACCCTCCCGTAAACGGTTAGTTGACCAGTCATATGCGGCTTGGCTCCAGACTCTCCGCGACCCCAGGCTCTCTCTCTCTCGGTGTTTGGGATCCATCTCTCTCTCACTTCAAGGAAGGTTCTTCCTTTCTTGTGAGTTCTCCACGTATAGTGGGGCCTTTGTCTGGCCGAGGTCGGGCTGTCGGAAATAGAAGTCTGCTTTCTTCCGTTGGAGATAAGCACAAGAAGCCGTAATCGAGTGGGTTGCTTTGCGCCTTGCCTCATCGTCTTCTCAGGTCGCTTGAGCCGCGGCCTGCTTTGATTGCTTCTTTGCCTAGTGATACCCGAGCTGACGATTTGATGTCTGAAAATAATCGGTATACCCTTCTAGTACTGTACAGTAGGTAGTCGTAGAATGGAGGGTCAATGTACTCTGGAGTATAAGATTAAGATGCCTGAGACTCAGGACCCACCAACTATGAATCGGGCTGGTTAAATGATTACGCTCCACTCGCTCGACGACTATTCCCTGATTATCTCCGTTGTGCGCGACATTCATGTTGTTAGCCTGATTCCGGGTGGACAGGAGCCACTGGCGATATTTGCAACGCTGAAGGGAAACAACAAACCGCTGCCAGATTGCTACGGTTGAATACCGGGAGTAGATAATTGTGGAAAGCATGCTATTGCATGAAGACATGAATTGAAAGCGATTAAAATCGGAAATGCAATAATGTTTTTCTATAAAAACCCCTGTCTAAGGCTCCGAATTGCATTGGAGAAGTTCCGAACCCGATCCAAGTCCATCGAACTGTTTCCAGCGTATCAGGACGGCCCTTCTCAGCCTCGCAGATGGTCGATGATCGTAGAAACCTTGCCGAGCAAGGAGTAACTGATGGATGGCTTGATTACAATATCATCATCGGTGCCAGAGCCGCCGCTGTCATCTCTCTTCACGTTGGTCATAGAGTGAATGGAGTTCAAGGCGGCATCGGAACGGTTGAGTCTCTGTCAGGTGCTCGTCCTGCGTAAAATGAGCATTAATAGATGTGATCTCGACTGAGCGGTCATTCTGCCAGGTTGCTGTAAGCGAGAGGAATCTTGACGGCAATTGCATCATATGACCCTACCTGGTCGACCTGATTGGCATCTTGTTGCAGTGCGACTGGGCCAGCATTAACGAGCGAGATAGTCCAGAAGGCATTCAGGAGCAGCAGAAGGCCCAAAAAGAGAAGCGTTGGAACGAAGAGATGGCATGACGACTGTTGGATGAACTGTGATAGAAGTGGCAGAGTTTCCTGCGAGATGGAGATCAGAAATCGGGGTATCGCAATAGAGCACAATCTGCGTTATCCTCAAAGCTCGGATTGATGAGTGGCAAATGAGCCATCTCATCCTTCCCTTTATAACAACCATCACCGTCCGGGACTGTAGATGACTTGACCCGAGCTGAAGCTCAGTCTTTTCCTGAAGCGTAGACTATTACACCTTCGAGGCAGGTGCAGCAGAACCATGTCTATACACCCAATGCAATCCGATGTTCGACAAAGGTTTATCATGGAACTATCTACTGGATGTGTGTTGACAGTAATGAAGTAGAAGGGATGCGCATTGCTGAATAACTACAGATGTGTATCTGGACTGCATGCATGCTACAAGCTCACGAAAGTCCCAACTCTCCACTGTGCAGCTTCAAATGAGCCAAACTCTGTGTCGATGCCAGAATCAAGGCATAATCCTCTTCTCGGAGGCACTGCGTCATAAGGTTGGAAGTACATTCCTGCCGGTAGTTCTTCACAACCCGCTTTCACGCTTTCGGAATGACAGCCTTGCGTTCATCGATAAGCGAGTCCTGCCAATAACTCGAGGAATGTAGCTAGGACTGATATAGTAGGGCAATGTAGCACAAAGAGCGAATGACGTCGGTGACTGACTGCCACAGAGATCGATTGTGCCTATCTCATGATCTCTCATTGGTGCATCGTGTCGTTCGGGCAATGTGGCGCTTTTCTGCACTCAGTGGAGCGGCATGACAGAAGCGTTTCTTGCTTGAAGAACTTCCTGGCCTCTTCACTTTGGTAGGCAGGAGTGGTATTGATAGCTATGGTCTAAAGTCATTGTTAGCACTAGAGTTGACTTGGACAATGACTGAACCCAGCTAAATCCATCCTGGTCTTTATTTTGTCGCGTCGCCTGCCTTCGAACACAGGAGACATGTCTAGCTTGTAAGATCGATCTCGATCAAGGCGGGTAAATCCTTCATCGTGGTGTTCACTCGCTATCCTGGGTCAGGTTGACGAATGGAGGAAGTTGATAAGCTCCGTGATAAGCGTAGTGCGGCAAGTCGGCAGAGTTCGGCGCGAACGCCGGCTTCCCTACCCTTCCCCGCAATCGAATCGCTTTGCCTCAACCGCGCTTTCTCCATCCCCTCCTACGTTCATCGTTACCACCAACGATCATCTTTATCCCCATCTCTCCTCAACCTACCACCATGGCATCCTTTCTTAAGAAACCATTGAAGCTTGCTTTGGTGCAGCTGGCCTCGGGTAAGTGATTGCACCCTCAAGAATCAACAAAATCGTTCTAATCGCTCATAACCATCGACCAGGCGCCGATAAGGCCTTGAATCTCGCCCACGCCCGCACCAAGGTCCTCGAGGCCGCCAAAGCTGGCGCTTCGCTCATCGTTCTGCCAGAATGCTTCAACTCTCCCTACGGTACTCAGTTCTTCCCCAAATACGCCGAAACCCTCCTTCCCTCGCCGCCTACGAAAGAACAGTCCCCATCCTACCATGCCCTCTCTGCCATCGCCGCCGAGGCCAAGGCCTACCTCGTGGGTGGCAGCATCCCCGAGCTCGAACCCTCCACCAACAAATACTACAACACCTCCCTCGTATTCTCTCCCTCCGGCGCCCTGATCGGCACCCACCGCAAGACTCACCTCTTCGATATCGACATCCCTGGCAAGATCACCTTCAAGGAGAGCGAGGTTCTTACCCCTGGTAACCAATTGACTGTGGTTGATCTCCCCGACTACGGCAAGGTTGGTCTTGCCATTTGCTACGACATTCGCTTCCCTGAGGCGGCCATGATTGCTGCTCGGAAGGGCGCCTTCCTGCTCGTTTACCCCGGCGCATTCAACACGACCACCGGCCCGCTGCACTGGTCGCTCCTGGCTCGGGCCCGGGCTGTCGATAACCAGGTTTACACAGCTCTTTGCAGTCCCGCGAGGGATATGGAGGCCTCGTATCACGCGTGGGGACACAGTCTGATTGTGGACCCCAGCGCGAAGGTGCTTGCTGAGACGGAGGAGAAGGAGGATATTATCTATGCGGATTTGGATAACGAGACGATCCAGAGTACAAGGAAGGGCATCCCCATCTACACCCAGCGGCGGTTTGACCTGTATCCGGATGTAAGTGCCGGGGGTCAGTAGAATAAAGTGAATGGTCGGAGGTATCAGCTCTTGGTTTTACCCAGCAAATAGACGAATGATGAATATTAAAGCAGGCTTACTATACCTCTCCGTGCGTAGTGATGTCCACCGAGGCTGGATTCACAAAGACAAAGTACATAGAGCTGATTATGCTCTCTGATATAATTCAATGGAGCGGAGCCGTGTGAATACATCATTGTTCTATTCATTGCCAGCCATCTCCAGAGCCGCATATAATAGCTCGGCCCTCCCCTCCCACATCGTCTTCAGTACAACCATCTCAGAACTCTTCAAGCCAGGCCCGGCACCAACCTCCAGCAATTCTACACCATCTTTGACTTACCCCATCGGCCATGCTACTACAGGCCTTTGGGTTGAAGGGATAGCCAAGCCTACTGCTTCAATTCCTGGATTCATTCCAATCCACGCCTATCACCCGCGGATCGCTCGTTCATGTTTTCAAATGATTTCGACGCGGACGGCTCCATCAGACAGACGCCAGTCCCATTCCAGTGGGACCAACGTTTCTCTTTCCCGCACACGGCCATTACTTCTACCCAGTGTATAAAGGAGGATATGTTTTGCGCGGCGAGAATGGGAAAGTGTGCTGCTCACGGTTGCTTAGAAAGCAGCGCGAGATCAAAGAAAACTCATTCGAGCAAAACGATATTTCAGTCGGCTCTGTCCTGGTAGCCCCAGACTACTGCCTAGGACAGCACGATGAGAAGAACGGTGTGACGGAGTCCGGGGATAAAGTGATCAACATCCCAGTCAAGCTCAACCAGCCCTATCAGATATCCCGTCTTGTTAACGAGCCAGGCATCAAGAAGGTAGTCTTGTCATAGTCTGTAGATCGCTCAGACAACACAGGGACTATTACCTCATCCAAACGATGTGAAGAGAACGTGCCACAACCCACGGGTTCGGTACCCATGATACCTCTAGCGGATTTCATTTCCAACGAGATACCGCCGTCAATGTCAGTCCTGACAACGATCTGCTTACCTGCAGCAGCAGCGAGCCCTGCAACCAGTGACGCCGCTGTGGGACCATCCTTCGCGAACAAAACAGTTCAGGTCGTAGTGGAAAACGGCAAAGATGCATGCGCCTGCAATGGTCAAATATCTCTCCCGCTGTACGGCCTGAATTGTTGCTCGCGACTATACCGAGCAAGATAGTGCCTGATGCAGATCTCTCACTTGAGCTTTTTCAGTGTGAGTCTGAAGGATTGCATGCGTTGCGAACCCCCGTAGCGGCAATGCGATTCTCATGCAGGGAGGAATCAACCACCGGGTTTCACCTTCCCTCCAGTTTCTCATCTCAGAAGGACGACACTTCTATTTTCTTTTCGCCTTCGCATCTATTCGTGAACTTTATGCAGATCTCTTGGGGTCCTGTTTCATTAAACTTCGCTTTGAAGTTTGACCAAGGCGTAAGCCCACACTTTTTTCTTTGAACCCCCTTTGGCATTGTCATACCGTTTTCAGAGGATCTACATCTGCCAAATCTCGGTAAGTCATCATACTCAAGAGATACCGCGCAGTAGCTGATGGTCGTTGCAATACGAAGAGAACGAGCCCTTAGCGCGCATGAGGATATACAGGATCATCCAAGAAGTCGTTACGAGCCATCGTCTTCACGTCCCATCATCCACGATGTGGATTCTTGGAGGTTCTCGAAGAAAGGCGCATATTGTTAATCTTTCCTATTAACAGTGCCATCATGGTCGTTGAAAGCTGCCTACGCGGCATACGGCCCCCTTGATCGGTAACGGACCAGGACCCGCCAGAGACGTACGTGTGCCAGATGCAAGATCTCTTGCGGCATGCGAGAACATCCTGGATTATCAAACAGGACTGAGCTCCGACTTGGTGAATTCCTTTCGTCCCTGCGTTCTTTTTTCGCGCTCAGTCAAGCACAGGCTATCTGTACCTGACAATTCAACTGAAATCTATCTCACCTTCGATCCTCCCATTATTCCGACCTTACAACCAATTGATCTTACCGAAGGCGAGGCCAACATGCCAGAAGAAGAGCATGGGATAAAAACACCGGAACACGGGCACGAGGAGCGTGATGATACTTAGGAAATGGTCGACAAGCTTCTGGCCCTCTTGGATGCTGAAGATTTGCCCTACCGTGGCGACCACGGATTTCCATACAAAGCGAAGGAACAAAACTTGAAGGGACTTCTTTTGCTCTTCATGCGTGATTCAATTTGCATCGCGCAAATTGTGCGTCCGCCTAGCAAGGGCTTCTAGCTTGGACGCAGCTACCCCGGCCGTCTTTGAAGAGAGGAACAGGATCGCTCATGGGAAGGGTTTGATCACGCCGGGATTTATATGGGTGGGGGGAGGGGTGGGAGAAAGGACGCCCTGTAGTGAGTCCCTCAAATAGCGAGAGTGGCTCTGCGATTATAGCAGTGGTTTGGAGTCCGGCTGGTGGCTGTTGCAGCGTTGACTGGCTAGATGGTGCTACACTTTGCACACTGAAAACCCGATGTCGAGCTCCACATGCACTGGACCACTATTGATCTTGGTAAAAACTTGTCCTGGGAGGCGGCTATATCCTGGGTGACGATTCGCAGCCCAAGGATATACCACTTTCTACAGCGCCGAAAGAAGCAGAAATGAACTGTTATGCACCCAGCCACGAGAAGTCGGATGCGCCCTAGAAAGTGCTACAACGGGACTTGAAGAAAGATAGTTGAGAAGTTATCTCGCAAATTGGAGTTAATATGATAACTTCTTCCTAGACACGGGTCGTCTTTTATACGTCATAGTCTTGATGGGCTGCCTGGAACCCTGACGAAGTACCGTCGGATCCTTCATTGCGGCGTTGACTTCTTGTTCACTTTCCTCTTCATCTGTACTATAGCGCCCATGACGTGACTCACGAAATCTTTCAGTCGAAATTCGCTACCGACCATGCTATTTGCCAGACTTAACAACTTGCGGGCTCAAACTATGTGCTCTAAGCGCAGGACGAGGGCAGACATGTACGTCCTGTGTAGGGAGGAAGAAGGAGTTGTCTGTATATGGCTGTCAGTGAAGCAACGGGACATAAAGGACAACGTTTTATTTCATCGGAGCTTTCATCCCCCCAGTATACGAACTTCTATGTCCTCTTATCCCGTTCACGCGCTGCACGATAAGCAACTCTACATTTGGATGATATCTGATGATATTACACAGATACCGACAAATGTTAAACCTAGGCCTTTGGCCTCCGTCACGAGACCCGATCGCTTTGCAAATGGGAACGAGATAGGAGTTCAGGGCATGGTCTGTGGGTGAAATATTTGACCAAGTTCTGGGGATCGCAACTGGAATTATGCGGCTTTCCAGAACTCTGGTTATGGACTGCATCGCTACATGATCTGCGGCAGCCTACAGCAATAACTGGGATTGAAAAAGAAGAAGAAGAAGCTGAGCGTGGGCATGTCGACCTGTCGGTGTGTGATCAGTGGCCTACAGTCACCGCGGTGTGGGGTCCGTTGACTACAGCGGGATTTCCGCCTGCGAATGTCCGACTCAGCGATTACTACTGGGTGCTCCTAGCCATAGCCCTTACAAGCAGCGCTGAAAGAGGACTCGGGAGTTAGATACCTAGTAGCCCTTTGACTTCACTAAGCAGGGCCACGTGCGCGCCAAAAGCGTTCCGCACAGTCCGACTATTTGGGATACTATGTTCCAAATAGGAGGGTGCCATGACCGGCACATGGTCTGCATCTTCGCTTTGTCCGACCCGCTCCGTTCCTTGGTGGACTCAAAAGTTGAAGCTTTTCCTCGCATTGTTTTTCTGTATCTTCAAAGTTCTCGGGTGGAACAGAGAGTTTACCAGCTTTACAAGCATTGCATCGAATTGGCCCTATGAGATCGTTTTCTTACTGTAAGGAACGGGAAGGAGCGGGGGGTTGTTTACTTAGTTTTACTAGCTTTTCTAGGCCGAAGTCGAATGATCTTATGAGCCCACTTTCTCCCAATGCTTTGCAGTAGGCCTTCTTCTTAGTACTGTGAGGTATTAGTCGTCTTTTCCAATATGCCATTCTCCCTTCCTTATTATAGGGATACTGGCCTGTTACCAGGGCCTCTACCTGATCAGAATGAGATTGAACGCGCAACACGAACCCTCCCCAGGGCATAAGATTATGGTGGACGCCTGGTCGTAATTAGAGAAGAATATGTTGTGAAATATGGCCCACTTATAACTGAGAATGAGGGACATGCTCTACTCTTTGTTGAAGAACAGCTCAACATCGCAGCACCACGACTTTACGCCATGTATCGCCATCAAGAGATACTATATATCATCATGGAATACATCCCTGGCATTTCGCTAGGGATGGCGTGGCCCTCACTCACTGAAGCCAATAAACATTCGATCGTTGGACAATTACGATGTATCTTCGATCAAATGAGAGCGCTGCCATCGCCCGGATTCTATGGCAGTGTCAGCCGATGGACCCGTTCCCCAGAGGTATTTCTTTTCTCGTGAAAAGAACCCTGCTATTACCGGTCCCTTTCAGACGGAAAAGAAGAATTCGGAAAAGCTATCGCACTTCGCTCAAAAACTATGTGGAGCGAATCAAATATGCACAGCTTTCTCTCCGACTATCTTGCTCGCCATCTCCCATCAGCACTTCGCGATCATCCGCCTATGTTTACTCACGGAGATCTCTACAGAGAGAATGTTCTTGTCCGAAAGGTCGTTAGTTCTGTTACGAATGAAGAGGAGTATGAGGTAGCTGCCCTTGTGGACTGGGAAACCGCTGGATGGTATCCTTCGTACTGGGAGTATGGACATATCTTCCCCCTATTGCAGTGAATTGACGACTGGCCGGAATACGTTGAGAAGGTTCTCGAACCCTTTCCGCTAGAGGCCGCCATGATACGGGTTGTCTTTAGTGATCTGGAGTTCTAATGTGAGATAACACCATGTTGAGACCGCGGTGTCTTTCACTTAGGCATCGGGTCCCCAGTGGGGTCCGCGGATTGGATTCAGTGCTCTCGCATCTACGTTGCTATCAATATCACTTTTGTTTTCGTCAAAGCGACTTTGTTTGCTGGAGTGCTGCTGTACAAGTTTTCCCACGCGTCAATGTCAATTGAGTTAGTTTTCTTGAACAAGAAGGGCATCTTGCCTGCGCGGACAGGCCGAATCAGGCTCGGGCCAGGATTTATTATGCATTACAGTGAATTGGTTCTGCTACGACGCATGAAATTGTTCTCACAGCATATTGTTAGACTTCCAAAACTAATGCCTTCTCCGGTTTCACCAGCAGTGAAAGACTCAAAGGCTAATAATTAGTGGTTCTAGACATACATTCCCTCAATACGACTCTCTGACTCTCTTGGCTTGGCCAAATTCTTCCTGGAGGCTCTCACTCAATCCCGCAGCCAATTTCAAATGTTTGTATCCCACTCTCTCCCCACTCACTGTGGCAAGAGCGTGCGCAATGGCAATGAGATTCTTGATCTATTTATTTCCTAGAAGGTAATAGTGGTGTCCCCGCCGTCGAATCGCACTCCTTCTCCCCCCTTCGTTACTCCTACCGCAGGAGGAGGACAAATCGTCTGTCGGCTCTGCCGAGGGGGAGTCACTACCTCGCCTCTCGCCCCCTCTCGCCTTGGGACGGCCTCGCCTCCAGAAGAGAAAGAAGAGGTGGAGATTCTCACTGATAGTACTGCAAGATAGATCTTTTCCTCCCCTCCCGACATCCATGTTGTTCACACGCATCCAGCATGAACCAGAATAACCAGTCCGTCGATCAGTAGGCTTCCTGAGCATCTCAGTATGGGTGTACTCGTACATGCCATGATAGCCGTGTAGGGTGCTGCTGGTATCATCTGGGTGCGACGTCTGGAGGTACTAGATGAGGATGATGTCAGGGATCTGTTGGGTCGTCTCCTGAGGTAGTCGACACGCTGCTGTGCTGTGCTAGTTAATTGGGAAGGTAGTTGCGGATTGTGGGGAGGAGATCACGGAGGGGGATTTGAGGCGAGTGCTGTTGGTTACAGGGTTTGGTTGACTGTGCGTATGCTTTTGTGACAGTTTAATGGTGCTGGGATCGCTGAGGTGGACGGCGTTGTGTTGGCGGTTAATCATCTTGCTCCCGATTGAATGGCGTGTAGATCATGAGGCAATGATGGGGGTTGTTGGTTCTTGGTTGAGGTTTATCCAGGTGGCTGTATGTTGTAGACTGAAAAGGAGAGAGGAGGGTGGTAGAGGAAGAAGGCCCGCGGAGAGATAACATCTTCCTTACTTGTATGGGCTCTGCTCGGTTCCGGCAGTCATTCCGCCATCATCCTCGGGGGTTTAGTGCTTGTGCTTGTGCGTTATGCTTGTGAACTATATTTTATCTGCTGCTTCTGTCTATACTATATCCAATCACCGGTGTCACCGCAGGAACGATACAGCGCTGTTTCATTTAATCTCGTGGAGATCTACATACATCATCAGGAGGTAATAGTAGATATGACCCCCAAGACGGCATCGTGTGCAATGGCATTCTGTTCCTCGATCTCGCCGACCGCTGTTTCGAGGTCGCTACCTGGCTCGTCACTTGTCTTTTGCGACTTCCTCATGTCCTATGCTCGGTAAGGGACAGTAAATGATTGGTGATATACTAAGAACGGAACAACAAGGGGAAACTCTAAAGACTGAGACTACCACGCGAGGAAGAATATTGAAAGGGAAAAAGATGATAAAACGAATGACTCCGGAGAGCGGAGCTTTGGGTGAATGCGCATCAAATAACCAAAAACTAGACCATCCATTTAGTTACTCTCGTCTGAGCGAGCTTAAGACGATCTGGTCTAATCGGCGTTTCCAGTTGGAGACAAGTCCCTGACTTAGTGTTCAGCAGCGATCAAGACTCGGTTGAGGGTTACAGACCCACCAACACGACGACTTCGGCCTGCCTCGAGGCGATATCGTCAGTACGAGAACCTGGAGGCCTCCTCGCCTGGCCATACGAGACTGTAAAGCTGTAGATGTGCTAGACATGCTAGACATATCACATAGATAAGAACACTATCAACGCTTATCTTATTTAAAACCCCACCGGATCAGGAAGGCTTCGACGACGCTTCCCCCCTACTGACTGTATGTACATGAGCTGGTGAGTGCAGGTCCGGTCTACACAACGAACCTTGTACTATCTGGGGTGCTTGATTGATCCCTTAACCTTTGACTCTGTGAAAAGCTGGAGAACGACTCAACCGATTTTGCCTTTACTACCACAGAGGGCTAGTGGGGACAATCTCCCCAGGCGACATGGCTCAGTGAACCCCACCACTCAAGGCCCTAACCGGGCAGCACAGTATCAGACTGTGGGTTTCAGTTCGAGCAGATGCCTTGCTCGAAAGTTCAGGAATCAGGATCTTGGCTAAGAACTGGAATCAACGGAGACCTTGCGTCGTCGCTCTTGCCATGGCAGCCTCGACCTGGTCCGCTGTTGTAGGATCACGTCCGACCCCACAACCAGAAATGCGGGTTGATCGAGCCCTATGTCATCTGCAGTTGCATTGGTACTCCATATCACGTACCACAGCCAACCTTAAGATGGGACCGATGGCCCTTGTGAAGGAGCAATTGCAAGTTTACCCCGGATCTGCTTGCCAGATGAAGATCATGAAGTGGTCATGCGACCTCCGATCTTGGATCGATTCCCCACTAATCCTATCCGGGGATATCTTCTTCCGCGTAGGGCTCGTTGCAAGTGGGTAGTTGCAGGTGCAAAGTATACCACAATTGGCGCTTCAGAATGAAGCTCTTGAATTAAGCACATGGACTGGCATCGCATCAGGCTCACAGCCTTGCCTGTCCCTGCGCGTCTCAGAAGAATCGGCCTATCCAAAAGATGTGCGGATTCCTTCCGCAAGTGTCCGCTCCATCGCAGTGACTGAAAGACATCTAGGGTTGATCGACAGACTCAAATGTTCCTTCTCATTCAGAAGATCTGTGCGGAGTAAGGAGAGTGTCACTAGAGTGATACATTGTGGCATCCAGCTGAGGATTTTTTAGTTCTGAGGTTCTGATGTTCTGATACTCCCTGTGAATTGAAAGGAAGAGCGCCAAGAATCTGCGAAGGCATACGGAGGCGGTACATCACGTGCTGTAATCGCAGCCAATCAGCACGCCCCCAGTCGATAAGCGAGCCCGCACTGGAATTCCCACCAGCGAAAAACCGACCATCTCGAAATCTCCTCCATCCTTGACCGTCGACGACCACTACAGCCAACGACAGCCGACATCTCTGTCCCTATTCAGTGAGTCCTTGTCGCCATAATATCAGTGTCATCTCGCCCTCGAGAATCTCCAAACTAATCACATTTCTTCGCTTTCCACCGCAGAAATGTCCAGCACCGTCAACAAGACCGGCAAGAAGACCCGCTCGGCCATCGCCGATGTGGTGTCCCGCGAGTACACCATCAACATGCACAAGAGAGTACGTTGAAGAAACACGCACATTGCGATTCCGCTTTTTCTCCACGAAAGAGGACTTGATTGTTTCTCTTCCCCTTCCCTACACGCGACATGCGATACGATCCAGGAACGGAAAAAAAAATTCCTGTCGGAGGTCATGGACGGAGAACAAGAACGACGAAACACACGATGGAAACAAGGACAACCACGAAGCGCGAACTCTCTTAGTACCATCTGAAAAGAGGCAAACGAGAAGGACCGCCAATGGATGTGTTTTCGTGCTGTTGTCGAAATTGTGTGGAGGAACAAATTGGGGGTTTCAACATGATAGGAAAGAAATTTCCGAATCATTTCTCTCTCTCCAAAAAGAAGAATTAGTTTGATGAAGTCCACCTCAAGGCCGAATTTCCCGCATGTTCCATGCAAGATATTCTCCCACACCTTTTTTGCAAAAAAAAAATTCCCTTTACATCTATTTTTAAGATGGCATTCGGGCGGAAGACTAATATCTCTTCTTTTTGGGTAACAACAGCTGCACGGTGTTAGCTTCAAGAAGCGTGCTCCCCGCGCTATCAAGGAGATCCGCGCCTTTGCTACGCGTGCTATGGTAAGTTTCCTCCTCTTCCTTTCTCCTTTGGTCATTACTAAACAACACACCCGTGATAGGGCACCACCGACGTCCGCGTCGACCCCCAGCTCAACAAGAAGGTCTGGGAGGCCGGTATCAAGGGCGTTCCCTTCCGTCTCCGTGTCCGCATCTCCCGCAAGCGTAACGACGAGGAGGGCGCCAAGGAGAAGCTCTACTCCTACGTCCAGGCCGTCAACGTCAAGGAGGCCAAGGGTCTCCACACCGCCGTTGTCGATGACGAGTAAACTGCTCGCTTCGTTCAACGACGTGTGCTTGATATCCCCCTCTCAAAAAAAAACGACCTCATTGTATGAAACAATATCTACTCTAGAATGAATGGGACAATATGATGTCGGGTGTTTTGCTGGATCCAAAAAAAGTTCTAAAACCTCTTCTTCTTTTCGCTCTTAAGTACTAGTAATATTGGAATTGAATGGTGAGATGGGTGTATCGGGTGTGATAAGTACTCTTTCGTGTCGTAGTACCAGGTAGCGTGATGATGCCGCATCGAGAGATCCGGCCATACGGCTTCTAACTCAGCCCAAGGGCAAATGTCTACGAATTTCGGTTTCCCATCCCATTTACTGTTTCAGCTGAACATTATCAGAAAAGAAATGGTATTCACATCTACCATGTCATGGACAGCAGCATGCATCAAAGGAAAAGATGTGTATCAAGCCCACAACTGCCACGAAGACTTCAAAAGGAAAAAAAAATATCTTCTTTCTAATAATACACCAAATCAACCCGACTGCAATCATAGAATCACAAGGCAGGCAGGAAGAAACAAGGACGACGACTTATGGACAAGATGAAGAATTCCCATTTTTAAAGAACACAGAGAAAGAAAAAATTTTGCCTTTCAAATCCACAGACACTCGCTATGCTAGATGCGCCTGTTCTCCCGGATGGACAAGACAAGAGACAAACGATGACGACGCTATTCCCGACGACGATGCAGCTTGTGACCGGTCAACTCGAGAGATGCAACGAGACTAAACAAAATCGGAGAAAAAGAGGAAAAGAGAACTTTACAGACAAATGCCTTAACTCCCTTTGGGGGGTAAACAGAAAACGGCCCCGTTTTACTGAAAATTAGAAAGCATGGACAAGAAGCGGTGGGACAGGGAAGTAGATATCAAGAAGTAATTATGGGATGGTGCCTTGCAATGGTAGGAGAAAAGGGACCACGAAGAAATTTGCAATAAAGGCGTCAGGAAGTGGGTAAGATTCAGAGAGCATTGCCGGAGCTGTGAGAGGCGCACATGACCTTTCAAGGCACCCTCTAGTTCCTTCGTGAAGTCGCAATGAAATAGCCATGCTCAGTGAATGAGTATGAAGACGTCCATCTAGACTAGACAGACGAGAGAAGCCTTATTCAAGAAGCTTCACGCACGTGTTGAAAGAGGGAAAGACCTTGAGACACTTGGGCAAGGATAGAGGGAAAACAAAGAAAGATCCAAGAACAAACCAGTGTACATTGCTCGCACCTTACGCCCGCCAACCCGATCATGAAGAGCGTGTCCAAGTATGCTTCAGATGGACACAAGATTCGTAGATAATGACCCAGTGCGAAACTAAGCTTTGTTTTCCTCCATCGTCTTGCTGAGGCGTTCTGCATCGTCCTTCGTCTTGACCCGAAGTGCCCACATTTCTGGAGGTCCTTCGGCTTGAGGCACCATGAATTGGACACTGTTGCCCGCTGCCTTGTACGAAATAGCTTTGACGAGGTACGTGTTAAGAACGACATTGCCGCTAGGGTCGGCCCTGATAAGGATACGACCGCGAGAGGTGGTGCGATGTTTTAAGATGCGAACAAAACCAACACCCTGACTTTCCCAGGCGCTCTTGTTGTGCTTCATGGCACGAGCACGGTTCTCCAAGATAACATCCTCATCCTCTTCACCGGCTCCAGTGCGGAGATCAGCCTGGGGTAGATTTTCCGCTCCGTCACCGTCGCCGGACTCTTCTGCTCCGGTGTCGGACGTGACACCAGGGGTGGATTGGCGGCTAGGAGTAGCCGATGCCAGTGCTGAAGAGTTCAAGACAGAGGGGGCCTGAAGGGATGGATTTCCGAAAGAAAAGCCAGCTGATGGCTGTGTGCTAGCGGAACCGGATTTGGCCAAAGATGACGGGGCCCCAAAGAGAGAAGAAAATGGTTTCGGGGTCTCAGATGCCGCCGGGGTTGCAGACCCGGAAGCTGAAGGGCTGGCCGCAAATTTGATTGGAGAATCAGGCTTCCAGGTGTTGTCGCCAGACGGCTTGGAGAAGATGGATGGGGTGGCAGCGCCGGGGCTGGAGCCAGCAGAACTGAAAATGCTGGAGCCAGTGTTTGCAGACCCGAAAAGGTTGGTTGTCGCAGGCTTAGACGCGGACTTCTCAGACTCAGAACTGCTGTTCTGTGTGAAAGAAGTTGGCGTATTGAGAGACGATGAGAATTTGGATGCACCAAATAGTGTAGATACGGAGTTCTTCTGTTCTTCGTCGGCTTGACGCTTAGGTTTACCTTCATCATCATAAGAGACGCGGTCAAACAAGCTCCGTCCACCCGAGGTTGCGTCCGCAGTTTTGGTCGGCTTCGATTTTTGGAGGGCTTTGGCGAAATCGCCATCTTCGCTACTTGGTGCAGGGGATTCGGCTGCACTAGAGGCAATGTCGCTGGCTACAGTCTTCGCCGCGTCCTCTTGGTCGTCTCCTGCGTTTGAGGCTTCTTCGGTATCGTTATCCTCGTCATCGCCGTTGTCCTCAGCTTCGGAGGGAGTCGCAGACAGATGACCAAAGATGTTGCTGGGCTGGGCAGCGGACTTGTTTTGTTTGTCGAAGACGGAAGCACCAGATTTGGCACTATCAGCCCCTTCAGTCTTCTCAGGCTCCTCGGGGGCGTCCTCAAAAACGAAACCTTTGCCAGGGACAAACTTCGCACGCTTCTTGGCTTGAGCGGCATGCTCCTCTTGCTTCTTGCGCTGTTTTTCGGCGTCTTTGCGCTCCCACTCAGCTTCGTCTTCCTCCTCAGAGTCGAAGTCCTCTGCTTTGCGCTTAGCCTTCTCCTTCGCTGCGTCTTTCTCGGACTGAGCCTTAAATTGATCAAAGAAGTTACCGCTGGCCGGGGTACCAAACTTTGGAGGAGCAAGAATAGAGCTTGAGATGGCTCCATTCTCCTGGCTGGCGGAAGGTTTGAGGACAAATGGATTTTTTGGTGCAATTTCGCTAGATGCACTGGAGGTTGGTGGCGCACTCGACATTGACGAGGAGAAAAGCGAAGTGGAAGTCGAGCCTTGGGTGGATGAGCTCGAGAATGACAACTGTGGCTTAACTGGCTCGGTCGCGGGTGTCGCAGAGAACAAGGAAGGCTTGGGGGCTGGAGTAGAGGGCTTTGAGAGCGATTGCTTGTTCGTCAAGTCGTCATCAGACTCAGATGTCTTGGATTTGGAAAATGACTGCGCGAAAATGTTCGCAGTAGTCGAGTCTCCATTGACACGTTTGGGGGTGCCATTGGGCGTACCATTGGCCTCGCCCTCATCAATTGATTTCCTCTTCTTGCTGCTTGGAGAGGCATCTTGAGCGGCTCTAAAGGTCTTGGCAACAGGGGTAGAGTTTGCCGTCGCAGGAGTGTCTACATCGATAGGGGTGCCAGTTTTCACCTTCTTCGATACGACGCCATTGACATCTTCTGCAGCCTTGCGTTTGGTAGCGACAGGCAATCCAATGGTGTCCCGAACGCGCATGTAGAACTGCAAGATAGCATCAAAGCTACCACTAGATGGATCGGCTTTGGCCACCTCGCGCTTGAAGCATTCGTTCAAGGTACGCAAGCGGTGAAGCGTTTCAACGTCAGCTTTAACACCATTGCCTACGTCTCCTGCAACTTTAGGGGATTCCAGTTCCTCGAAGTCAGAAGATTTGTTCAACTGGCTGCTTGAAGTGGTTTGCTGGTCTCCGTTGACCTTAAACAGACTCTGAGGTGCCGCAGTGGGAGTTGCGGCTGCTGACTTTGGAGTGAAGAGACTCGGAGTCGAGGGCGAGGGAGTAGCGGCGGCAGGAGATGAGAATAGTGCCGGAGGGTTGACTGGTTTCTCAGATTCACTGGACTTAGGTGTCTCAGCGGGCTTGGGCGAGAATAAATTGCCAAAAGGATTCGCAACAGGTGCTGGCTTTTGCTCGGATTCCGGCTTGCTCGGTGTTGCAGGCTTCGACGCAGCAAACAAATTACCGAAAGGATTTGGTACTGCGCTCTGAGGCTTGTCCTGCCCCGAAGATGCCGTTGTCTTTGGCGCAAAGAGGCTTCCGGTGGATGGAGGTTGCGAGGTTTCAGTCGAGGAAGAAGCAGGGGCTGGAGAGCTGGTACTCGCAGGCACTGAAAATAAGGACGGGGTGGCGTTCGTCGACGAATTGAATTGGAAAAGGTTCTTCGGTGTATCAGCAGGTTTCGGTTCGTCCGTCTTCTCATCCTTTTTCTCCTCAGATGGCTTCTGTGTGCTGGAAGGTACGCCTGAGAACAGATTGGAAGATTGGAAAGGGTTCTTGAAGGGAGTGGCTGGGCTAGCTGAGGGTGCCGCGCCAAACAAGCCAGAAGAGAACGGGGTGGTCGTGGCAGCAGGAGCGGGTGCTGTTGTTGAAGTTATAGAGGCTGCAGTAGTTTGATTGGAAGCGCTGCCGCCGAAAAGAGGGGCAGGGGATGTAGAAGTTTGCTCGGTTGGCTTGGCTCCAAACAAGAACTTCGCGGGTGATTCGCTGGACGAGGACGTCGCGCCAGTGAAAGCGCCACCAAAGAGTGGTTTGCTGTCCTTGCTGCTGTCGTCCTTGGAGGGAGCTGGCGAGCTAGGCGTAGATCCGATACTGGTGCTGGGGAAGGATGACTTCTGACTCGAAACTGATTTAGCGTCGGGAGAGATGTGCATTGAGTCCGATCCGAATGGATTAGACTGGCCGAATATAGAAGGCTTGCTCGCACTAGTCTGACCAAATATGTTGTTTGAAGGTGCAGAGGTGGTACTGCCCTGACCGAAGATGTTGGCTGTAGGGGCCGTTCCGTTTTGGGTAGAAGATCCAGTATTAGCGCTTGCGCCAAAGATTCCTCCAGTGTTACTCTGTTTGCTTCCAGCTCCAAAGATCGAGCCAGAAGGTAATGACTGCTGTTGCTGAGCTGCCGATTGGTTTCCCGCTGACGGGGCGTTGAAGATAGAGCCTTGAAATCCAGAGAAAGCCGCCGGCTGCTGGGGTGGCTGCTGGCTGGTGCTGCCGGTGCTGCCGGTGCTTATGCTCGAGAAAGGGTTATTGGCTTGTGGGCCACCGAATGAAGACGAGAAGCTGAATGAGGACGACCCTGCGCCTCCAGCACCACCAGTCCCAAAGGAGAACGGTGTCGAGCCATTCTGGGTCGACTGGCTGGGTGTCGAGTTGGCACCTGGAAAGCTTTGGTTCTGTCCGAATGTGAATCCGGTGGATGGAGGTTGCGAGCCAGCCATTGTGGATGATACTGTGTTGGGGTCGATCGGATTGAAGGCGCCACCGAAGGTCGGTGCAGATGCATCTGAACTACCAGCAGGAGTTTGGCGTCGAGATCGCATTGGTCGGATTCTGGGAAGTGTCAGTCAAAAGCACGTCTGTCAAAAACGTGTGAAGAGCGATATGTGGCTAATGTGGGAAGATGGGTATGGAAACGTAGAAATTAGGAAATGGGAAGATGAGGAAGCGAGAGGGAAGAAAGAGAGCACGCAAGGGAGGTAAACAGAAAGTTATCTCGACGTGTTACTCCGTCCCAGGGAACGTCGAAGCTGCAGGGAAAAGAAATAAAATTTATGCATGAGATCGCCCGTAAAGGTCGGTCTACTTTCACTTACTTTCTGGCCGCCAGCTGCGCGGCAGTTGCCCGCTGTGGCTTTTCTTCCGGTGTGTTATCCATGTTGAAATCGGCCATGTGCCCACCAGTGCTGCCCCCTTGGCCACTCTGGGCTTGTCTTTTAGACATGTATTAGCCGACTATTGCGGAGTCTCCCAACTGCGATGTAGTCAAGGCAGTGGTTGGTGGAGCGTTCCTTAAGGACTGACTCTCATGCACGATTGACGGCAATTTGAGAGCGCGCGATGTCTCCTGAAAGCTATTGCTTTCACTTTTCCAGCGCTGACAAGCTTCCAAGCTAGTTATCCAGAGGTTCCTGTTCTCGGAAGAGCCAACAGTGAAAATGCGCGCAGGACTGCGGGTGTTGTGAATAAGAGGGTCAAAGTGGATATGGGTGGGTGGCTTTTTGAACGCCTCGGCGAACTCGGCGAACTCGGGAAATCGCGTGATGGCTACTTCGTTCGCTTATTACGAGCTTCTCGAGTATTGACAAATGTCGAATCAGTTTAGGAGGGAGGAGGTCGCAAGCTTGTTCCGTATCCGGGGTGATGAGTAGCGCAGCGCGCGAAGACAAGCGAGGCTAGACAATGGGGGAACGAGACGGATGGAAGCAGATAAGAGGCAGAGCAACAGGCCTCAGGAGTTGAGAGTGAATAGTGATGGAAAGCGCCTCCGTTTTGATGTGCTCTGCCTGCGGAGGGGATGGGGGTTGCGGTTTTTTTAGCCTTCACTCTCGTCGGCTCGCGACTTGCGGGCAGGAAAGGAAGACACTGGCAGAAAAAATTACTGTCACGTGATCATACGCAAGGCGACATCAGGCCAGCATGACATAATGGGTTGATACGCGTTGCGACCGTTCGCTATGCTGGAAGGAGCTATTGTCGACGATTTACAAGATACCTTTTGGTGCCTTTTTCCAGATACTTACTAGGATCCTTTCTGGGACCCTTTTTACTTGAGGCTCAGAAAGAGTTTCTTTCTTCAATCCTTTCTTTCTTTGCTTTATTCTTTGCCAATCCAGTCCGTGTCTTCCGTTACGGGAAGGTAAGGTATCGTTACACCTCGGACCCTGCAAGAGAAAGCGGCAGGCATGTCAGCTGTAAGATTACGGGGTCATGCACCCTCTTTGTTTCCATGGCAAAAGAACATGAACAATGCCGCTGGCAAGTGGCACAACTTTCCTCTTCATCTACATCTTGGACGGGTGAGCTCGGGATAGCTTCATCCTTTCTATCCTCAGACTGCTTTGCTTTTGGCCTAAAGCAATGGTATCTTTGCCCATTATTGATTGCCGGGGCCGAGGACGTAGGTACAGTACTCGAAGTAAAAAGTGGATGTATATAATGGTGGTGTTTTTGTCCCGTGCAGCGACCGCACCGGCTATACTACTGGCAACAAGAATAAGCAACGATGTTACCTTCCCAGCACGTGCAACGGCCTTTGCCCTTTTCGAAGAGGGGATGGTGATTTTACTATTACTTCACATCCTTATCCCTGTCTGCCTACTGAGGCTGAGACACCATGTAGAACTCGATCCCTTTCCCCACAAGGAAATAATTATCTATTGCACCCATCATAGAATTTACATTGAGTATGCGAGTCTTCTATAACCTTGAATGGCCTGTCAATCTTTGGAAATGGCTATACAAAAGAGGCAAAAAACGCGAGTAAAGAAGCAAGACATAATCCAGAAATCCAGAGGGTATCTATAGCTTGGCCTTGCTCTGGGCCTTCTTCAACACGGGCTCCATCTTGGTCGCCTTCATGATGTTGCCCTTGATCTTGAGCTTACCGCCCATGAACAACCGCTGAGCATTAGCCTTGCCGCTGACAAGGGAGCTGAAGTCCTCATCAGAGAGTGAGAGGGTGACTATTTCCATCGGATTAGCATTTCGTCGGCACTCAGTCGTACGGCTCCTTGAATAGCCCTAGTCACTCACCATCTGGCTTGCTGCCCTGGGGAGCGGGTCCCTTGCCCACAACGCCCTTGTCCTTGAGATCGAGATGCCAGCTCTCCTCTTCGCCCTTGGAGTTCTTGATGTTGAAGGAGACCACGGCCTTGGCCTTGTCGATGGCCTCTTTGCGCTCACCAGCGTCCGACTGTAGGGCGGAGTGGATCGCATCGAATGCGGCGGAGGAGGGGAAAGCGTCTGCAAGAAACGATATGCGAGTTAGCAACAATCAGGGCTAAGTGTATTGGTTGTTGCTGTGTATATGAGTAAGCGTACCGTGCTTGAGAGTCATGTTGGTTATGTAGTCCGAACTGGAAGAAGGAATGTCAGAGAGCGCTGAAAGGACCGTAGGAGTATCGACGGGAGATCGGAAAGTTTCAAAAAAATGCCAGCGATGAGGATCTGAGGGAGTATTAATAAAGTCCGACCCAGGGATTCAGGATTGCAGGATTCAGGCCAGCTTCCCCGGAGTATTCGGGGCGGGAGGCGCATGTGAAATACTGGAGGCGGTCGCGGGGACCGGCTTTGGACCGAGGCTGGCAATCCTGTGATTCTCTCCCGTCTTCTGCACGCGCTCGCCATGATTGATGAAACCCCTCACCATCTCATTATCCAGACTCTGCAGGTCGGAGATTGATTAGTCACAGACTTGGGAACATTTGGATGTTGGCTCTACTGGGTACAAGCTTTCTGAACATCTTCCCCGCTAACATGACATCCTCGGCCTCATTCTTTTAGACGAATGATGTCAGACTCGTCGGGTAGCTGCACATGGCATCCTGCTACTGTACACGGCAAGGAGTCAAGGGTACGCATGTCTATCAAGGCATTGTTGGTCGATAGCTGCAGGCCTTCATCACTGCCTTAAACTTCGATGGTTGAAGTGGATCTACTCTGATACCGCAATGATGTGCATATATGTATGGAACCGAATGGAATCAACTTCAACAGCAATTCACGGCTGCCTCACTGGCTTACCAGGCTGTGATGGGTACTTGGAACAAAATCTGTTTTACATTCTATCTAGATCACAGATTCATCTCATGACTTGCTCAATTATGCTTCGTTCTGGTTCACGGTTCCTCTTTACAAGAAATCTGGGCCCCGCCCGCATCCCAAGAAGTGGACTCCATCCCCGTACAAGAATGCAAAAAGACGAGATCAAGAAGACAATACAACCGAAACTGGAAACTGAACAGATGGTTCTCATGCACTTTTCATCATTCACACCTTTTTTTGCGCTCTCCTTAAACTCATTCCTCTCTCACACAGACCCGTACGTTCTCTCACTCAACAGATGGGTGGAACAAGGGTTGTTGAAAGGGAAGGGCTCGCAAGGCTCAAGCTGCACACAACTTTAAGCAACGACAGCGGTAGCATCCTTCTTGCGGCGGACGCTGAGCTTCGTGGCCAAAGGTGGCAGCTGAAATCTGCCCCACCCTAGTGAGTGAGTTAGCACCGCATCGGTCTGGATTTGATATGAAATTCGACTTACTATGAATCTTGGGTCGAGTCTCCATGGGCTGGATGTCATACTTTAGGAGCATCTCAGCAACGAGGACCTTGAAGACATGGGCGAAAATCCAGCGTCCAGGGCACTGCCGACGACCATGACCGAATACCACATATGTGTCGCTGGTGGCAGTGATCAAGTCATTACGTCTCTCCTCGACCGGAACGTCAGGGACATAGAACCGGAAAGGGTTGTATTGATCCGGAGAAGGATAGATGTCGCTGTCACGGTGAAGTGCGTACTGTGGAACCCCAACCTTAGTTCCGAAGGGAAGGTGGAGTCCGTTGCCAAGATCGACGCCACTGGTTGCCACGACCTGATAAACGCAGACATGTTTTGTTAGGACTGCTGCATGTTCACTGGGGGGTGGGAGTGAATAATGAGGCATGACAGGTTGCTTACCTTTCGAGTGGGGGAGACAGCATTGATTCCATTCAGGCGAAGACTCTCCTTGATAGCGCTCTCAAGTAAGGCCGCCTTGGCAAGATCTTGAGCAGTCCAAGAACCATCAGAGGAGATTGACAAAACTTCCTCACGAAGGAGGTCAACCAGATTCACGTCCGAATAACTGAGGATATCAAGGAGGACACTGGTCGCTGAGACACCGCTCGTGTGCACGCCAGGGAAGTTGATCATGAAGATACGATACGCCAGCCACATCGTTGTGAGCTCCATAGGCCATTTGCTGCGCATGCCGGCTTGAATGAGCAAATCCAAAAGGGATCCCTGAATCAGGTTAGAATGAACGCCAACGCCACTTGCAGAAGATCGTACCTTTGATTTGAGGGTCTCCTTCATAACCTCAGAGTCAGTCGCGTTCTTTTGATCCTGAATCTTCTTCTCAATGATGGGCTTCAGACGAGCGTGGAAGACCCTCTCAAAGTAGCGGTTGACCAGTCCGACGATAGGACCAACGATCCTTGTTGGGGTGTCAGCACAGAAGCAAAGGAAGGCAATGGTAGGACAGGGCACACTCACGGATGAAGAAAAGCTGGAAAGGCTTTGATGACATTTGCACCGAACACGATTGCATTGGAGCAGTGAGTAAGAGCTGCCAAAAGAGCCTTGTCGTCACTGTTGCCAGGCCCAATCGCAAGCACATTGATCATTTGACCCGCAGTCTTCTCCATAAACGAGTACAGAGGGACTTGGACCCAGTTTTCAGTGTCCTCGCCCCAGATATCAGACAGACAGGCACGTGCCTCCTCAGCCAGAGACTCGGCAATAGACGGAGTCTTCAGGGTTTCGGACAGATCCTTGCTGATAAGTTTGACATAGAAGTCATACTTCTCCGCGAAGGCAAGAGGCCAACTTGTATAAGCGAGCTGGAAAAAGTCGATGATATGGGCCTTGAAACTGAGATCGGTCTCTTTGGCAAACAGGATGGTGTTCGATTCCTTGATGGGAAGCAGGACTTCGTCGCCCTCGTTCACGCTCGGCATCACGAATGGTTTGTTGTTTTTGGAATACTAAGAGGGTCGAAGAAAAGAACAGGGGTTAGCCCATCGAACGAGAGCAGCAGATGCCAGCTGTTGGTCAGGAAGGGGGAGGAACCTTTTCATATCCATCTTTGATGAACACGATGGGATTGACACCGATGAAACGCTCTGTGGCTCGTCCAAAGAATCCTTTCTTGCTCAGAACCCAGGGGATTCCTTCGGGCACCGGGGATGTCTCGAACAGCTTAGCTATGAGACAGGTGAAGAAGATCACCATGCCCACGCCAAGCAGGATAGAGGGGTTGATGTTAGTTAACATCATGGTTGCTGTTGTTGTTGTTCTCGCACAGGCTTGAGAGGGAACGAACAGGAAGAGGGGGTGGGATTGTAGAAGGTAAGTTCTGAGTGTGAGAAGAAACTGTTATATAGCCCATCGACTGACAACTTTCTCACAGCTACGATTATCATGGTCTCGGCATCGTCCTGTTCCGATATGAGCTTCTCTGCTTTGGAAGGCTTATCAAAATTACTCTGAGACGTTTGATAGCCACTTATCCCATAACGGGTCTCCGCCTGCCTTGCACACTCCAGAGACTGGAGATGTTATGTTAATATTAAACTCACCAGCCAATGAGAGTAGCCTGCCGTGTCATGAACCAGGGACGAGAGTGACGAGAATCACGACTGTTTACTTGATAAGGAAGTTTTCCAAGCCACGTGGGGGACGTGGAGCTGAAAGCCCTATCTTGTGTGATTTTCAGATACGACAAACTGGGTAAGGAGAGATAAGGAAATGAATCCGGTCACAGCAGCAGGCCTGGAGCTTGTGTTTCCAGTTTGTTGCGGCGTTTCAAATGCTATATACTAAGACCCCAGGTTTCTGCAAACGACGGCCAAACGCAAAATAGAGACCTACTCCGCTGGACTGCTTACACTCTTCGCACTCAACCGACACCGAGCTTTCTTCTTTTTAAACAAACGGATGGCTACCGATAGTTAGTAGTGAGGTCCATAGCTGATCCCAGTGCGCGATCTCCAAGCTCTTGATTACAGCAGGTGTGTCCATCCTGCGACTCTGGATTGGTCTTCCCACCGCGATCCTCTGTTTTCCTAGCTTGATGATCCTGGGCTTGTACTCGCGGTTAAAACACCATAGCAGGCGATGGCATCGCGTTCCAGCATGCGAGCGATGAAGAGAGCAGCGACTCATGCACCGGGGGGGAATCAAGCCTAACCTGCTTCATCCAATCGTAATTCAGTGTCTTATCCAACATCAACTGAAGAGATACTAAAGACCCTAGGGTTGCTACGACCCAAGGGGCCCGAAAACCTTGCCTTTTATACAAAACACGAATTCGCGCCTAGCATCACATCCCCCTCGCCGATCAATATCTTCCCCGCAGTGAGATCTACTCCTGTATCGAGCAACCTGGTTTGCCAGATGAATACACTTGGTTAGTTCCTAGATGAGGCCTATGCTCCGGAGGCTAGCACAGAGGGTACTGGTTTTACAAACCTCGAGGTTTTTGAGAGATCATAACGGGGTTAGCAGCCTTGGTTGCCTGGGGCAGTCCCGAGCTGGGATCCTCGATCAGTGTACGTATCATGGAGAGCGCGAACACAGCCACAAGGGTCTTGGGATAGCCAGTAAGACTACACAAGACAGTTTCCACGTTCGATCCCATGGTGCAGAAGAAAGAATTACCTCTACGCGCTCTGCAAGTATCTCTCCAAGAACACCTTCAAGTTCCCTCCTATACATACATCATCGACCGTGGAGACTGTGGCTAGTGTTTCTCCAAATCCCCACTACCAGCCACACTCCTTGGTGGCTGACCTCCCCCTTACTACACAGACATCAGGTCAAGCTACAATCAGTCCAAGGTGATATCACCGGGGCTGTAAAATCATGAAATAAACAGCTCACAAATGATTGGTCGACGAGAATCAATTGAGTTGATAGATCACCTTCCACCAGCCCGGACTTTGGGACTAAGAAGAAGGGGGGAAAAAGAAAGAATTAAGAAAGGCGGAAGGAAACATAAAGACTCCCATTTGCCACTCAGGCGACTTTGCCTTCCCCGTCACCCCAATCTACTGACAGCGTGAATTCATTCTCATTTCTTCACTTACCTCACCCATTGACTGGGCATAGACCACGCTACTCTGGTTCATAACACTGTTTGGGCAGGGACCACAGTTCAGAAAAGTATTCACTGCGGGGGAGGCGTCATTCTGATTGCAGGGCGTGTTGCCAAGAGATCAGCACAATTCTTATCCTCTCCACTTCTTTTGCCAGACCACAACTACAACTACTTACTATCTAGCTCAACCGTCCACCATCTGCTGAACCCATTCTTTGATTCTTTAATTTCAGCGTACCTGAACTATCCTTGTTGTTGCTGCTTCTCTTGCTACCCCTATTTGCTTTTCAAAACCCAGTCATAGATTGTCTGCTGCTAAAATCTGGTCGCCTTCGGGTCGGTTGTGGATTCGACCGGCTTTGCCCGCGCCTTTGCCATCTCGGCTCTGCCAGCAACTATGGCTTCAGCCAGCCACGATGAGGAGATTCAGGAAGTCCTGGAGGACATCGAGCTTCAGCAAGTCATCTTGCAAAGCTTAGACGAAGAACGTCCGGATGCCCAGGAAGACAGACAGGAGATCCTGGATGCCATCGAGGACCTACAGACGCGACTGGCGGTGCTACGCCGGCAGCCCATCGGCGGCACGACCGATGCATCTCCGTCCCATTCGTCGAGGTCATCAGTCTCCCGTCTTGACAGTGTCCCTACTTTCCCCCTGGTCAATCCCACTGCTCCCTCGCGTAATGTTGAGTCATCTTCCCGTTCTCTTAACGTTTCTTCTCCCAATTGGTCTAGTCGCAAACGTCAGTTGTCCACGTCTTCAGTCGAGAATGAGGACGATGACTCCGATGATCTCGAAGCACCAATCAGGCGAGAGAAACGAGCTCGTCATCGTTTGGGTCTTGGTTCTATCTCAGCTCGTCGTTCGTCCGAAGACGAATCAGAGGCAGAAGTTGACGATGGTAATGACGAGCTGCGCAGGATGCTAGGCCTCGACAGCTTTCGTGCAATGCAGGAAGAGAACAGGCGCGCAGAGCAATGGCTTAAAGAGCAGAAGGAGCAGGAACGTCGCGATGCAGAATTCGCACGTCAGCTTTCGATGCAGAACGACAGTAATGCGCCGCAGTCACCGTCGACCCCGTCGACTCGGAGCAATTCGCCTCCTTCTCTTCCCCAGTTCTCTTTCGCAGCACCAGGCACGTTCCCTATGGGACCTCAACCGCCTGCTCGCCAGCCACCTGCTGCTGCTGCTGCTGCTCCTGCTCACTGGGATGGCTACAGAGACTCGGGAATTGTTACATTGCCGGACAGTGATGATAGCGATGTTGCAGAAATCGATCGCCAGGATTTCAGACCCAATGTTCTCCGTCCCCCAGTCTCACCAAGAAAGGGTTCCTCGGCCCTTTATATCTCTTCCCAACACAGTGGATATGCAGCCGGCTCAAGTCGAATGGCCCAGCGTGGATCTCTTCAATTTGGGCCGAGAGTTCTGCAAAGTACCATGGCCCGATTAGGCTCTGGGATGCTCGATAGTATGTCAAACACCATATCCCAAGCAAACAGAATCATTCTCGGTTCGTCGGGCTTTTCGTACCTGGGTCCCGGCGGCTACGATTCGGCTTTAGATTACATGAAGTGAGTACTCTTTCGGTCAAAATGAAGGATCCTTGCTAATCGAGACTGTACACAGCGATATGTACGGATATGGAGAGGATCCAAAACAGACGAAAGAGGAAATCATGAAACTGCTAGAGTCTATCCGGCCTGATTCCGAAATATCCAAAGAGAATCGCGAGGGAACTCCCGACGCGCTCAAGTTTACACTTTTGGAACACCAGAAACTCGGATTATCTTGGATGAAGTCAATGGAGGAGGGGAAAAATAAAGGTGGAATCCTTGCCGATGATATGGGTCTTGGAAAGACCGTCCAAGCTATCGCTTTAATGGTGTCACGACCTTCTACTGACCCCGAGCGAAAGCCAACCCTGGTCATTGCTCCCGTTGCATTGATCCAGCAGTGGAAAAGAGAGATACAGAGGATCCTTAGGCCTGGCAAGCATCAACTTTCAATCTTCGTGTTGCACGGCGATAAGCGGGCCACAAGCTTCAGAGACTTGAAGGATTACGACGTAGTTCTCACCACGTTCGGCACTTTGGCTGCTGAATTCAAGAAACGAGAGAAAGCTGATGAGGTCAACAAACGAGAACCGGACCTAGGCATGGCTCTCTTGAAGAAGCTACCTTGTCTTAGTCCAGCCTCCAAATGGCATCGCGTCATTATTGACGAAGCACAATGCATCAAAAACCGGAAAACGAAGTCGGCCATTGCGTGCTGCAACCTCAATACCACTTATCGGTGGTGTATGACGGGCACCCCAATGATGAATTCAGTCGATGAACTGCATTCGCTTTTGAAGTTTCTGCGGATTCCCCCTTACTGTAACCATGACAATTTCCAGCGTGTAAGTTTGGGTAGTATCTCTTCCACTCACGATCGCTAGTTGACTTTGATTGCAGACCTTCACAATTCCTTTAAAGGGTGGTCCCTCTTCGCGCGAGAAGACAATGCAGGCACTACAGGTTCTGTTGAAAGCAGTCCTACTACGGCGTACCAAGACCTCTAAAATCGACGGCAAGCCGATCCTCCAGCTTCCGCCGAAGGTTTCCGAAAGAGTGCATGCTGTCTTTAGTGAGGAAGAGCAGGAATTTTACAATGCTCTTGAAACCCGCACTCAGCTGCAGGTTAACAGATACATCGAGGAGGGAACCATGGGACGCAATTACTCCAGCATCCTTGTGTTGCTCCTCCGACTTCGCCAGGCGTGCTGTCATCCGCATCTAATCAAGGATTTCAGTATTGAGTCTCCCGTGACCTCAGACGAGCTGGATCTTGTGGCCAATGCTAAAGCTCTTAGTGAGGATGTTGTCGCTCGTCTGAAAAACAATGAAGACCTCGAATGTCCCATTTGTATCGATGCCGTCGAGAACCCTGTGATCTTCTTTCCTTGCGGCCATGGCACGTGTGCGGAATGTTTCTCGAGGATTTCAGACCCTGCACTTGCGGTCAGAAACGGTGTCGATGGCACACTTGAGATCAAATGTCCTAATTGTCGCGGCCGAGTTGATCCCAAGAAGATCACCGACCACATCTCGTTCAAGAAGGTGCATTGCCCTGACTCGACCGAGGCAGAGGAAGAAGCTGCTGCGCCAACGGAAGAAGCGCCGGCAGAAGGGGACGACAGTGACGACGACAGTGATGATGACAGCTTGTCTCGGTTCATCGCCGATGACGATGGGGATGATGACAGCGGGTCCAGGAAATGGAAATCCAAAGGGAAAAAGCCGGAGAAGACCAAGAAAACACTTGCAGAGCTTCGCAAGGATGCTCAGAAGAACCAGAAGGCAAAACGCAAGTATCTGCGCCGCCTTGAGAAGACTTGGATACCGAGCGCGAAAATTGAGAAGACGATGGAAATTCTCAGGGGCATCAGCAGCAACGACAACGAAGAAAAGACCATTATCTTCAGCCAGTTCACATCCCTGCTCGACCTGCTTGAGATCCCCATCGCGCGCGAGGGCTGGGACTATCGGCGTTACGACGGCAGTATGAAGCCGGCGGAAAGAAATGCCTCTGTGCTCGAATTTACCGACAACCCCGACTGCAAGGTCATGCTGGTCTCCTTGAAGGCCGGCAACTCCGGCTTGAACCTTGTCGCGGCCTCCCAAGTGATTATCTTCGATCCCTTCTGGAATCCTTATGTCGAGGAGCAGGCTGTTGACCGTGCTCATCGGATTGGGCAGATGCGCCCGGTACAGGTCCACCGCATCGTTGTGGCGGGCACCGTTGAGGATCGCATTCTTGAGCTGCAGGACCAGAAGCGGGAGCTTGTCGAGGGAGCCTTGGACGAGAAGGCCTCGAAGAATATTTCCCGGTTGGATGCCCGACAAATGCGCCATCTATTTGTAAGTTACCTACCGTGCTCTTTTGTTGACTTCGTGCTAACCAAGTGTCATCAGAATATCCACTAGAGCGGCGAAGCAGTCTTGAGATGTGATTCTGACTGCAGGTGTCAGCAGTTCATTCGGCGCAATCGTACCAGTACCATCACGATACCCTTATCTTCCTCCAGCCGTGTTGTTTTCCGTGTTTCAATGTTTTCTAATTGGGCGTCTCATTTTCTAACGACATGATTCCATATACCCGGGTTGGAAAGGATGAATTTAGAACGTCTACGTTGAGTTTCGTGCTCTAGATGATGAAGGCCGGTTCATCAGGAACGTACCTACCATAGAGCCATAGGCAACTAATGCACGCGCGATTGCACTGTGTACCCGATTCATGAATCTGTAGCGCTGTACTAGGAAGACAGCGAAGTCACTCTGCGACTCCTACTGGTCAGTGAAAAGCCAGAGTTCCATCAATCCCATAGTGAAAAGGACAAATCGCCAGCAGACAGAGTATCCAACCCATGCTCTACAATTTTCCGCGATATCACAAATCCACCCCTCCAACAAGCAGTATACCAAGTTCAACCCTTCACCTTCCCCACAACCACAGGAAGAACAGGATTATACTGTCTGATAGCTGCCTTCCCCAACATTTATTTTTAATGCAAAGGCAAGGTGGCCGAGTGGTCTAAGGCGCTAGTTTTAGGAATTTCCCCTGTTCTCTTCTTGAGGATCAGTCGTGGTAAAAACCACTAGTTCGAAAGAGCATGGGTTCGAATCCCATCCTTGTCATTTTTGTTTCTTGTGTCGGTGTTGTGTGTTGTCGTTCAAGAAAGTGTTTTTGTTCACTCGGTTGTTTGGTTGTTTATTCTTGATCTATTGTTGTGCTTATGATCGGGTCGGTGTCGATACTTGGTACTTGGTACTCTATCTAGCCTAGTGATGATAATAAGTCGTTCGAGGGAGGGAAGGATGCTCCGTTGACTGCCTAGTAGACTAAGCTGAGGGGATATCACCTACCACCTATTTGCCAATTCCTGCACCGGAGGCTGGGGGCTGGAGGGTTTAGGTTAGATGGCGGGTGCGGTCGCGTGTTTACCTGCTTACTGACTGTTCTGTTTACCCCTCGACATCATCTTGACCCCCGGTTGGAACCCAATCTCAACCCAACCCAACCAACAACCGAGCGGCTTTGGTGGTGTGACGTCACTTCTATCGCTGTGTCTGTCTGCGCTAGGCTGGTTTGATTGCGGAGGGGGTGTACTGTACTGTACATACAAGGTTGGCTGGGGGGTTGGGGGCGGGCGGGGTCAGTGTTTGTTGTCTGCGTAAAGAGGGGGAGAGTTGGATGTAGACCGTAGGAGTAGGAGCGTGGTCAAAGGAATTGACCTGGTCTAGATATGCTGTATGCTGCCAGGGGTGTATATCCCCGATACTGACGAAGGAAAAAAGGTGGACGCTGAGTGCGATCGCTGGAAAGAATGCTCACGGATGTTGATTTATTTATTTGCTTGTTGGATACTATCCTCAAACCCGGTCAAAAAAAGACTTCAACGAAACTTTTGTGCCTGTTATGTCGTGGCGGATCCTTTATCTTAGAGGCAAATCCCGTCATCCGTTGCAAAGAGAACTTGAACTGTTGTGTTGAAGAGATAATAAGGAGTCTAGACTACTAGTGGTAAATATTGCAAATGCATAATCATGCTCCGACCCGGCTTCCTCGCGGCCCCATTTTGCTCCGCCTCCTGACTGCTTATCGATCGTGGTATTCGTGATTCCCAGATGTTGCAAACCGTACCGCGCCGCACCCCGGGTGGTGGCGGGGGGTGCGAGCACGACAGCCATGAGAGTAGATCTACCGGGATTCCCCCCGGTAGATTCATCATGGTCCGCACGCTTACAAATCGGCGTCCTCCTCGTCGGGCAGGGGCATGGCAGAGGCCTCTTGCATCTCCTTCTGGTACTGGTCCATGAGCTCCTGGTTGACAGCGACCTCGGGGGGAGCGAGGGCGGGAGCGGCGACGAATTCCTAGTATCGATTAGTATATACTTCAGGTAACTAATCGGCGCAGAAACATACCAGCTGGGGGTTGCCGACCAACTTGCGAGCGAGCCAGAGGAAGGGCTTCTCGAAGTTGTAGTTGGACTTGGCGGAGATGTCGTAGTACTGGAGGTTCTTCTTGCGGTGGAAGGTGATGGTCTTGGCCTTGACCTTACGCTCCTTGACATCGACCTTGTTACCGCAGAGAACGATGGGGATACCCTCGCAGACACGGACGAGATCACCTGGAACGAGTCAGCCGTGATGACAGGGAGGCGTGTGGCAATTCAAGGGCACTCACGGTGCCAGTTGGGGACGTTCTTGTAGGTGATACGGGAGGTAACATCGAACATGATGATACCGCACTGTCCGTTGATGTAGTAACCGTCGCGAAGACCACCGAACTTCTCCTGACCAGCAGTGTCCCATACGTCGAACTGGATGTGTCCCAAGTTCTGTTCACAGTGGTTAGTCTTGCATGCCGAACAAAGACGGCGGGAACCGGTCAAAGCGGGGTTGGCTGGCGGGGCATACGGTGTGGAAGTTGAGAGGGTGCACTTCGACACCGAGAGTCGCAATGTACTTCTTCTCGAACTCGCCAGTCAAGTGGCGCTTGACGAAGGTGGTCTAGAGAGGCTTGCAGGTTAGCGATAGACGTCTCGCACCGTCAGGCTGATGGGTAATCAAGTTTTTCTCGGTGGTCGAGGATGGCCGAAACACGAAAGATAAACAAGGCACCGTAGCACAGCTGCATGATTCGCAATAGGCGAAAGAGGAAGTCGAAATGCGATATATCATATCGAGAGGGATCGATCGGATCAAGAAAATATGGAGGGGCTCTGATGATACTTGCCTTTCCGGTACCACCATCACCGACGAGGACGAGCTTGAAGGTCGGTACTTCAGCAGCCATGGCGAAGGATGTGTAAGGGATTTGAGAGTGGAAGTCAAATGAGTGAGAGACCTGAAGGCGATCCGGACGGACAAGAAGTCGTCAAGCAGATGCAGTAGCTGATGGAGGAGGGGTGGAAAAGACGTTCGAGAGAACGGAAGTGGAGGAGGAACAAGAGTGGGATGGTTTCTTCTGCCAGTGATGGAATTTTTGCCGTGAGTCGGTCACCAAAGCCTCCGCTCACGTGATTCTGAAGCCTCAGGCCGCCATGCCCCGCCGTTCTTTCAATTTCCACACCGTCGGCGCATGGTCATTTTTAGATCAACGTCGGGGGATGGCAAAATAGTGTATCTGATTGAGGGATAACAACAAGATTCGCATGATATCAAAATCTTAGCCACGGAAGACGATTTTAAGAAGATCTGCGTGTAGCTGGATGGAGCTGTGAATGAAACTCGAGAGAGGCATCGGTCCCTCTTATGCGATCAACCCTCGGTGATTTCCCTCCTACATTGTACACTGTTCTGTTTAATAGATATTATCTCGCTGCGATTGAAGGTTTTAGGATTGAATTTCGGTTTAGCCATCATAACTCGTCGAAGAGCAGAAATTGAAACGCCACGTGATATGCTCCTTTGAGTCCGCCCAAATATACAAAGAAAGTCATAGAGACATGCCACATGAGAAGATCAAAGCATTTATATATGCTAGTATCAGTAACTAGAGATTGCCTGTTGCTATCACAGAGGAACCAAATGACAGCCTAGCAGCCCACGGCCACCCCAGTCACGGCGAGGAGTGAGCTCCAGGTTGAGCTCAATAATATTGGCCGAGTTGGGTTCCTTCCTGGTGATAACGACTGTCACGGGACGCTAATATCAAGTCAGTCAATGTGGTTTCTTCAAGAGGACGTAGACCAAAAAGCGACCGAGACATAGGCAAGGCAATAGCAGGAAAACGTACCCCCTCGCTTTGCTGGACAACCTGAGCGACTTTCGATAGACGTTCATGGTTCAGCCAGTCTACACTTCCAAAGTTCCGTACAGTATCCCCAGCCTTTAAACCCGCCTGATCTGCAGGGCTTCCGGGTACAACACTGTTGACCCTCGCAAACGGCACGCCGGCAGTCCCAGTCTCTGACGCACCACCACCGGCTGCACTGGCTTGCGTTGCCTGTGTGCTGTTGATGTTGCCGGCTGATGGCGCAGGAACCTGTGCGCGCTGCAAGCTTGCGAAATGATCATGGATACCATTCTCGAGAAGTGACATGACCTCCTTATGATCGGTTCGTAGTCGGATGATGCGCGCTCTGGTCGTGCGTACTATCGAGACTTTAGCAAGAGCATTGTAGGAACGGTGAGGAGTGACTGACTTTGGGCGACATCTATATCATCGCGGGGGAAGCCATCGAATGTCGTTAACGAGGTGTTCATATGAACGCCATGCTAAACAGTTCACGAGTATATCAGTGGTTGCCATTTGATAAGCAGGGGTTGGAGAAGAGACCTAATAGCACTTACCGAGCTGAGCACACTGCTGAGAGCTGAGAGTTCCTCTTCGATACGCTCTTTTTCTTGCATGAGATCGACCACACCGAGCTTGGACAGATCGCGAGAAGGAGCCTCCCCGGACGTGGGTCCGGAGACGACTGTAGGAGCGTGTATATTGTTGTTGGAGTCCATGGGTACGCCCATGCTAGTTTGAAGGAGAAGATGAGTGAGTGTCTTCTGGACTGCGACTTGCGACGGACGCAATGGTCGGAAAGCGGGAAGATGACGGCGGTGGGTCTGGCCGCGGTTGAGAACGATTGATTGATTGAAATCTGGGGGAATTTCCCCTCTCGGTAAGCTAAATATCTAGTAGTACTGAGTACTGCTCACATCTGCAGCCATGCACTGTACAGTACATACTTTAGGTACAATGCACATTACATTATTAACATTGTTGAGCCAGATTAGGTCCAATCATCTGTCAGTGACAGTAATAAAAGAGTCTTTTCGAGTTGGCACTGTGCGAAGCTTTTCGTAACTAGTGCGACGTTTGTGCACGATCAGGCGCAACAATGGGGAGCACAGATTATGTTGAAGCTTCAACTATACAACTGAAGCAGCCGTGTGCTGATGTGCTTCAGACCCGCTTAGCGAATGCATACCACTGAATTTACCTCAACAGTTGCCACTGTGTCTCTCCTTTGGCGGCAGGCAACTGGGAAGTATATCATGCTTTCCACCCTGGATGCTTTTCTGTCCTGGTCGTGGCTTCCTTTTCGTCTACCATGCTCAAGTGCTGTTGGCGTGAGAGCCAGCGTCTAAGCAGCTATCGTTGTGTCCTGTCCCTATTGAAGCGATCATTTGAGATTCAATCAGGTGACACATCCATCGCTATGGAAGAATCCAAGGACATCGCTGAGACGCCGTTGGTGGCGCTGGAGCCGTTGGGCATCACGGCGAGATCAAATAGTCCCAGCACTGCTCCAGCAAACTCGGATCCGATGACAGCATTCAAACGATGGGTGAACAGCCTGCGATCGCGGAGAGGCTTTCCCCCTTCCGGCCCCCAAAGATACGTCGAAGGCTGGATGGAGATTCCCCAAGCCGATCCTGATACCGGTCCTGAAGGGCCACCTTCCCATGAGGCCCAAGAGAAGAAATGGGAGTCTTGGTCGAATCATTCCTCTCACCTCGAAACTGTCAAGACGACAACAATCAGCCTTGCCAGTCAAAGCGTTGTGCGGTCAAGAGGGACTACGCAGAGCACCACGAATCAGAGCATCAAGTCAGACATTCGTGAATCTCTAGAGAGTATACGGCCGGCCTTGAGTTTATCTATCGATGAGGACGCCCAGAACAGAGCAATTAAAAGACGCCGTGTCCTGCGAGAGCTCATCACCACTGAGTGCGATTATGTATTTGGTTTGAAAGCACTTGCTGATGTATGCCATTCATCTGTTTAGAAACCTTCCAGCTGACCCCCTGCGACGCTGCTCTGACACCTTACAGGCGCTCTTCATTTTCTCCGTGAGACCTGAGATTTACTATAATGTCCAGCAGCTTCGAGACATACACGAAGACTTCCTAGCTCAACTTCGCAAGCTGACACCGATCTCCAATCTTGCAGGAGTTGAGTTCGATAATCTTATACCTCAGCCCACTCATAAGCGCCTCAGCGCCCTTGAACTGGGCTTTAGGGCACTTCATTCTAAGTCCTTGAGATCGCGAAGCTTTCGAGCATCGGTCAATTCCCGCCTTAAAGCTCTTGCTGCGGAAACGAAGGAGGCTTTAGAGGTCGCACAAGCCGTGGGAAAACTGGTAATATCCTGCCTATTTATCCTTTCCTTCTTTTTCTACTGACTATTCCCCCTATAGTCGAGAACATTTATGATATACAAGCTGTTCTGCAGAAGCTACGGTCTCCTCACCTACGACGTCGAATTGCTTCGTACATCCGTTCCAAATTGGCGGATTTTCGACCAAGGTATCGAGGCATTATCGAAATCTGTGTCGTCCATCGATAGACAAGCAAACGAGAACAGATCTATGTCCCTGGATGACCTTCTCATCAAAGTATGGCTCAATCATTCACGATATGGGACACTAGATTTAATGATACTATAGCCGGTTCAACGCTTGTGCAAGTACCCGCTGTTGCTGGAGGAGTTACTACGGTGGACACATATTCAGGACGACCCATCAGCCCATGATGGGATTCGGCAAATCTTGGAAAATGTTCGTCGTGTTGTGCAAGAAGTCAATCGAGTCAGCAACAACCCTATCAATAGGAGTCTGGTCAATAAGACGAGAGCGCTACAGGACATGCTGGACTTTCCAGAGGGGGTAAGTTTCCTTATGTTGTCCTTCGTCTCCGATGGATCACTAAGGTTCTTTGGCATATATAGAACAAGTCTCTTGACCTATACAAGCAGCTAGGGCCGTTGATTCTCTGCGGTGTCTTGCATGTTACCTATTCTGCCCCCGCAGAGACTGTCACCGGTTTCATGGTCTGCGCTTTGTTTGGTAGTCATATCTTCTTTGCGAACATGAACGACGACCATCGGAGGCTCCGAGCACTGATGTGTCTTCACATCCCGGATCTCAAAATTGACACCTTGGCCAATGACGAAGGTGACACGGTCCTTCTCCACACTTTCTTCTTGAACTAATAATTTGACAGGTCTCTGCTGTGACTGCGTATTCTCCTGGAAGTTGGTGTTTCAGGACCGCGGCAGAAAATTCGAGCTAGTGCTCAGCGCGTCGTCGGCGAGCGAGGAGAAGAAATGGACAACGGAGACTCTCAAATGTGCGGCAGCAACCACCAAAGTACAAGGGGACATCTTGGAAAGGTCACGGCGATACGCGTTCCTTTCCTTAGATTTGGTTCCATTGGATAGCACGGCACTTCCTTTGGCTCGTCGGCCGTCGATGCAGACATTAGGCGTTTCACGACTATCCCCTGAAAACCCGATCGTAGTGATCAAGAGGACTCATTGCCCTTATCTCCTGGAAGAACATAACCCCACGGACGGCGAAGTCGGGCGTTCAGAACATCCAGACTACTTAGTGTCGACAGTTGTTGCTAGAAGGCAAGACCGGATTCGTCTAGAACGTGCTATCTCATCTGTCTATACACGGGATGCCCTTCCATATCCCGGCATGACTTTAGCAATGGGGGATCTTCTTTTTCGGCCTGGCTCTATTATGAGGAGGAATCTTAATCGAAAGCAGATACCGAGGAGACGTGCCAGCTTTGTGAACATTAAGGCTACAAGAGCAGCTGCAGCATCAGTCAAGCAGGAACTCCGCCCCTTGGATAGGGAATTCGGGAGAATCAACAAGGGCGACGAAGGGCTTGAGCTCAAGCAGGCTCGATCGAGTGAACCGACAATCGATGATCCAAAGGAGCCTTGTCTTTTACGAAATGGAAAAGATACGATCAAGCGGGCTAGGACATTCAAAATCACGAGCACGCCCAAGTCAACTCCCAGCCCTGAGTTTCCATTGGTCAAGAAAAAGGAGAAGGGCCAGGAGTCTCCCGAGATCTCAGCGATGAAGCCATCTACAATCCGTCGGATGTTTACTTCCATGTCAACGAGGAAACCGAAGAGGAATGGACGCATGCGAGTGGGGAGTGGAGCTTCATGATGGTGATGATGCAACTGATTCCCAGGGGTTCCTGGGTCATTGCATCAAGGAAGCGCCAAGGAATAAGCATTGGCATGCATCTTCTGTGCAGGCTGCGTTGTTCTTGCAGTTTCCTGAGGTTTCGAGGACGTGGGGAAATCGACATAGGCGTTGACGGAGAACTTGGCGGGCGGGAGGGGTAAATTAGCAGCATTAGCGAACCCAAGGCGACCCAAATTGCTAGGCGATTCAAGTGTGGAACAAAAACAATGATGATGATGCTGGCGATGAGAGAATCTGATCACCTAATGAGCTGTGGTGATTCTCCACCGGCCCGACCAGAAGGGAAAAACTGGTGCTGTTGAGCGGATCAGTCGACGTAGCATGAACAGGACCGATGACGTCGGTGTTCAGATCTCTCACCATCAATTGCATGGCATGTTTTGACCACGCTGGTGATATTATTTAAGGGTGGTTGTTTGCGACTTGCAGCTGTAGTCTCTTCTCATATCTGCAAACAAGACGAATCTCTTGACTATTGATAACATCTTTTCCTCAACATCCATCTCCGCATTTTTTGCCAGCTTTGCCGGAAGCTTCCTTTTCCTCTCGACATTCTCTTTCGGGTAACATATTAGTGACGTCATCAACTACCACCCCTCCATCTGACTTTAGTACTTTATTACTTCCTTCCCCCCACCTTCTCTCCATCCTCCTCTCAAGCATCGACTGTTGAAATCTGTCTATTACGAGAATTCCTCCAAGAACAAACTACCTACTATCTTACCAATTACTCAATTGATCTCCTATCACCACACTATCCGCCAAAATGCCTCGCGCCGTTGAACAAACCTCCAAGATGTTCTACAAGGGATCATCTGACGACTTCGTCATCTTCGTCGACGACAACGAGATCGTGAACAAGTGGCGCAACGACCGCTCAATCCCTCTTGCCGACGTGGTCAACGGCTTCAAGATCTTCGTCACCCACAAGTAAGTTTTCCTTTGTCGTCTGCACCTTGCCTTGTGTGTTGAAGCAGTTCCACTAACATGAATCCTTTCAGGCACGGTGCCCAGGGTGTCCTTGACAACGCCAGCAAGTCGAGCCTCCAGAATGAGTTCGGCACTGACAACGAGGACGAGGTTCTGATCAAGATCCTGGAGAAGGGTGAATTCCAGAGCACCCAGGTAGGTTTCACCAATCACCCTACTCTAAGCTATTGAGCACGTGCTAATTTTTGTTGTTTAGTCCCGTGAGCGTCAGGACGACACCAACTTCCGTAACGGCCCTGCTCTTCGATAGATGCATGCATGATGAGCTCAGCATTCTCTAATGCTGCTGCTGCTGCTGCTGGCTGGCTGGCTGGCTGGCTGCGTGCCCCTTCTTCTCCTCCCTCCCCGCCTCGTTGAGATTGATGAAGGTCGGGTACACGGAGTCTTAGGGATTTCTGTTCTGTTTCTTTTCTCTTAATGAGCCCATGTGTTTCTAGCGGATGATATGTTTTAAACCTACAACCTACCTAGTATTTGGGGTTTTGAAACGTGTGTGGAGTTATGAGTGCCGTGGGGAATAGGTGGACATGGACTAGATATTTGTCTACCTGATTTGATAACTGAATAACAAATACCCATATCAGATTTGGATGAGTTGTGTGGTGTTAGTAGATTCTTCTTAGGTCTATGCGTAATGAGTTACAATTGGTATACTAGAAATTGTTTATACGGGGTTTATCCTCACCCTCAGCCTTAACCTCACCCTCACTCTGCTCCTGCTTTTCCCTCAGTAGTGTCTCCCTCTTGCTGCGCCGCTTCTTTACCCACTCCCCCAACTCATTCCATACAGCCTGCTTCTCCGCAATCGACATCCCAGCCGCCAACCCACTGGTCGTCGTAGCCACGAACACCCTCGCCCCGGGCCAGTCCCCATCACCATTCTTCTGTTCTCCCTCACCACCACCAGCGGAAGCAGAAGAAACAGAAACCCCCATATTCATGCCGACATCCTGCCACCCATACCGGAACTCCTCCTTCCGAATATTCCGGCCCATCCGCACCCGCCACACAGCCTCCCAGATACTCTTCCCGACCAGACACACGACCGCCGGCCGCTGCGCCGCCACCTTCGCCTCCAGCACCGGCACCCCCGCGTCCATCTCCGCCCGGCTGAGCATGCTGGCGTCCCGCGTCGGCCGCTCCACGATATTCGTGTTCCCAACGTTGTAGAGCCCCGGTAGCGCGTACGTGTCCGCCGGCGGGTGTCGGATCGTCGTGATCCCGGACCAGTGCAGCAGCTTCCAGAATAGGTTCGATGGGTGTGCGTACGCGTGCCCTGTTACTCCTGTCATGATTCCTGGATTTACTCCCACCAGGAGGAGGTCAAGGTTTGGGGGAATGGTGTCGCGGAGGAGGCTTTTTGTGGATGCTGTTGTTGGTGTTGGTGTTGCGGGTTGGGATTTGGGGGTGCGGGTGCGGGTGCGAGTGCGGGTTGTGGTGGTTGATTGAGTTTGGGATTGTGATGGTGAGATTGGTGACGATGAAGAAGATGTTGTTGAGCGTGAGCGGGTTATGGAGCGGGTTATTCGTGGTGTCAGTGTGGCTGATGGGAGAGCTCGGCGCATGCTGGCTGTGCGTGTGCTTGTGCGTTGTCGCTTGGAGGGGGATGAACTGGAGGAGGATATGCTTGTTGCGTCTGATTCCGTTTCTAGGGATCGCTCCGCTGGTGATGCTTTGCGCTTGGAGATGGGCGGCGTGCTGTCTTGCGCAGATACTGAGGTATTGTTGGTGTTCGTCGGCTTGAGAGTAGGAGGCTCGGTGGCGATGTTCTTTGCCGTGTGGAAATATTGGTTCAATCGCCCGTTGAAGCTTGTCTTCTTGTTCACGGGGACATCGTCGTTGTCATCTCGGATGAGGCCAATGTCTTCCTCGAGAGGCTTCGTAAGGAGCAAAGGCGACATTGTTTGGCTGCGAGGGATTGGTTGCGTTGGATGACTCTGTTCGCTGGGGTTGTCAGTAGAAAGGGGAAAAAGGGTTTTATGTCTACAGGTGATCTGGTTATTCGGTTAGTCGGGCTCGCGGGTTCATTTCCCATCCAATGAGCTCAGCTTGATGGCAAAAGTTGCTGTGGCGTGGCCGGCCTGTCAGTCTTGGAGTGGATGAGTTGCGAGAATCCATTATCCACAGTTGAACATTCAGGAACGACTAATCCCAATCGGGCAAAATCGGCCAGACTCGCCGCTATCATGTGAGTTGGTGCCTTGCATCCAAGGCAGAATATGCGCTCCCATAGCGATTCAGTCCCTACAGAAATCGTTCCCTTCGACTGATACTTGGGATTAAGTGTTATGTATGTATGCTAAATATATTTATGCTATGTACAGTACACCCTAGGCAATGATACAAGTGCTTTCCCTTAGCATAGATTACCAACCCGTTTATATATGCTAATCCACCCCTTGTACCTGGACATAGTCATTGCTGACTATCGTTCACAACCCCAGTCTTTCTCTTTGTAGACGCCTATAAAAACAGAAGGGTATTTTGAACAGATATTTTCGTAAAATGTCATGGTCGTAAGTCGTTCATGAAGGAGGCAGAGTTCGGAGTCAGAGCCTCGCTATACTTTGTATTCGCTTCGCTTAGGCAAAGTCCAAGGCTCAGGACACACCATCTGTGCTCAAGTCAGTCTCATCACCACATCCTCAACGCGACCGTGAGACACATACCTCGCCTTCACTGTACGCCCAAAAGTAAACGCCGATCCCAATCAGATAGTATATAGCAGGATCTGTTCCTTGATATAGAAGCATGGCGAGAAGAGCACTGAGAGGATAGAGGATCAATCGGAATTCGATGCTGCGATGTGGTGTCGAGCCCGCGACGAATTTGAGAGGCCATTCCCATGCGATGCCAATCAGCCCCATGAGCAGGTTGAGAATTTGGAGTATTGGAATAGGTGTGACTGCGCCGTTCAGATTCTTTGTCATGAAATCCCAGAATACTTTCGGCCAGATGAAACCCTCGATTGCGCTTCCTATTTGGTCTAACCCATGACAAGGTCTTAGCAATCACGATCGTTGACTCAACCAACGTTGTAAGAAGAGAAAAAAAAAGGAAGGGAATTGGGAAGAGAAAAACATACATGCTGCCGCTGTGAGGATAATCAAGCGAGCCCAATGGTTCTTGATCAGTCTGCCCATGGTAGGCGAGATGTTGTTCAGTAGAATATGAGGCAGGCGTTTCTGTCCACGCGAAAGTGTCTATACTCAAGGGGAGTATTCTTGATGTTTTATCACCAGCCTTGTGGTTGCTTTGGGTCGAATAGCTAGTATCAGTCCATCACGAGGTCCAAAGATTGCATAGAGAAATAACAACTGTGGTAGTAGTATCTTCTTGCTTGCATGGCAGACGAGATGTTCATTCGAATGTGAATGTCAAGATAAATAAACCTCGTATCACCCAGTCAAATCACCTCTGTAAGTTCAGCGCCGAGAAATGAAAGATCAGGTCATGCCTCGAAAGGCCGATCCTGCGGTAGTCAATGTGGAGGGAATGGAGGGGAGACAAGCCGAATACATAGCTTTCAGCGGCAAAGAAGTACACACCACCTGACTGGCACATCTTCTTCCAGTCTTCCATGCACTTTCCGTCTTCCGTCTCCCACCTATCAACTGGACGTGATAAATGCCATTCATTATAGCAACCGCTTCTTTTGCCAGACCAATTGAAAACGTGAGGTTGCTCGAATTCACTGATTCCCCGCCCTGCTTCTTCACAGAAACGCAGCTCTCTGTACGTTTGATTGGGCGCTTGAAGTCGGAGTAGCCGTAACCCATGCGACCGACTCTGGAGCGAGTGGCCCTGAAAAGCCCCGGTTGGGCGCTACTGAATGTATTTAGATAGCCACTGAGCGACGAGAGCCTGGCAGGACGGTCGGTCGCTTCCAGCGAGTCCTGAGCATCGACGAACGTGACGGTGGAGCGAGTGATGCAGAGGACTTTCGGAAACACACTTTAGCGGCCGATGCATCTGTGCCAAACCCATGTTCTTCACCTCTGATTGAACCGCCGGAAGGTTCCTGTGGAGCGCTTCCTTGTGAAGACCGAGGAAGCGGGGGAGTCAAGTGGCTGGATGGCCTGCTCATCTTTGCGCTTCCCTTGTAAGGCGCCTAGCCAGGCTACACACGGCTTTCCGCATTGATTACTGCCCTTTGAAACCAGTATAAACGCCGTATAGCGTTGCTTATGGCTCTGGGATCTTGTCACATTGACTTCAAAGATGTCTATGTTCTTATGGCCGAAAGGTCAAGAAAAGTCTTCTTGAGCAACTCACCGTCTTTTCATCGGCAAGAATCCCAAAGGATATCTATGAAAGAGCTCGATTACACGCCACTGAAATGGGTTACCCACATGGTCTGAGTCTCTGTGCAGTCGCTATCACGGAACCTTTGTGATGAACTTGTCAACGTGCAGCGCCAAGCGGCTTTAGAACATCCTCGGCCTGATTTGCTGATTCCTACCAGACTTCCCCCGTCAAGTCATGGCCGGAAGCTCGACTCGGAGGTGAATTCTGGTTTGGTCTAGTACCTGAATGTCTGTATGTCTTGGCCAGCAAGGAGACCTTATTTTTGGCAGCGTCTTGAATCCAATCTCCCCTCCAGTCAGTGCATCTACAGCCACGACAGGGTACCTTTTCAGTTGGATGGTCGCTCGGGCCATGTGTGACGGGAAGCGCGCTTGCATATCTGATCTCATAGGGTGAGCGTGGGCCCCCGACTCCACCCTCTCAGAACCAAATATCCACGAGACATTGGGCGCAACCTAAGCAGTTGGTCGAAAGATACCGAGCTTCGGAGGCAATAGAGCATCCTGGCGCCACATGGTTCGTCCTGTGGTGAACCCTAGGATATGAGGGGGTAGCCATGAGGGTGACGAAGAGCCACCAAGCCATTCGGCTTCTCGAATCCTGCCATGGCTACCAATTATCGCCGCATAATGATGGGCCCACAGCTGTCAAACTTCATGATGGACGGTGTAACAGTTGCTATTCGACTTTCATAGCCCAGAAATACGAGAACAAGTATGATCAGTCACCATGGGAAATCTTGGACACGGCTGAAAGCCTATGGACAAGCCATTGCGCACCACGCAATGGGCGCAAGGCGCGAAGTATGGGATAGAGAGCAAACGCTCTCTGCCAACACATTGGAAACTTCTGAACGCTCGTATGAGGCGTGGAAACTGAAATTGCGCTGCTCAACCGGTTGATCCGCTTCCTGCAGGCTGGTCTAGCGTCGCTTTGACTAAAGCCCTGAACAGGGGCAGGCGTAAATATGGCAACATGCTCCCTCGTCAAGGCACTTTCCCCTCTTTCCTTACAACCAAAACCATATCTCTGGGTAACCTGAAATCTGGCCGACAACGTCCACCGCCACACCCCACACCAGAGCTCGCAAGTTTTCTTCATGTGCTGGGCTCAATGACGAGAACGATGTCCGAACCCGGTCTGTTTCTTGACCCTTAATTGGCCACTAGCACTCTTTCTTGATTAGACTCTCCGCATCCTGAAGACTTTGTCCCGGCAGTTGAGGGAAAAGGTTCTTTTTTTAATCATAGACTATCGATATCGCGGTCCGAGAACGCACAAGGTTCACCAATCGTCTTGTCAATGTACTAAAAATAATCGGATTCTTCTTTTGCTTCCGGTTATTCGATTATTCCAGGAAATCGATTTGGTCACACATTTTATCGTTCTGCTTTTGGGACTATTGGCTGCTCCATTGTCGCAGCTGAGCAGACACGGGAACTTGGGTTATGAGGTTTAATGAGACATGCGAATTTCTTTGAAGAAAAGATTCCACCAACTCGTGCACGGTCAATAGGGTCCACGGGTATTGCATCCATTGATATTGAGGAATCGTCGCTGGTCGATGACGTTTCCTATACTGGGAAAGACACCTACTTTCCTTCTGGTCTACTTCATCTTCCTTGAAAAATGGCAACTACCTGGAGGTCTCACTTTAGCGGATCAAAGATCTGGTTCTATGGACTGTTCTGGGGATTGCATATCGTGGTCTTCGCAGTGGGGTGGTAAGTCGTGTCGCTTAAACACAGCATGCACTTTGCTCACAGGAACTAGGTATCTGCAAGCGACTAACCACAACCTCGATGCGTTGAACACGTTGAGATTTTCGGTCTGGATCTCAAGGGGTGCAGGCTTGGTTCTTAGCTGTGATGCAGCCGTTCTCCTGCTTCCTATGTGCAGGAATCTTCTCAAGACTGTGAGGCCACGATTGCGGTGGCTACCACTGGACGAGACAACATGGTTTCATCGCCAAGTTGCTTACGCTCTCTTGATATTTACCATCATACATACTGCCGCTCACTACGTCAAGTATGCTAGTCCTTAGGACGGAGTGGATAATACATGCTGACAAACTGTAGCTTCTATAATGTCGAAAAAAATCATATCCGCCCTACCACAGCAGTTCGGATTCATTTCACAGAGGCAGGAGGGATAACAGGCCATGTGATGCTCTTGTGCATGATGCTGATTTATACCACCGCCCACCAGCGGATACGACAGCAGTCTTTCGAAACATTTTGGTATACGCATCACCTTTTTGTCCCTTTTTATCTGGCTCTTTACACCCACGCCACCGGTTGCTTTGTCCGCGACACTGCGGACCCCATCTCACCATTTGCAGGAAAGAGATTCTGGAACCATTGTTTGGGATACGAAGGATGGAGATGGGAGCTAGTCGGAGGGGCGGTCTACATTTGCGAAAGGCTTTATCGAGAGATTCGGGCAAGGCGTGAAACTGTGATCACCAAGGTGATACGTCATCCTTATGGTAAGTGCAACTTTCGTACCAGATAAGCTGCGGGCTAACCCTCCAAAGATGCCATGGAAATCCAGTTCTGCAAAGAGAGCATGAAGTATAAGGCCGGCCAATGGCTTTTCATCCAAGTCCCCGAAGTGTCCAGTAACCAATGGCACCCATTCACGATCACCTCCTGTCCGTTCGATCCCTATATCAGTGTGCACGTCCGCCAGGTTGGCGACTTCACCCGTGCCCTTGGAGACGCCCTAGGGTGCGGGCCTGCGCAGGCTAGAGATCTGGAAGGCCTGGACCCTTTGGGGATGTACGAGGTGGCTCTCCAGAATGGCCAAAAGATGCCAAAGTTGCGCGTCGATGGACCCTACGGAGCTCCGGCTGAAGATGTCTTCGAGAACGACATTGCTGTGCTCATCGGTACTGGCATCGGCGTCACCCCGTGGGCCTCCATCCTCAAAAGCATCTGGCACTTACGCGCCCGGCCCAACCCACCCCGCCGTCTTCGCCGTGTCGAGTTCATCTGGGTCTGCAAGGACACGTCGTCCTTCGAATGGTTTCAAGCCTTGCTCTCTTCACTCGAGTCCCAATCAGCATCCACGGCAGCTTACGAAGGCAGCATTGAGTTCTTGCGGATCCACACGTATCTAACGCAGCGTCTCGACGATGATACGACCGCGAACATATACCTCAATTCAGTCGGCCAAGACCTTGACCCCCTCACGGAACTTCGGAGTCGAACGAACTTCGGTCGGCCTGACTTCAAGCGCCTGTTCAACGCTATGCGTGATGGTCTACAAGATCAGAGTTACATGTCCGGGCTGTACGATAATACTCCAACACAGGTTGGTGTTTACTTCTGCGGTCCGAATGCCGCTGCACGACAGATCCGAGAGGCGGCATTGTCGACCTCGACAAAAGATATTAAGTTCAAGTTCTGGAAAGAACACTTCTAGCCTATGGCGATGGCGAGAACATAGGGAATGGGGGGAAGGAGGGCAGCGGGAAGACGAGACTAAAATCCCGTTCACGACATGATACCATGATTATTGACGATCTTTCCTTTTGTTTCATTTTTTCTGCAAGATTTTGCATCCATTTGACCTTCTGTACTTGTCTCACGATGCTATGTCCTGTAACATATGAGGGTAGATAGGATAGGTTAGGGTAGCTAGATATACGGCTCAGGGATAGTGCAAGAATTTAATCTCGTTTTCAATTTATGGAACGCTTCGTGCCATTCGTCGCGGCCGCTCAACTGGAAGAAACAGGCCTAGATAATACACCGAGGTAATTTACACATAATCTTCATGCTGGCATCTCCTCAACCTCACTATCATCACCATCATCAGGCATCCTGATCACCCCGCTCACGCCACCACTCAAACCCAGATCCTTCCGCTCCACCATCATCTTCGCCGCGAGATCATCCAACTCCTGCTCGATATCAACATGGATCCGCAACTCCTTCTCCACCAATACATTATACACGTGCCGCAGCTCGTCGAAATCCATCCCGTCCCCGCGCCGCGACTCGGCCGGGTACCTCTCCCGAACGACATCCGCGCGGAGATGCGTGAACGCCAGCATGATCAGCTCCTTGGACCACGGACAGGCCCGCATGCCGCGGTAGAAGACATCCTTGGCGCGGTGGATTTCGTGGCGCGACAGTTCAAAGAGGATGTAGAGTTTCCAGGTGGACGGGTTGGAGCGGACTGCTGAAGAGGACGAAGTCGCAGTCATGGACGAGGAGGAGTGGTGGAGGTTGTTCTGGTTGATGCTGTCGCCGATGGCTTCTTCGAAGGCTGCGCGGACGGAGTGCGCGGTCGAACCTGCGAAGATGGGCCGGTTGAGTTCGGTGTAGATGGAGAAGAGGTGGGTTGTGATTGGGATGGGCGGTTTGGAGAGGTTGTATGGATCGTCGTCGCGGTGGGGTTTGTTGCGAAATGCAGTGGTTGTGGTGATGTCGCGGACGACGGTGCGGACGCGGTCGTCGATCCGGAAGCGAGATTCGGTCCAGGCGAAAAGCGAGAGGAAGATCGTGTTGTGTGGAAAGAGGGCGATGCTCTCGGAGAGGAGGGCGCGGATGTGCGACGGCTTGTAGACGCGCCGGGTGTGGATGTGGTGGTACAGGAGTTTGGCGCGGGATTGGTGGAGGATCTCGGTGGTGTAGCTTTGGAAGGGTGTGGAATGCGCGGGGAGCGAGCTGAGTATGTTGAAAGCGTGGGTGTATGCCTCCAGGGCTTTGAGCAGGTCTTGGGCATTGGTGAGGTAGGAGAGAATGGCGAGGCAGTCTGTGCTGGCTACAAAGTTGGTGGCCTTTCGGTGAGCAAGGACCCGTTCTTGAAGTTCGGAAAGATGCTGGTTGAGAGCGTCAGTGGCACGAAAAGGTGGATTGGGGTCGGATGGTCTTACGCTTTGTATCTTGAGGAGACTCGTGGCAGTGAATATAGGCTGAGCTGAGTCTTGAGCTTGAGTCTGGGGTAAAGTATTTGGATCTATGTTGTTCTGCGGGATGCAGAGCAGAATATAGGAAGCTTGGGCCATATTGCGAGTCTCCAAAAGCTCCCACAGCCATGTTTGCCAAAGCAAAATGCTATCCATTTTGTCATGATCGGAAAATGTCCTGCTCATGGAGAGCGCAGTTGCCCACACATGCTGAGCAGCGGCCTGGTTGTCTGACCGCCACTCCATCAGCGCGTACGCGTTGTATAGTCGCAAACTAGATGACCTTTTTTTGAGTAGGGACTTTGCGAATTTCTTCGCATCTTTACCGCTGCACGCGAACTCGACGGCGAGCGCATGCTCTGCCAAGTTATCATTGCCGGGGTTGGCATCGACCAGCAATCTCAGTGCTCTTCGCGTCCAGACAGGAACAACATCGGACTCTGAATTCGAGGTAGCTTTCTTCCAAGTGTCTAAAGATGAAAACCATCTTTCTGACTCGGAAAAGAGGTTGTCGATTGTGCTGACAAAACTTTGTTGGGGAAACAAAAAGGGGGGCAGTGCCGTGTATTCATCTGCTGCAGAGGTGCGTGGAATCCAGTCATCAACCGTAGAAAATGAGGTGCTCATGATCTCGTTTCGAACGAATGGGTCGCCTGCCCAACGACCAAGCGTGCCCTGATTATCGTCTCTTATCATGGGTGGAAGACGACAGAAGAAGAGGAAACTATCAAGCAGCAATCTTGGTGAGGCGATCTGACAAATAAGAGTCAAGATATCTTCAAGGTCAGAGGCTAGAATCACACGATAAGGATCGTCCTGATCGGATTCATTCAAACTGAAAGCAGGCAGCCGGGCATGCATAGTCCTCTCTCTTTCACAAGATACCCATGAGAGGATTAATGCCTTTGGCTCGAGCTGAGACACGGGTTTGAATTCCTGCTGAGCGGGAAGATCTTTGCTGCCACTTTTCCAGCCTTTCGCAGCTACATCACCAACTCGGGCCACTTCAGACTCCCAGAATTCTAGGAAGCTCGACATGACTTCCTTGACATCCGGACTTTCTCCAAGGGAGTCTGGCCGGAAGAAGACTACTTCGAGAATTGCCTGCCAAAGTGCTGCTGCATGCTCAGCAAATCCAGCTTCGCGCATGAACAAGGTCAACCGAAGAAAGAGATACAGCTGGATCTGTGACTTCCCAGGGGTCTCTGGCGCAGACTGATTTAACTTCAAGCATTCAATATAGGTATCAAGGCATTGCTGATATGTGAAATTGAGAAATTCAGTCTGACGAAAGTCGAGATATTTCACCCAGAGGCTGATATACTGCGAATTCGACCGTAAAATAGCCTGCCACTGCGAAGAGATCTTCTTGGTATCCCAAAGCTTTGTACCCTCCTCAAGAAATCCAAGTAGAAGACGATCCTTGAATTCGCTCTGACCGACCTTTTTAAGGGCTTTCTCGTACAGAGACAATTTGATGTCAGCCAAACTCTGCTTTTCTGCATATGTTAAGGCTTTGGTCTCGTTAGCTGACCCGCGAAGCAAGGATTCTTGATGGTCGATGTATTCAAGCCACAGTCCAACATCTGCAGGATTCTTCTCTACGCCTCGCGACAGAAGCACATTTTTTTGCTTGATCTCCTCGTCTGGATCTCCTCGGATGCCATCCTCCCCATCGACCTCACTGTTTGACGTGGCTTCGACATCGCTGGGAAGGTGGTCTTCCGGTTTGGCCTTGCCATGAATTGAACGATAGGCATATTTGTCATTGTCGGTGTCAGGATCATCAGAAGCTCCGCGATGCTTTCGACTCTCGGAAGTACTCAAAGGTAGGTAGTCCTTGGAGAAGTCTGCAGCTGCGTCGAGCAATGACTGGGGCTTGAATCGAAGTAGTCGTGGTTGTTGTTTGCTAAGTTTCGAGAAGAGACTTTTTGCTTTCGTCCTGGAGGGTCCTTTCTTCTGTGTCTCGTTTCTGATGACCAGCTTGTCTTCCACGACGCTCTCTCGGTCTATACGATAGCTTGAAGGTAGGCCCAACACATTGCCTCGACCAACTCGGTAATACTCGGGAACGCTGTAGCGATGTAATGTGCCGTAGATCAGATTGTACTTGTCTCCTTTGAGATCAATGACGTAGAGATCCGACGCATCGTCCTTCGTGCCGCGGCGGTCCGCTGTCGAAGTACGGGGGTGGTCGGAGGCAGGGCGATCATGGCGATCCGCTTTATCGGAACGTGAATGATGTCCTATGTCTCTGTGTGTCCGGCGGCGCTCCCGTGATCTAGACCGATCACGGTGGTTTCTGTGTCTCGAGTGGTGCTCCGTACGAGACCTGGACTTGTCCTCTCGGTCGGTGGTGTCGCGACGCGGGCGCTCGAGCGGGCGATCAGCCTCGGGCGGAGGAGGCGGTTTGAAGCTGGCGAAGCGGGGAATTGGTTTCTTCTCCTGTAAAGACAAAGGGGTGTATGTTAGCTTGACAAAGCACGAACAATTACCGGTGATTTCGATTCATGACTCACCTGGGAGCCAGACGAATCCATACTCCTGGACTTTAAGGTATTATCAGATGGGAATCTCCGCCCTCCAACGGCGGCGGCGGGCGGTGATGATGGCATGGAAAAACTCCGCTCCCGCTTCCCGCACTTTTTTCCGGTCTTAAAAAAAAGTTGCTCCGAGCTTCACTGATTCCCACGGCGCCGGGGAAATTCTGCCCGTCAAACGTTTCATTCCTTGTCGAATTCACTGGAGGCGCCTATTGAGGGATGGGTGTCTGGTGCCGTTGTCGATCATCATAAAAACACGAAATTAGAATCATCGAATATGGCCTCGTCTCTCGCCGCGCAGCTCGCGCAGGTTGCGGCAAAGTCGACCAACCAGTTGGACCTCAAAGCACAGCGCATTTCGCATTCGCAATCTCTCATCTTCGACCGGAGAGTCGCTACCTCTCAGGACTTTGATACCATTTACTCGATATGTCACGAAGGCTTTCAAGAGTTATGTCAGCTCGACCCCCGATTCACGCCGTTCGAGCGCACTATCTTCAGCCAACAGAGCATGTCGGAAGACCGCACGGAGATGACTGCTGCTCAGAACAAGGAGCTCAACACAGTATTGGAGGCATTCTTGGCTCTAGTTGGAGGCAGACTCCTATTGAGTCCGGCTGTGAAAGCCGTCGACTGGCTTATCAGACGCTTTAGGTATGCCCACCATTTTCGATTGGGACATTTGAATGTTAGGAATATTGCCTCTCCATGGCTGAGCTGATTGTCCGATAGAGTACATGAGTACAACACTGAATTCACCATTCTCACCTTTCTGCCATATTATACTACTCCTCTGTTCTTGAGACTCCTATCGATAGTGCCCGAAGATTTGACGCCGACGTTCAAAATCTTGAATCCGTACAAGAAGAGCAACATCAATCCGCCACGCCACCCTCTTCTGCACAGCGCTACGACCAACAAACTATTCTTTGCTGCTATCAACAGATACACTCTCCAAGTTAGCAAGCAGCGGGCGCATCACCATGCGCTTTTGTCGTTTTGGGCCGGAATGATCACCGAAGCAGTTGCCGGTATGTTGGACTCCTCACGGTCTGGTCGGCGAGATCTCGAGAAAGAGAAGCATGAAGATGTCATCCTCAAAGTACTCCCAGTGCTAAACGACGGCTTGGCAATGAAGGATGTGTCGGAGCTGGTCATCGGTTGTTACATGGTCTGTGTCGTTTTGGCCAACAAGGCTTCGTTAAACGAAGATTTCCTCGATTCGCTCATGGAGGCTGTTGCTGGGTCATGGACAGAAGAAACCAGAGAGTCAGGCCTCATTTGCTTGTCTGTTTTGGCGCAACAGAAGCCAGACATGAGGATTCCTAAGCGGGCCTTCAAGGCAGTGCTCCGCTTGGAAGATCCAGTACAGCGGCTTACAGAGCTCTCCACCCAGTACAAAGCATCTCACCTGATCCTTGGGCTGGTAGCTGGCTGCGTCAGCGACCTTTCGAGACAAAAGGACTTGGCGCGCTTGGAATTCCTATCTCAAATCTTGAATGCTCGTCTTCTCGAAGAAACGGACACGGCCAAGGCGATGTCCCTGGTACTTCACGCCACTAGCCATGCCCATAGGGAGGGCGCCTTGGCGCTTGATGCCCAGACACAGCTTGCTGAGCTCGTGCAGCACTTCAGTCAGTCTGAATCCCTGCGGCCCATCTTCCAGAAGGCCATTGCAGAGTCCCAGCTGGACGTCGCCGCGTTGGAACATAACTTGCAGATCGTCATCGAGTCTGCCCCTGCTCCTAAGGCTCTAGAGGATGTCGAGATGGGTGATGCTGAAATTGAAGAAGTGGAGGATCAGTTCCCGTCTGCTCTTGAGTCTCTGGCTGAAAAGAGCTTAGATGTTTCGGCCCTTAGCGCTCAAACTCTGCCTGTTTTCGAGAGCCTCGTGCAAGTGTTCGCTCTTGGTGTTGGCTCTGAGGAGAAGCTTGTGTCTATTGTCAGCTTACCGTCCCTTAGGAAGACCGATGCTTTCAAATCACCACAATATTTCTCGTTCTTGACGAGAGTGTTCACCGGTTCCTATCCCACTGGCACTAGAGTCGCTGCGCTGAACCTAATTTCTTCGGCTCTATCTTCCGCACCTTCCGATGTCGACCTCCAGGCTTTACTGCCCTTCCTGTTGGTAGCACTTGCCGACCCAACTGATAGAATTCGACGCGAGGCAACAGACGTCCTGGCAGCGCTTGGCAGCCTCTATAAGAAGAATAAGAAGGCTGATATCAAGCCTTGGGCCTATGACGCCTTGTATGGCCAACAAACCGAAAATATCAAGTGGCTGGCCGGTCGTGACGCACAAAAGCTTGTGGAGCGTGTCTTCCTTCCTGGTTTAGAGGAATACATTCTGGATCAGGCTCATATCGGTCGCGTTCTGGAAGCCACGTTACGAGGATTGTCGACTCCTGATTCCGCAACGACTGAGATCAAAAAATCGCTTCGACTTAGTGTCTTCACATATCTGTGCTCTCATGCTGTACACATGCCTCTTCTCGCTCCCAAGCTGGGATTGATGAAGCTCCTCAACAGGATTGATAAGGCGGGTGGCACAACCCGTACCAAGGAACTCGAGCCTCTTCTCAAATCCTGGCGAGAGCTGATTGAAACGAAAGCCAAAGAAAACTGTGATAGGGAGCGTGTGTCGGTTGTTGAGATGGATGAGCAGATTGTTTTGACAGTCACCCCGAAGGAAAAGGATGCAATCCTTGTGCTCCTCTCGAACGTGAACCCTTATTCGACCTCCCTAAGATCTTCTTTCGTTACTTCAGTCTTCAACCGCATGAAGGAAGTTTGGGCATTGGTGCCTGAAGACCGCCAAATCGAGGCTTCAGAGAAGCTCTTTGAAATTTCGCTCGAGGAGTCGAATACTCCACTCGTCAATGGATGCAGAGATGTGCTGCGCAGCGTGCAACTCACGGGACCTGTGCTTCAGTTCTTCCTTCAGAAGATCCCTGTCTCTATCACTGACATGGAGTCTACTGGACCTGCACCGAAGAGGAGACGCACCAGCCAAACTAACATGGTTGCCATGACCATTAAAGACGAAGCTAAACTCAGCAAGCTGATGGAGAAGATGACGTTCATTCTGGAGCTTGTGGACAGCTCGAACCCCGAATCTCATCCTGAATTGGCTGATGGCCTCTTCCAGACGCTGGCAGCTCTTCACCACTTCAAGTCTCAGATTCAGTCGGGAATGAGTTACTTGCTCAGCTTGACTCTCGGTAGCCTCCTGGCCATTGTGAACAAGTCGAAGCAAATTGCCAAGGCTCAATTTGACACCTCAGTCATCCGAGCTGATCTTGTCGTCGATTGCGTCCGTACGACCGATAGCCCTCAAGTTCAGAACGCCGCCCTTCTGCTTGTTGCTGGTCTGTCAATCATTGCCCCCGAGTTAGTACTGCATAGCGTCATGCCCATTTTTACTTTCATGGGCTCTAGCGTTCTTCGCAAGGATGATGATTACTCCGTCTCTGTCATCGACCAGACTATCGATCAAGTTGTGCCAGCTCTTATTCAGTCTCTTCGTAACCAGAAGCGTGACGTGGTCTCTGGAACTTCCGAGCTGTTGTTGAGTTTCACCGCTGCCTTTGAGCACATTCCCGCTCACCGCCGTCTTCGTTTGTTCCATGCTCTGGTCACTAAACTCGGAGCCTTGGACTTCTTGTTCGCTGTTCTGGCTATGTTAGCCAATCGGTATGCTATGGACAAGGATGTTCTCGTTCTGATGACAGGTCTCGTCTCGGACGCCAGCGCTCCTGTTGAGCTCGAGGTATGTAGCTTTGTATTAGTTGAATGTCTCCATTTGTCACTAATAATCCTACAGACATACAGCAAGTTTCTTGATTTGGTCATCGACTCTCTCAAGCCCAAGCCTGGCATCTCACAGGTTCTGCTTGGAATCGGAAGTGATGATGGCCGTGAACCCCAAAAGGTCGCAGTCGATTTACTCCGGGCAGTGGCCCATTTATTCAAGCACTCTTCGTTGAAGGTGAAAATGGCCAAGGCTTTTGCAACAGACTCGGACGACCAGACGCTCCAAATCCGTACTCACTTTTCTCGTATTCTGGAGAAAGTGCTGTTTATTGGCGAGTCTATGCAAAACGTCAAACCTGTCAGCCAAGCGAGTGGGGATGTTCTCAGCGCTCTATTCGGCACTCTCTCTATCGTCGATTTCCTTGATACCATTGAAGTTCTTCTTGAACGCCCTGACGATGAACTTCGACGTAAGGTTCTTCGACTCCTGGAGGGTCGTTTGCGCCAAAACCCCGAGAGCGATGGTGTCTCGCAGAACCGCATGTTGGACTTCCTGCCTACGCTGGTCAGCATTGTGGAGTCATCGCCAGATATTCTGCTCAAGCATGCCGCAGTTGCCTGCATCGACCGCATTGCAGAGAAGTATGGTAAAAAAGACCCCTTCAAGGTCGCCAGTGCTGCCCAGGTGGTTGCTGGTGCATCTTGTATTGGTCAAGATGACGAGCGTATTCGCATTATGGGTGTGCTGTGCCTTGCTTCGATGGCCGAGGTCCTTGGCGAAGCCATGATCCCTGCACTACCGGATGCACTTAGTCGCTCACTGGAGCTGCTTAAGATGAGCTTGGAAACTGGCAAGGAGAATGCAAGACTGCACGATGCTGCCTTGTCGTTCTTCTCCGCTCTCTTTGTTCACATCCCTTACATGGTGTCTGCGTCTCACCTCGATGAATTCCTTCTACTCTGCCACAAGTCTGCTATTGCTGAGGAAGTTGAGAATGATAGCCGCGAGGAGACCCTTCGACTACTGGCTCGCAAGGTCGACGTGGCTGCGACTTTCGCTGCTGTCGATCGTAACTGGCAACATGCCGTGGAAACTGGCGCTGATGCCATTCTGGAGACATTGGAAGTCGTCAGCATCGCCATTGAGAAGCATCCCAAGTCTGCTACCGTCAACAACCTGGCAGTTATCACTAGCATTCTGTTCAAGGCGTTTGACCTCCGCCGCCAGCAAGTGTCCTTGGCATCGAACGCCACTTTCGACCTGTCACACTTGGACGAGATTGAGGATGTTGTCAACGATGTCACCATCAAGATGATCTACAAATTGAACGACACCACATTCCGTCCTATTTTCACCAAGCTTCTGGACTGGGCTACGTCCACTACTGCTAAGAAAGATACCCAAGGTAGCCTGGCCCGCCTCACGACCTTCTACAAATTCCTCCAAGTCTTTTTCGGCACCCTTCAGGTAAGTTCGGCCTATCAGTATTTTATTTTACGCATATCTAACCGATGCAGTCTATTGTCACCGGCTACGCAAGCTACATCATCGAGAACGTGGTCAAGGTCCTTGCCAAGGCCAGTCCTTCGAACCAGAACACCAAGAGTCTATGGTTGGCAACGATGCGCATGCTCCGAAATGCTTTTGAGCACGACCAAGACGGTATGTTGCATTTCGATCTCCTCGTTGGGACCCGATAATCTAACAGGTTCTAGAATTCTGGCAATCCCCTTCCCATCTCACCGCAATTGTTCAGCCCTTGATCTCCCAGCTCGCCCACGCTACCAACGCGTCTACGGCTGCCATTGTCATCGCTGAAGCCGTCCCTGCCATCACGGAATTGGCCGTCGCTGCTGATTCCACCGACAACCACAAGGAACTCAACACGGCGCTGATGCGTCTTCTCCGGCCCACGGCCGGACCTTCCGGCAAGGCTGTCGCTGGTGGCGAGAACCCTCACACGCGCCTTGCCGCTCTCAAGGCGGAGCAAGCTCTCACCGAACAGCTTGGTGAAGAATGGCTTGCCCTGCTGCCGGAGATGCTGCCTTACATCAGCGAGTTGATGGAAGACGAGGATGAGAACGTCGAACGGGAGGTCAGGAAATGGGTTAAGCAGATCGAGGGGGTATTAGGTGAGAGACTGGATGACATGCTCACTTAAGCCGGGGATTTGAAGTCCTGATCAGGACTTTCTTGTATGATGCCGGGTGGCGTACGTTGGAATGGGGTCTTGTGTAAATACTTCCTTCTTTGAAAAGTTCCCAGGATCTGGTTTATTTTTCTTTACTGATGTCGATTGTGTTGGTGTCTCATATATACCTCATCTTGTCTAGAGATTTTGTTTCGTTCTAGAAAGAAAAAAGCATGGATCGGAACTAATCGATTGGTGTCCTCTTGAGATCTGAGTCGAATGAGCTTCTAGCTTCATGATGTCTGATTCTGCCTGATGGCTTTGCCCATGTTCATCCGCTTGTTTACAAGGGAATCTACCCCGTCAAGCCACTTAACCCACGTTTTGCCATCTCCCATGGCCAGTATCCGCTTCATACGGGCATAGTCACGGACGTCCTCATCTTCGTCTTCGCTCTTGATCCTTTGGACGCAGTTCTGACCCCAGACTTTCCAGTGCCCCTTCGGGGCCGACCACGGCGCTTCGCCGTAGGCGAACGTGATCCACGCCGTGGCGAAATTCCGCGCCATCGCCTTTTCACCGTCGTTCAGCTCGTTATCGAGATTTCCGAAGAGATACAGAAGCTCGATGGCGTGGTATGCGGTTCCCTCTAGTGCATTCTTCAGACGGGACCGTTGGTCAAAGTGATAGAGGAACAGGGCGTTCTTGTCCCGCAAGCGCGTGCAGAGCTGAGAGGTGGCGTAGTTGGGGATTTTGAAGATCGCGTCGCCGCACATGTGTTCCAGGCGCGTCAGGAATTCGTCAGGCTCGAGGCCGGAAGACTCGACGCCGTATTCCTTGAGGATCTGGGCCGTTTCGTCCGTGTTCTGGATCTTGCTTAGGAGGGTCTGGAAGACCGTGTCGTAAGTGTCTGTCAGCATATTCAGATGGAAGATGATGCCTTCGTGGTAGACGTCTCCCAACATGTAGGCTTTGAGCCACTGGGGAGGCTCGCGCACCTCCAAGGGGTTCCGGGCGTAGAACCAACCGTCGAGACAGGAGTTCCCTGTGCCGGACAGAACACCTTGGATGGCGGCGGTGGCGTTGGCCAGTTCCTGTTGGGGGATTGCGCGCAAGCGGTCGAGGACATCTGGCGCTTGGGGGTTGACATCGAAATACCGGCATACCGCTTCGAAGTATTCCTCGTGTTGGGCCATGGTCCAGGGTGGGATGGAGACGGACAGGCCGGACATGCATACGGCGCGGTGGAAGCGCGCGGGCTGCGCGGCTACCAGATGGTTGTTTATGGATATGCCACCCGCCGACTCCCCCACGGCTGTGACCTCGTCGGGATCACCCCCGAGGGGTGCGATGTATCGCTGAACCCATTCGAAGGCGACTTGCTGGTCGGTGAATCCGAAGTTGCCGCATCCTTGATGGCCGTAGTGTTCGAGCTCCCGTTTGATGGCCTCGCTGGCGAGGAACCCGCCCAGGCCGACGCGGTAGTTGAAGTTGACGCAGACGATGGGCTTTCCGATCTTGAGGCTGTGGGAGACGAGGTTGACACAGTCGAAGATGGGAAGGTTGGCTCCGCCGTAGAGGAGCGAGCCACCGTGTACGTAAACGAAAACGGGTAGTTGTTGGCCGTTCGGAGCATGAGGGATTACGATGTTCATCACGAGCCCGTGCAGCTCGTCTACCTCTGGTAGCTCGGGGAAGTGCGCTGGTGGAGGCACTGGTGTCAGATCGTCCGAGTCGTCGCCTTGGAGCATTGGCCGGGGGACATCAGCTCTGGTTAACAGGTTAGTTGGTTGTGAAATCCCGCTGACGGAAAGGATCGGTTACCCTAATTTTGTCCCGTCGTGATGATTGTTCGCCCATGAAGTGTTCAGCTCTGACCGTGTCCATCGTTTGCACAGACGAGCGTACGGAATCCCGCAGTACTGCTGCACTCCATTGCCATATTGGTAGCCGTGGAGCGTTCCTAGCGATGGTATCGTAGTTGAACATTTGGAGGCTGGTGTGAGAAAAGACATGGCTGGGTCAGTGTACTGTACTTCGCCAAGAGCTGTATCGAGTTTGGTAGCCCTTTATCTGGGAGAATGATGTTGGAGGTAGTAGGATTTAAGGCAAACACAGCCATTGACCGCGTAGGCCCCATCTTCTCTTTTAGACAGTTGAGTGGATGAGTTAAAGTTGGACAGGACTATTCATCAACTGCCGTGCCAGTCACGGGTCTAACAACTACTTCCCCAAGATGGTAGTTGGAGCTAGACTCATTCCAGCAAGTCGACCCGTTCGCCCCCCCGGCCTATGGGTGTTAATGTTATCTACCTAGTATCTTCCCCTCATTCTGCATTTCACCTCGGCGCTATGTATCAGATAAGGGCCCACATGTCAATCAAGCATTGACTGCATAAGATAATCTCCTTTCAGTTTCATCTTCTTATCCCTTTCCATGTTACCGATCAGGAATGTCGACCCTTCGCCAACGTTCCCATCATGGCTGCTGGACATGCAAAGCCCGACGCCGAAAATGCGATAACACCCGCCCTAGCTGCCAAGCCTGCATCCAACGCGGACTTCACTGTGAAGGATATGGGGTTCGACTACGATGGGGAGCCGGAATTGCATCTCGAGGCCGTTACACTGGCGCAGAAGAGCCAATCGAAGCCTCCGTGCCTCCAAGACGCAAAGGACGACGGCGCGATCTGAGTCGCGAGAGACGCCGAAACCAGCAGGGCGAGGCATATATGGTTGATGTGGAGAAGGCGAGCGCTACACCATCTACATCGGAGAGTAACAGTGCAGGTTCCGCTTCCCAGGTGTTCTCCGGTGATCAATGGACTGTCCTCTTCCTGACACACTTGGTGCAGTGTATGATGTTAGCACCAATATCTCCTCAGAATTGTCCCCACAAGCATCTCCCGACGCGAGAGGAAGATCACAAGAAGACGAAGAATTGTTCCAAAAGTGTAATCGCTCACTATTATCACCGGAATCTGAGGGACGAGAGCTAAGTTTCTTGCAGTTGTGACTTCTGGCGTCAACACTCTACACTCCACAGAGACCAATGACCCCAGAAGCCTGTTGGGGGCTCAACTGCCCGAACTTTGTCAGCAGTCGGACGCATTATACTTCATCTGCCTGGCACTTCAAGTGTCAATAAACGAAGACATTAGACCTCGTTTCTTCGAATATTACGATGCAGCTCTGAATCATTTCAGGACGGAACTGGCACACAGTACGTCATATTTACCCGATGGAACCTTAGCAGCTGGACTTCTTCTTTGTAGCGTTGGGGTATGTACAAGTTCTCGTTTCTGCTGCTGTTTTCATTCTTACCAGTACCAATCTACTAGGTTCTACGTGGCACACCCTGGACTATGCACCTCCGAGGTATGTACAATATCATCCAGTCGCAAGGATTCCAAAACCTACGATCCGAGGTCAGTGCATTTCGTATACATTTATTTGAGGTCATGGGCGTGATGGATATCCCTACTTTCGCTATCGGCCGCCAGAATCCTTGTCTTGGTTTCTGGAGAAACCATTGCCGAGAACGCAACGATCCTACTCCAGTGAACTCAAAGTTAGGTCATGACGTCGAAGTGGTAAGCGGCCTTCCAAGGTCTTTGCTGGACATCTTCTCCTGCATAGGCAACGGAGGAGCCACCGAAGAGGAGTTTTGGGATTGGCCCGGCGCTCAAGGGACTTTGCTGCAGTGTCAACTATGGGAAGCTTACAGGTCAGCCGGAATTCTGGCTGTCAGGCATCGTCAATTGCATCGATTCGATGAGCTTTTAGTACCACAGACCGATAGCTCCCATCAGAAAGAGCAACGGAAACGAACTCTACCCACCACGGAAGTGCTTGTTTTGCGTATCTTCAGCAATCTCGATGCAATTTTCCGAGCAGCCAGAGAGCCTGGGGGAACAGAATTCTTACTCCTGAATGCAGTCTTTTACCCTCTGGTCGTTGCAGCACTACAGACCAGCGTTTTGAATGAAAGATCGTATCTAAAAGATTTGATGAAGACCTGGAGTGACAATCCTCATTATCCGCCTGGAAACGAACGACTCCTGCAAATTCTGTGGGAGATACTTGAAGAATGGTGGGAATCGGATCCTTTTAAGACGAGCATACACGATCTTGCTTATATGAGAGGACTAGAAGTTGCGTTGTATTGATTTGCAGGTTAAGCACATTTAAGAGCCGAGTTTCTGTGCCTGTCGAAACATGAGCCAAACTTTGACAGCGTCTCCATCGTCTATCAGATCCACTTCTTCGACGACCTCGAAGCCAAGCTTCTCATAAAACTTCACATTCTGTTCCGCTGTACACTCAAGGAAGATTGGGGCGTCTCGAACATAGTTCAGGACCCATTGTATCGCGCTCCTGCCTAGTCCTCGACCTTGGAGAGAAGGATGAACAGCCACTACTTCAAGATACCACAAGTCGTTTGTATTATACTTTGTCTTGATGGTATTGAGCGATCCTTCGTGAGAGCTGAGGAGGCTTTCCACGCGCTGTGGTAAAATTAGTATTAGGACTGGGACTGGACACGATCGCTGCAGCAGGGAAGGAATGCGAAATGACCTTCATATTTGCGCCATTATCTGTGACTGGGATGATGAAATCCAACAGCCACACCTTCGCAGCAAGAAGTAGACGACTGAGTGTCCATTTTGATTGACTTTGAGGCGGGTGCAGCATGATGGCTACGCCTGCATCCTCTTCCTCATGCAGATCTGTTGCCTCTTTGGCCAAGGCTTGATCTCTCAACGACATTCCCTTGGGTGGAAACAGACGTGCAACCTGGGGTGCTGGAGCTGATCGAAATACAATCCCCTCCGATATGAACCGTTGTACCCGACGATACTGCCAGTTGAAGGTGTCTGTCTGTTTCCTCACCCATGGGGCCGCAGCGGGCCGTAGCCATCTTATCAGAGGGTCATTCGAGAAGGAGAGGCTGACGGTATGTGCGACCGCGCTGATAGAGCGAAGATCTGTGGGAAGTCAAGTTGTGATCAAATGAATTTACAAGTAGCTCGTGGGGAAACGGTCTTACCATCATGGACTCGGAAGAGCTCTAGACGGGAAGCTGAAGCCATCTGCTTGTGGGTTGAGGGTTGAAAATGCATCTGATAAGTGACGAAGATACCACTGGCCTTCTTGGCCGTGATCACCCGGCTCTTTATCATTCGAAGGCAAGGATGGACTGCGTTTAACCTATAGAGCCAAGTTGTTTGCAGTGCTTAGAGCAATGTGTCGACCTTCCTTCTTAGGAAGTGGTATGTTGCCGCCGCGGTCGGGTCAGTGGATCATCGCCACCTGCTGTTATCTCCAGTATCACAATAGGGCGTTCGGACCAAGCACTAATGAGAAACCCCGCAATACTTAGATCTGCTCCTTGCCGAAGATCTCCACTGGATTGCTCTAACGAAGCGTCTCGATGGAAGTGGCTTGTTCTCACTAATCCCCTAGTCCTTTGAGGCTAATCCTATGCTGGCAGGTCGACCCCCCTGACCCGTCCCTGCCTCTCCTCATTGACGCGGGTTCATCAACCCCATATCGAAGATTCGATAACAACCACCTGTCGGATACTGTGGCGCTTTCTTATCTACTACACTCTGATTCGAAATAGGGCTTTCCCCGCAATTTGCTCTCGCCTTCAATGCACCCATGACCTCGTTCGCCATGATGATAAGGTTTATGGTCTTTAGCGAGTGATGCGTAGGGATAAGGTGGCCAAGCGCATCTTGCTACCTACGCTACTAATATGAGTCTGTGCCAGAGACTATATATCATGCTGGACGAGGAAGATACTGTGTTCAATTGAAGTGGCTTTCAAACACTATCTTCTGATAACAACTAACTCAACATTCTCTTATCCCACTCTGCTCTGGGCGGACATTGATGGCAGGCCCTAGCTCATCGCGTCAGGATCGAATGGAAGATGACCTACCACCAGGCACCTTTCTCTTCGTCAAGGGCAAGTCTTCACTTTACACATAAGTTAGAATCCCAAATTGCTGACTTTGAGATATAGCGGACGAGGATGAGACTCAGGCTCAGCAAGTGATCCTCCTCAGCCCGGTCCCCTCAAGCGATCCCAACGAGCCTTTGGTAGGGATTCCTTCCGAAGAAAGAGCGCATCCTTTGGTATCTGATTTGAATGAATGATGAAGAATTGGAGCACAGCGCGCAAAGCAGTCAATTTCACGCTAGCGCTAGCAGTGACATGTCTCATTTTCACAGCGTGAGCTTATCCATTGACGAAAGCCAGATGGTGTTTATGTGCTGACATTGTTTATCTACAGACTCTCGATTCAACTTATCTTCTGGCAACTGATGGTGGTGGATTTGAAAGTCACGTATACCCAGCTCAATCGAGCCATGTCTGTCAACTACGTTGGTCTATCCATGGGTTGTGTCATGTTCATCCCCCTAGCGAAGAAATTCGGGCGTCGACCAATTTACCTGATTTCCACCGCGTTCATGCTTGTGACTTCCTTTTGGTCTGCAGAGATCAAGACTCTCTCTGAGCTTTACATCACAAACCTCATCCAGGGCTTGGCTGGGGCGACGAACGAGGCTATTGTTCAAATTACTGTGAGTATGCTTTTTCTCCGATGAAGTGCTGGGCTCATATTCACCAGATTGCGGATCTCTTCTTCGTGCATCACCGTGGAACAATGAATGCTTTGTATATGACGATGATGATGATTGGTGTAAGTAAAGATTTACTAGTCCCGACTTGATGACTTTCAGCTGACACGCAGTAGAGCTTCTTGACCCCCATGGCGGCCGGGATGCAGGCGACACACCAAGGCTGGAGATCGTCCTATCGCACACTCGGGATTTGCAATGCCATCATATTTGTGCTGTTCATGTTCCTCTACGAGGAAACCAAGTATATGGTGGTGATAGATGGTGTGCACGAGTCACACGAACCCATCAACGAATCTCAGGTGAACCCCGATGCTAGCATCAAGGGAGATAGCAAGTCGACCATAGCGGAGGAATTGAGTCCCCAAGCCCAGGGTTCCAACGCTGGACGTTCTGAGATCGACAACAGCATTCCAATGAGAAGCTGGCGAGCGAGACTGGCACTCATGACCTACACACCGGAACCTATCTGGCCATACTACTATCGTCCTTTTGAGATACTCTTCACTTTCCCTGCCGTGTTATGCTGCGGCCTTCAATATGCGTGTGGTGTCATGTGGCTCACGATCATGTCGAGCGTTCTTTCCCTTGTTTTCCCTCTTCCGCCTTACCTCTTCACGCCCGAACAGATTGCTTTCATGAGTGTTGGTCCTTTTATCGGGAATCTAATCGGGTCGTTTTACGGAGGATACCTTGGAGACCGATCTCTTCGGTATTTTGCCCGACGTAACAAAGGCTATTTTGAGCCGGAGATGCGGCTCTATATTCTCCACATCCCAGTGATTGCATTATGTGGTGGGACCATCATGTTTGGGGTGACTCTAGATCGCGTGAGTGGTTAATATTTTCTAATCGAAACCGCCCTTCCCGCTGACATGTGGTTCCTTCAGGGTATGCATTGGATCTACCCCAGCATCGGTGGGGCATTATTCGGATTTGGCCTGGGCAGTATCAGCGACGCATGCTTGACCCTGGTCATCGACAGCCATGTGTTGGTAAGACTTCACTTCCAGCACAACGGATTGAGACAAGTGTGACTGATTGATGATCTAGCTCACGGGAGATGCCTTCACAGGCGTAGCCTTCATGCGCAATGTCTTCAGCATTGGGATACCGTTCGCGATCAGTCCGTGGATGGAGACCTGTGGACTCACCAACATGTTCATCGCTGTTGGATTTATTAGTCTCGGGGTAAATCTGATGCTAGTGGTGATGATAATCTACGGAAAGCGGTTCCGACGGGCCAAAGCCCATCGGTATCGGGAACTGGCCGCCCAACAGGGCCGGGGAACTTGACCGGGCCGACAGTACGCGAGTGATGCTGGTCGGGAAACACGCGAGGAGGCTGGTTGAGAGCGGAGAAAGTAGTGAAGAAAACCCAGCGCGCAAAGAAAAAGCAGAAAAAAACGTGCTTGAAACTCGGCTATGGGCGGATAGAAATGGAGCGACCGATGGGGTCTGAACATGTGGGAACTCCGGGCGGTTACCTTCGTCTGGGTCCGGATAACATAACGGCAAAGGATAATATAATGTCAGATATCGCCTGTGGTCCGATCAATCTATACAATGGTGCAATCACTGCACTGTGATGTTGTCAATTGGATTAATGTTTTTTTTTGTGTAGCCAGAATATGGGGGCAGACCCCGGATGACTCCAAGTGCAATTCCAATTTCTCTCTCTTCCTTCTCTTTCAGGAAAAGCCTGGCAAAAGTGCCTTAACCCGGCAGAGGCCACCAATGAGACCGCGTTGATGCTCCGTCATCGGCAACAGATCAAGCGAGTAACGCCCTTGTGGCTTGTGCATGTCATTGCAAGGGCGTGGATTTGCGAAGACCGTGGAGGTATCGATTCGTGGAGGTCAGATTGTCGAGGGAGTATCGGCTATCAATAGCGGGAGGACTCCTTTCGCAGAATCAGCCCCAGTTTGGGCTTAGATTCTGGGGCAACAGGACAGGTCTTTGAGCCAGGATGCCAGGTGGTGAGGATTTTCTGATGTTTCTCGTGATTGTGTTCAAGCTTCCGCGCAATCGAAGATCCATTCCAGACCGCTCGGACTCGTGATTAATAATGCCTATAGTCAAGCCATCTTTAGGTTTTCGTGTTAGCAACGCCAAAAAAGGAACAGTATTTTGAAAGACGAATGACACGAACCAGCCGAGGGTAGCGCCGATGGGAGAGAAAGAAGTGTAAACGAGATCATCACGATCCCGTGCTCAAGCCTCTCTCTCTCCCCATCGATCAGGCAGAAGAAAGCAGAGCATAAAGAGAAAAAGAACGAGTACGAAAGGGATGGATGTGTGTTCTGGAACTATGGGGGGCAAAGAGGTGCTGCGTCATCGCCGACTCGGACCTTTTCCCGCGGACATAGGCCAACAAACACCACCACTCCTCTACACGAGGGTGTGCTCGTCTTCTGCCGTAGGGCGTGACGCTTTTCCTCAAATGGTCTTTTTGCTCCTCACAAGCGATGTCAGCAAAGGGCGCGCGCGCGCGGACGCAACAACCGGGGAGTGGAGGGACCATTCCTCATGCAAAGCTAAAGCCAGAGCCGGACCACGGGCACGACTCGAAATGGATATGGGGTACGCTAGTCCAGAAAGAAAATATCGGATTTGCCAATGATGTGCCAGTGGGGGAGGGGAGGGAGGAATCACTTCGAATCCTGGACCACGTGCATTTGTCGCATCGCATTATGTTTCCTTGGATTCAACAGCCTGCGTGACTCATTTTGGTGAAGAAGTGATTGTCTATTTAATCGTAGACAAGGAACCCATGCTTGGTGTGTGGTGTTGTGTGGTTGATTGATCATTCCAAACCAATCTCATTTCCTCACTACTTCGTGAAAAGGACCTTGATAGTAGACAACTAGATAAGTCTACTATCAGAACGGAAAGCACCGGACATCAAAAGAAACATCAAGGCTAATTTGCTTAGAGTGGACTGCAAAGACTCCACTGTGCCTTTTTCCATTACTCAATCGCAACTCCGGCCTGTTTGTTCCCCGTCACCCCATATCCCTACATACTTGCCAATTTTCTCCCTTGATTTCCTTATATGGTCGCTCTGGGGCCAGGGATTTATTTGTTAGAGATCTCCTTTTACCGGTCATTGAACTATCAATCCGTCTCCTCCTTGTGTTACCATTGACTCCCGGGCATTAAAATCGCTGCATCTGCGTCTCCTAGCCGAACAATACGCTACTCAACCTTCTCCTATACTTCCGCGACCATCAGCAATAACACCCGGCCAAGCTGTCTCGGCAGACAGTGATCTCTCTACGATCATTTGCTCGTTATCGAGCAAGCTTTGCTTTCATAATCGGCGTTTTGAACATTGATCAATTGGATCAGCTTCCAATACCACAGACATGACGAGTTCTTCCAGTCTCTCGAAGAGTTCCAGTTCCCTCGGGCGCTTTGCGGTGCGCTCCCGCCCCAAAGTCAACATTGACCTGGATGGACAACAGGATGGTCTGGTCAATGTGTACACAACCGGGGACACTATCAAGGGGACGGTGACCATCAACGTGGACCATGACACTCGATTTGATGAGTTGGAAATTACCTTCGAAGGTATGGAAGATACCACAGCACGCCAACAATTCGTTTACTGAACGGTCCATAGGAACATCGCGAACCTCGGTGGAACGACAATCGATGCCTGGCAGGACCGGCGCTTATCAGACCTTCTTACGACTACGACAGCCCATTGACGAAGCCGCGTATCCCACGCCACGCATCCTTGAAGCTGGACGCAGCTATGACTTCCCCTTTGTATTCGTGGTACCCGATCGCCTACTGCCTCACGTTTGCAGCCACACCAAAACCAATGTCCATGTTGAACGTTCGCACACAATGCTTCCGCCCACTTTCGGTGACCCTATGCTGGCCCGTGATGGAAAGACGCTTCTGGATGACCTGACGCCAGATATGTGCCGGATCGCATATATCGTTCGTGCCACTCTGCAGAGAAAACCCGTCAGTCAGAATGGCTCGGTTAATACTCTTGCTTCTGTCGGAAAGAAAGTTCGGGTGATTCCTGTGGTGGATGAGGAACCTCCGCTCAACATCTCGGATGATGAGACCTTGTACTGCGTCCGCAAAGAGAAAGACGTCAAGCGGGGTTTCATGAGGGGGAAGCTAGGACGCATTGTGGTCGCTGCGCCGCAACCGAAGCCCATACAGCTGAACCCTACCAGCAATGATGACCCAAGCGTTGTGAGCACTGTGGCTACCGTACATCTGCGGTTTGATCCGGTCGGAAGCGAAGAACCTCCACGTCTGGGCACGGTCTGGAGTCGACTGCGAGCGACGACCTTTTATAGTGCGGATCCGTGGGGCGACTATCCTTCGACGACCTCCATCCGGACGTGGGCACAGGTAGGCCGAGGGATGTTCACAGAAGCTGTGCCACTCTCGACCATGTGTGTAGCCTCGGCGCAGTGGACCAAGCACACGAGCGCAGACGCCCCCCGCCGCGACTCCATGCAGTCGACTTCCTCGACGGAGTCTCTGCCGGGGCCGTCTGCTTCGTTCTCCGGAAACACCTTCTACACAGCTTCAGTGGTTGTACCAGTCACGCTGCCCAAGTCGAAGACCTTTGTGCCCACTTTCCACTCCTGCCTCATTGCCCGCATCTACAGCCTCGAGCTCAGTCTCTCTTACCACACCCCTAACGCGAACATCTTGACTCCGACGACATCCTTGAAGGTCCCTATCCAGCTGACATGTCAGTCGCAAGCGGATGCTCGGCCCAAGAACACCGCGATCGAGATCACGCAGGATGAGGTGAATGCCGAGTTCTTCAGCCCTCGCAGCGTCGCGCCCCGTTGGATCTCGGAGCCTGACGTTACACCTCCCGAATACACGGCCGTGCGCACTGCCAACCTACTTCCAGATCGTTCGAGGATACTTCCCCCCTCGACAATGGCCAATCCCGGGGGTATGAGAACGGCCTGCTAGTATGCAGGCTTGTTACTGCAACCCTGTTTGCTCGACGCACCTGAAACTTTGGCTTTGATGAAGGGCGTTATGACTGCTTTTGATTTTCTTGCAATATACCCAAAGGCTTGATGTGGTTTTGCTATTTATGGCTTGAAAAAAGTTGAATCTGGTTGACTCGATGGGATAATACTGGGTAGCTTTAATATACTATGATGACTAGATAGAACCTTATAATTAATGAATTGCTGTTAACTTGCTTCGGGCTTTGTGGTTAATTTCGTCGAGAGCATAGTCAGCACTTTCCTGATGTAGGGGGAATCAAGCCTGGAGCGGTAAGTGTCCCCTCTGCAGGAAAGGAGCACATGCTAACGGCAAACGGGGCCGGCATTGGGGCTACTTGCCTGTTCAGGCTTCCATCTGAGGCTATTCCCATCGATATCCCCGTCGGAGAGAAGGGTCGCACAAGCCCCTCCAACCATCAGCGGTGGCTATGATGGCTTGCAGCGCATGATACATTCACGCATCCACAGCAAACCTTCTTTGACCCGTGCCTGATTTTTGATTCACATTGTTGACCTTACAGCATGAGGCATAACAGGGCAGAGTTGGTCCAATCATTGAATCCATTAGACATCGAGCTCTCGTCCGTTCAGGTCACTCTGTCAGAGATAGAAGAGGACTCAAAACCATGTCAGCCAGGTGAGACGGTCTGGAGAGTCCTTTGACTGTGATCCTGTCCCGTCAGTCGTCAAAAAGACTGTGGTCTGGACCCATCATGGGGTCCCAAAGAGGTGAATAGTCTTTGTGACAGATCCCTCTCTGGGTGGGTAGGATGGTGAATGACCCAGAGATAACAAACGGTGAAGTGTAACAATGTGTGCATGTTGGATTTTACACTGCTGCCGACACAATTCACTATTACGGCAGAGGGACTCGACTCCGGGATGGGGATCAATTTCCCTAGATGTGACTATATAATGCGGTCAGATGTCTCGACCTCTCCGTCATTCTCCTCCCTCGTCAACCGTCTTCTCTCTTTGTCCGGCCTATTGGCCTCAGTTTGCGCGTCCTTCTCTTCTGCATCGAGTATCTTTTACCTCTTCTTTTTTTAGATAGTGTAGAACAGCGGAAGACTGCAATCGTCACTCCTTTTCATCGCGATGAGAGTCGACATTCCCTTTCTGCTTGCCTTGGCCTGGCTGGTCGTTTATGGCACTGCCATCCCTTCTCGAGCCCCAGCTCATGTGTCGCAGGGCCATCGAGGCCGCCATCTCCATCGCCACGGGATTGCCCTGCCCAAGCCCGTCAACTGTTCGCAGCCTCAGAGCTACAAGTCGGTTGCCTATTTCGTGAACTGGGTGAGACAGTCATCCTCCATCAAACCTCGTCACGGGCGTTCGCTGTGTCAAGATGACTGACATCTTTGAAGGCGATCTATGCTAGAAACCACAACCCCCAGGACATCCCAGCCGAGAATCTCAGCCACGTTCTTTACGCCTTCGCCAATATTCGCTCCGACGGAGAGGTCTATCTCACCGATTCCTGGTCTGATGTTCAGAAGCACTACCCCGGAGACTCGTGGAACGATGTCGGAAACAACGCCTACGGATGCATCAAGCAGCTCTATCTCTTAAAGAAGAAGAACCGCAGGATGAAGGCCATGCTTTCGATTGGAGGGTGGACATACTCGAGCAACTTCGCCACACCGGCCAGCTCTGATCAAGGGCGAAAGAGATTTGCGTCGACTGCAGTCAAGCTCATGGGGGATTTAGGTTTCGATGGGCTGGATATTGATTGGGAGGTAGGCTCCATCTCTCTTTTTGTGTCTCCGTATTATCTGCGAAAGCCCTATACTAATGAGATATGTGGGCAGTATCCTGCAAGTGATTCTCAGGCCAATGATATGGTTTCACTCCTGCATGAACTTCGCTTGGTATGTTGTTTCTCCCAGCTAGTACATGAGATCATGGCTAAAGGGCTATTCGCAGGAACTCGACAAGTATGGACGTGAGCACGCCAAAGGAAAACACTTTCTGCTGAGCGTCGCCTCCCCCGCTGGTTCGTCCTTCCCTCTAACCAATAGTTCTGCCAACCCGACCTGACCATTAATTCACATCTTCAGGTCCATCGAACTATAACGTCCTCCACCTCGCCAGCATGGACGTCCAGCTCGATTTCTGGAACCTGATGTCCTACGACTACGCCGGCAGCTGGGATACCGTTGCTGGACATGCTTCCAGTCTGTACCCTTCCGTCAACAATCCGGCCTCTACTCCCTTTAACACGGACCAAGCTATAACCGCGTACATCGCCGCCGGAGTCCCCTCCTACAAGATCAACCTCGGTATGCCAATTTACGGCCGTTCATTTGCCAACACCGATGGACCCGGCAAGCCCTTCAGTGGAGTCGGAGGCGGCAGCTATGAGAACGGCGTCTGGGACTACAAAGCGCTCCCACAGCCGGGGGCCAGTGTGACCGAGCTCAACGATATTGGGGCGGGTTTCTCCTATGATGCTGCACGAAAGACCATGATCAGCTACGACACGCCCAGCATCGTGAAGATGAAAACCGAGTACATCAAAAATAAGTGCCTGGGCGGCGGAATGTTCTGGGAAACTTCAGGAGATAAGAAAGGACAGGAGAGCTTGATATTTACTGTAAGTCTTGTCTCCTTCGTTGATGGGTGTTGGGCTTCAGTGCTAATGGTCTGAATTAGCTTGTCGACTCACTTGGCGGTACCAGTGTTCTAGATCAGACTGAGAATCAGCTGAATTACCCCGTCTCTCAATACGACAATATCAGGAAGGGCGGCTCCGGGACTTCCTGAGACTCGAACTCGGACTTATTTTGCTTCTAGTTGATGTTCGTTGCTTCCATTCATAGGATCTCGGCTTCGATATACCTTCCAGCACTGACAAGACCATTTACAAATTTTGAATGAGACCAATGTACTGCTCTTTGTGTAACAAGCTTGTTTTCATCTACCAGTGCCGAACGCATGAGTCTGGATTGCTATCTTTCCGACATCTTTCGGCTTACTATGTTTTGCTACTGAAATGTAAACAATGAAAATATGGCTAAGTGGTTAAGTGGTTAAGGCATTGATCTTAAGATCAATGACACAATTCATCTTGATTCCATTCATGCCCGCACTTCTCTTTGCACTGTAACTATACTGACCTGCCACTCAATGAAAGAGTGTAATGGAGATTAACCGATCCAAGTCAAATGAGGCACTCACTGTCAAGTACTACTAATTAGATGACATTAGTTTCCTTTCTATGTTCGATATCAACACGAGAAGAATGAAAAACAGCTTTCTCTACGTCACTGCCTCAGTCGTCCACTGACATATCTGTGTCCAGTGCATTACACTTATTGTTCCACAGAAACGGCCCAAAGCTCTTACAATTGAGACGGGCGATGATTAGGGACCCGACGAGGCAACACCGACCTCTTGATCCGCTCCTCAGTCACCAACATCTGCTCCGGAACCCAAGAGAGATCCGTCTGCTCCCCAGCCAGTCTGCCATCGTGCGCCAACACCATCAAGCCCACCGCTTTCCCACACAACCAAGCCTGCACCATGCCTTCGCCTGAGAACGCACACGATAGCCACTCGGCGCCATGAACATCCCCAATCACCTCATTTTCTCCACGGCTAGTAGCAGAGACCGGCAGCCTACCAATCCACGGATACCCATCCGCGCTGAAGCCCATATTCCCCGTCCAGGCGGCCTCAATCCCACCATCACCACCGTCTATAGCCTCATCGCCCCAGTTCTCCCAGTCGAAGACCCTGCGGAGCGCTCCACGCAAATGCCCCAGCGTATCAGCGGGTACCCTCTCATCCGACGCGACTCCCAGCGCCAAAACCCCTCGATCCTCATGCTGCGCAAACCCACCGCCCAACATCATCTTATTCGCTGTCTCAGATGCCGCTGCCCCAGCAGCGGGTAATTGGGTCAGGTAATCGAAGCCGCGCTCGTAGTTGAACAGCCACGAATGCCGGGTGCCCTGCGGCGGGAAGTCGCGTCCGGGCTTCTGCGCCGTCATGGTCCCCTGGATGGGGTAGATGCGGCCGCGCAGTCCGGGCACCAGGTGACCGACGTGCGCGTTCGTGCAGTGGACGACATGGCGCGCGCGGATTGTGCCCCGTGGGGTGGTTACCGCGTATCTCAGGCCTGCGTCCGTGGCTGCGTGCGCGTGAATCTCCGTGACGGGGGTCCTGGTCTCGATCAGGAGGTCGTTGGAATGTTGTTCGCATAGACGCGCGAGCATGCCTGTGACGAAGCGGTAGGGCCACATTGCGCCGGCTGGGCCGGCAATGATGCCTCGGGCGTGGGGGGCGAGGTGGAATTCCTTGAGTTTGGGGTTAGTGTCTCATTCCCGAATGGGGTCCAGTTTATCGTTTCCGTGGCGGAACTCGAGGCTTCAGAAGGAACGGGCGACTCACCTTCGGAATCGCATCCTTCTCGAAGATCTTCCATTCCGCCGTCTCGGCGGGCATGCACTCTTTAAGGCGCCGGATAGAACGGACCGTCTCTGCCCATTTGGCTTCGTCGAAATGGACGCTGAGGAACTCTACCCGCCGCGCTTGGGCTATCTCGCTTACCCCATACTCTTCCGCGACGCGCAGAAGCTCGGTGAGATGTGCGAGCCGGAATCGCATCGTCTTGATCGCCGCTTCCACGCCGTACGTCGCCTCGAAGTAGCTGAACTCCTCCGCTGTCTCCAGGATGTGGCCTCCGTTTCGCCCGGTTGCGCCGTGGCAGGCCTCGCGGCTGTCGAGCATGACGACTGCTGGTCGTGTCACAGCGGAAGAGCTCTTCCTGGTGGACGCATTCGCTAGTAGAGTTCTGGCGATGGAGGTCCCGGTGATCCCTGAGCCGATAATCACGACCTCTGCTTCTGGGGCGAGAGAGGCGGATTGCGCTGTTGCCAGCTCGAGGAATGGGGGCTCTTGCAGCCAGAATGAGGGCATGCCTCGGGGTGCTGGGAGGCCTGGGTCGGCGAAGGCGCGGTCTAGGGCTTCTTGACGGATTTTGAGGGGGACGTTGGGGTCGAAGAATGCTTCTTGCACGAAGGCCATGGTTGGGATCGCTCTTGCTACTAAGAATTTTGCGACTGGTTGATGTTCTGGAAGTTGTGGATATGGTGGTTTCACGATGCGATCAAGCTAAATACTGTAGCTGAACGACGTGCAATGTGAGTATCCATAAGTTCCACGTGTAGCTGACCATTGCAGATATCGGCGAGTCTGGCTAATGGCGGCACCACGATTGTCTGATCTATCAGTCTTGGTCTCGGGTTCCTCGCGTACCGAGATTGTTGATTGCGATGATAGCAGGCCTTGGGTTAAGGTTCTGGTGAAGGGTCGACCTGCCGGATCGGGCGAGGTGATAAGCGATTCCCCGCAGGTACCATTTTCATTGCGGGGTAAATTGCATTTGCTCACGCGAGATGGCAGTCGCGTCCAGCTTCTGCTTTGAGTCTCGCAATTGAGGCCTGGCAATTTTGCAATACAGATAAATCATGGCTTTGCCGCGGTTGTTCAATTGGGGCGAGAATTGGATGGAGAGTTGAATGTCAGTCAGTCAGCTCAAAGGACGACAGCCATACCAGACCACAACTTCTCATTCTCATCACCACCGATCCCCTCGCAAGCAACAACATGAGTCTCACTGCCACCGACTCTCCCGGCAATGCCTTCTACCCAAACACTCCCCCCATGCGTCGACCGGGCATGACGTACCTCTACCGCCTGGAATGCGACATCGATAAAGAAGAGCTCAATCTCGGGGCTCCGCATGGAGCGGGAGTGTTCCGCAGCATCGCGAACGTCGTCGGCGGCACCTTCAAGGGCCCCGAGCTGTCAGGCACCGTCTTGCCGCTGGGAGGAGCCGACTGGTCGACCATGATTGAAGGCACGCATGTGAGTTCTCGCTGTCTCTCCCCGGTTGATGGGCGGGCATTCAACCTAACCAACAATTCAATTCGCAGTCCATCACGCTCGATGCGCGCTACACGGCCAAGACCGACGACGGCCACTATCTCTACATCCAAGCCCATGGGCTCTACCGTCCTGGATCTGGAACCGCGTACGCGCGCCAGGTGGCGGAGGATCCTCTGTCTCGGCCGCCTCCCACTGTATCCCAGGATGATGTGGAGTTCTTCTCGCATCTGCGCATCGAGGCGGGACCGGGCAAGTATAACTGGTTGAATGGGCTGGTCTGCGTTGGGGTGATGACCTGTGTGGAGGATCGGATTGTCATTGATGCGTACTATCTGACGAATTTTGAGGGGGTGAAGCCGGACGATGTGATGATGAAGCCTGTGGGGATAGGTAGATAGTGATCTGTTGGGTTTTAGACCAGAGATGTGGTTTGGAATAGGCGGAACCTCGTTGACTCTTCCTATGCAGGGTCTGCAGTATAACATGCATACATACATAGCCACAGCTTAAAATGTCGTTGGTTGATATTCCATGCTTCAAAGCCACTACATCCACTAGTAATCAACCGAGGTATCCCAAACGGGCAAGTGGACGCACCAGGTCCGACCACGATAAGCCCCCCCCCCAAAGGCAGATCAAGTCGGGCCATCGAACAACTATATAACCACTCAACTAACCCCCTCGTAACCCGATCACTTCCGTATGCCACCAGCCACAATTGATACCTTCACAACATGACCATGACAATCCTCGAAACCCCTCCTCAAGACTGGCGCGCCATCGTCGCCCACAAGCGCAAGCAGCTCGACGCCCAAATCCCCCCGGCCTGGCGTCTGAGCGAGCACTTCCAGGCCTCCCTCCCAGCCAACGGCCACCTCCTAGCCTTCAACGCCGTTTCCAAAAGCAACATCCTTACGCCCGAGGAACTCGACCTTACCGAGAACTACACAGCGGGACAATTGCTCCAGCGCCTCGCCTGGGGCGATATCAGCTCCGAGGCCGTGACGACGGCATTCTGCAAGCGGGCTGCTGTTGCGCAGCAGTTGGTCTGTCTTACTCCCACTCCCCATGCCCCAATCCACTAGCCACAAAGTGCTTCATCTATACCCGGTCAAGCTTTGCATTCCACTGATGCAGGGTCCCACCACATTATAGACATCCTGTCTGACCGAGCACTTCTTCGATCGCGCTTTGGAACGAGCCCGGTATCTGGACGATTATCTCCGACGGGAAGGGAGGGTCGTTGGCCCGCTGCATGGGCTACCGGTGAGTCTCAAGGACAGTTTCCGCGTGAAGGGCGTGGATACCAGTGTCGGCTATGTTTCGTTTCTGAGCCATGGGCCGGCCAAGACGAATGCCGCGTTGGTGCAGATGTTGCTTGATTTGGGGGCTGTGTTGTATGTGAAGACGAATGTGCCGCAGACAATGATGGTGAGTTGTATCCTGTGACTTGCTTCTGTGAATTTGAGGGGATGAATGTTCTTCAGAGGCCAAGGTGGGGGCTTGTTTGTGGTATGGCAGTCTGATTGATGATGGTGCTCTCCCTCTCTAGACTGGCGACTCGGACAACAACATCTACGGCCGCACGCTCAACCCGCACAACACGCACCTGACAGCCGGCGGCTCGACAGGCGGCGAAGGCGCGCTCGTCGCCCTGCGTGGCTCCATCCTGGGCGTGGGCACCGACATCGCCGGCTCGATCCGCATCCCCGCCCTCTGCTGCGGCGTCTACGGCTTCAAGCCCACGACCACCCGCATCCCCTTCGGCGGCCAGTCCAGCGGCGCCATGGAAGGCCTGCCGGGCATCGTGCCGTCAGCCGGCCCGCTCGCACACTCGCTCGACGACCTCGAGCTCTTCACGGCCACCGTCCTCGACGCCTCGCCCTGGCGCTACGACAGCGCCGCCACCACAGCCCCGTGGTCCACCACCAAACAGCACCAGCACCAGCAACAGCTCCTCACAATCGGCGTCTTAGGAGAGTGCAAGGATTTCCCACTGCACCCGCCCGTCCAACGAGCCCTGGACAACGCAGTCGCCGCATTGAGGAAAAAGGGCCATCGCATCATACACCTAACCCCAACGAGCACCACCACGACAAAAACACCCTCCTCCTCCACAACCCTAGCCCTAGCCACCGACCTCGCGCACGCCAACCGCCTCGCCTTCCAATACTTCACCTACGGCCCCGGGACAGACCACATAAGTGCCAGCGGCGAACCGCCGGTCCCCTCCGTTGCGCAAGCCGCCTCCCCAATGTTCACAGGACCCTTCCCGATCCCAATGGACGCGCAAACCGACCCGTTCACCCTGATCGACGCCCTCCACAGCGCCCGCCAGGAATACAGCGACGCATGGCGCGACACATTCATCGAGAACCACCTGGATATTGTCCTCGCTCCGGGGGCCCAGAATACCGCCGTGGAGTGGGATACCTTTGGGTGGCCGCCTTATACCCTTGTGTGGAATTTGGTGGATGTATGTCCTTCTCCTTCCCTTCCCTAATTCCTTGTGTCTTGAGCGTGTGTGTTGGATTGGGTATTGAAGAGGGTACTAATGGTGGATGGGTGGATGGATAGTATCCCGCCTGCATTATTCCCTACGGCGTTGCGTCGAAAGATCTTGATCCTGAGCCTATGGTGGTCGAGGATGGCGTGCAGCCGAGTTGTAGGTTTCCCCACTCCTTTTGACTCTGTTCTTTGTCGGGGTTGTATGTTAGGTGTGGTGTTATGTGGGGGGAGAGGAATGAAATGTTGCTTCTGGCTGCTAATATCATGGTCCTAGATCATCCTGAGGCGGTGGACGGCGCCCCCTGCGCTATCCAGGTGATTGCGCCGCGCTTCCAAGATGAACTTTGTTTGGCGGCTGCGGGGATCGTTGATCGGGATATTCGGTCGTACTAGGACCTAGATATGTGTGCGAGAGCGCGAGGGCATAGGTGGTACTTGGTCGTTCAGATACATAGTTGTGGATTGGATCACTTGAGTATATATGGATCACATAGGATAGGATAACCGAGAAGTAGGAATGTGGTGCCCAGATAGCATAATAGTCAGCATCTTTGAAATGGAACTAAGAAATCATGCGTATGAAGAATAATAAAATGAGATGATGTCATTGAATCCAATCTAAGGAGGATACGCAGCTAGGCAGTGTCCCGACGGATAAATTACGATGATATCCGTGGTAAGAGCGGATAAAACCGTACTCAAAGATCGTCGACGGCATTCTGAGAATACCTTTTTCTCGTCTCGTACCGGCTTGCACCTCGCGAGGTGCAGCGGCATCCAGCTCAAGATCGTCCGAGAGAAACAGATGACCGAGCGAGGCAAGAGACATGCATCTACACCAATCTACATCCCAAAACAGAAGCAACGAGAGCGATACAAGCGGTAGGCATGGTAATCGATTATGGGTATCTAGAACCCTCATATCATGACATTATCCTGATCAGACGCCAAATCTCCTTCGTTCAAAATCAGTACGCCACCCTGGTGCGCATGTCCTGTGTCATCGATTAGTAGGATTCAGTAGTCCAAAGAGAAAGGAGGACTCACGGAAATCTTGCGCTCGATTTCGCGCACCGATCGATCAAGCTCACCGGCAATCATCATCTTCGTGTCATTAGGCAATAAGAAATACATCTCACACAGATCTCCGTCAATGACACCCTTAACAGGTGCATAGTAACTGCGGTAGATCAGGTGATCCCGACCAGCGAGAGGAGGATGCTGTGCAGCCAACTGCATCTCCAGGTTCTGGAAGAAGTCGACGTCCTCCCGACTGATGAACGGTACCAGCATTCCAATGGTACCTTGGAAGCCGGTCCAGACGACAATGTCGCGTCCTCCCGCCACCAGCTGCGTCTTATGCAAGCTAGTTGGGATGTCTTGGGTATAGACATGGATCATCAACTCCAACCGGTTAGGGGTTCCGTGCAGGTAACCACGTTCATGCATCAGGTGGGCACCCGAACCATCCTCATCCGCCTCTTCAGAGGTCTTCTTGGGGCAGCGCAGCAACCAAAGGTTGCCGAACTTGTCACCACCAGCAGTTGTTTCGTAGTCAACCATTGTAGTGGTGGTAGTCCAGCGTGACAGAGAGTCGTCCACAAAAGGAATCAGGACATTCTCCTGGTATTTGTAGACAACATAAGTGACACTCTCGCGGACATCGCTGACAACAATGCGACTGCCTTGAGTCTGCAGGCCTACGATGGTCGTCGGCACGACCGGCGCCTGGCACTTGCGGAGAAGTTGCTTCATACCAAGGTCATAAATTCGGAGCAAAGACCCAAGACCGACGACGAGGCGGCCTTGGAATCCAAGGAGGGCGAGAGGAGGATCATCAACCTTAGTCTTGTGGATGAACTCAAGCTCTTTACCGTCTTCCTGAAAACGGTAGATGTGAATGTATCCTCCAACAGAAGACTGCGGGTTGACAGTCATATCCTTCACGGTTCCGACAACCAAGAATGTTTCATCGTCTTGGCTGGTGAAGGGAACTGCTGCAACGCTGACTGCGGCCTCGTTCTCCTCCAGCTCCACGGTGTAGACGACCGACTTAGCTTCCAAGGGATCGACGACCTGGATGCAAGAGGCCCAATGGCCGGACCCCCGGGGATAGCCAAATTCTTCCGGTGGTAAGACATTTACCTCCTCGCCACGCGCTTTGGCGTCCTCAAGAAGCTGTGTTCTTGTGGCAGGTGCAAGGACATTATTATCAGATTCGATGACATAAAAGAGTGGCTGCTCTGGGTGTTTTACAAAGCGCCGAGGAGTATATGCGAGTGGGATTGACTGTTGAAGCATGTTGTTATCGAGCTTCTCAATGGAGAAAATCCTAAAGCCACAGTTAGACTCAATTGTGACATGGTGTTTTGATAGCAATGTTGCGACAATATTGATCTCAGTAGGAACAATTGGAAAATAATAAAGTTGATCCACATGAATATTCGGATCCCTTGTGTTCATCATATGATCGATAGGGGGTATGGGGGAATAGTATAGAGATGACGTACCGTAGATTTTGTCCTTGAATGCCAACCATGCCTTCCACACACTGTTCGCTCGAGAAGTTCCAGCCCCATTCGAGCCCGACATAGTCAAGTGGTGTGAGCATGAAGCCCTTCGTTTGGACATCAGAGTATCCCAACCAGGGACGAGAGCTGAGTGCAAGGACTGCTGTCTGGCCCTTGACAGACACTTGGAACAGCTTGACTGCCTTGGATCCCAAGAATCGGGTGCGAGTATCTGATAGTTCACCAGTGACCTCATCAAGCAATGTTCGTAGGTAGACGCCCGAATGCAGGCCAATATGCAAATATAAAGTAGTGCCTCCCGAGCTGGAGTCGGCCATCGACATGATGTTCAAAGCTGATGGAGCCGCAGTAAGAGCCTGGACAGACTTGCTTTCAAGCGTGGAATCTGGATCCAAACTAAGAATGCGAACTGTCGAGTCATCACACCCGACAGCGAGGAACGAGCTACGGACACGACCCTCGGGAACCTCGCCAAGACTCAGGCAGGTAACGGTACCAGACATTTGGCGACGTTCATCGTACTCAGCCAGGGATCCATCTGCATCCATCTCAAAATACACAATTTCTCCAGAACTCAACGCCACAGCAACCTGGCGTTCGTTGGTAGTAGCGGCGACGATTGACCGATGCTGGGGAGCAGGCCATTCGTTCACTCGTCTATCCGCCAAGATGTGACGAATACCACGAGGGTGGATCTGGATCAAGGAATCTTCTCCAAGTTGTTGAACGGCAAGCGTGGGGGCAGTGGAGAGGAAACCGGTGTCGGTCACTTCCTCGACTGTCTCGCCAATGCTAAGTACAAGTGTGCCGTTGGCGAATGAAAGAATGATGTAGGCGTCGAACTCATCCGCACGAGTCAGCTTGGTGGTCCACACCGCAGATGGGACACTGGGAAGCTCTGACTCAACGATCTCAGACACCTCTAGTCCGTGTTTCAGCGTTCTAAAGGTGCTGCGAGCGCCTGTGCCAGATATCGTGTAGATCTGGGGAGCATCATCTTCTGTCAAATTGGCAACTTTGCTGTCAATCAACGGGTTCAGCGAGTTGATAGTCTCCACCAGATTGAGATTCTCTGCGGCTCTGGGCTGGAAGTAGACAGGGTCGCAAGCCACCATAGGGTCCGGATCGAAATTCTCACTCGAAAATTCAATCTCCTCGTCATCATCGCCCAGTTTTTCAAACTGATAAAAGTGATGATTGCCAGCTTCGCTTGCCACATACAGGAAACCACTCTTGAGAATCAAGAGATAGGACGCCACAGGAACCGTGTCGAAGTACTTGATCTTGAGTCGTCGCACTTCGCCCGTGAGTTGACCATTGTCATCCTCAACCATGTCAATGGTGAGCTTGAAGAGATCACCGTCATCGGACTGCAGAAGGAAGAAGAATGCTCCTCTCATCTTGTGCATGACACCGGCAGTTACATGCCGCTTGCGCTCGGGGTTTTCAGTGGCACCCTTGCGCCGCGGGATCGGCACGCGGAAGGCATCTTGGTTGGAGTGGCGGTAGGTAATGCTGTCCTCCCCACAAACCAAGACACCACTGGGACCATCTGCACCGCCAGGAACCTGAAAGAGCATGGATGCGGTGCGATCAACAGGATCAGACCACTTGCGAACGACGTGGTTGAGACCGAGATCCAGCTCATAATACACCAAGTGCTTCTCGATCTCTTCGAAAGCACGTCCGGTCGGATCCTGATCCGACTCAGAATAGTCGACTTCCAGCGCCGCGAAGATGGGGTTTTCATACCCTACATCTAGAGCGGACATGGCAAAGACCAATGTCTGTGGCTTGTGAGCCTCCAGCGGTGAAGAGATCGTCAGCTCGGCCTGCGAGTTCCGATTCAGAACATAAACGAGCTTGTTCTTCTCGACAGACGCCATCATGCAGGCTCGACCCTTGGGATCAACCGCCAGGTACTGGCCGGGAACCACTCGACGGACACCTGACTTGCCAAAAGTCTCAAGGTGGATCCGATGGAACCTATTCTGAGCAGCGACATACTCGATGATGGTGATGCGTCCAGAATCCGAGCCAATGATAATATAATCTATAGGCAGGTCTCAGCACCGTTTTCACGACTAGCACCCAGCATCAAGTTCGCCGACCGGGGCACGTCCCATCACCGAGTAGGACGGTTCGGCACAGATGGATCATGCTGCCCGGAAAGCTTGGAAAATCACTATGATGATCTTGGACCAGGCGGGGGTAGGAAGCGGTGAGACATACCTTTGTTGCTACCAGCTAGCCTGAAGGCTGCCAGAGAGCGAATGATGCCAAAGACATCCTGGGAAAAGAGCGGAGTGACCTTGCCCTGTGTGGGATCGGGACGATGAATCGTCAGCTTCGATCCCGACGCCGTGACAATCTGCTGCTCCTTTGTTCCAGCGAATTGACCCAAAATGGCTTGCGTGACAGCAGTAGGAGGCTGGATCGTCAGGGAATACATGAACATATGCGAGGTGGTAGCCATGGTAGGCGAAGTGAGCTCTCACTGAGCTTGCACTGGAAGGAGTGGAGGAAAGATTTGTTGTTTACGTCACAATTGCAGCCAGGGAAGCACTACAGTGAAAGCAGTCCCATTGCTGCCGAGAAGGCAAATGAGAAAGGAGGACTCTCGCACACGAGCGTCCTCGCAAGAAGAGAGGGGGGAGACTGGGATGCGTGGAGGTCTTGTACGAGACAGGACACTTCCAGGATTAAAAGTGTGAAAATTCCGATGCGAGAAAGGAAATGAGCTTGCGGTGTTTGCTTAGTTTGTAGTGTCACGTGAATTACATACAATAACCTTACTCGCGCGCATAAAAGAAGATCAAAAACTGAGATACGGTTTCAATCCGTATTGCAGCACAGCCGGCATGTCCCGCCCACCGGAAAGGCGGACGACGGGTTTCTGCCCGCTTCCACCGCGGCGACGGTTACGCTATCGTTCACTCGGTGATTGGTAGCCAACTAGTTAGTCAAACAGATCAGACAGACAGACAGACAGACAGACAGACAAACCGTGGACAGACTGTCTGCTGCTCTCTTATCACCCTTAAGCTGCGATCGCCCACCCGTTGCAATAGGACTCGACAATTTTCTTTTTTACCACGCCACTTCTCATCAAACGATTCTCCTGCACATCCAGGCCTCTAAACGCGCCCAAACGCTCTTATTCCAAAAGTTCCCGTTACCGCCATTATTACCCCTGTGACGTGATCTTCCCCTCCAGCGATCTTCTCTTTCTCGCCCAACTGCCGATTCCAACGATTGCCACTTATCATGGCTGATGAAAACGCCCCGGCCGAGGATATGTCTATTACCTTCACCATCAAGTCCTCCAACGATGCCAAATACACACTTACCCTTCCTCTGTCAACGACAGTGCTGGACTTGAAGGAGAAGCTCGCGACCGCGGAGTATGCCGATACCCCCGCAGAACGTCAGCGCCTGATCTACTCCGGCCGAGTGTTGAAGGACAACGAGACGTTGGCCACCTACAAGATCAAGGACGGACACACAATCCATCTAGTGAAAAGCGCTGCTAGTAATCAACGTTCTGGCGCTTCCACCCAGAGTGCCGCGACATCGGCGCCCACTGGTGCTGCCGCGAATCCCGCCGCCACCGGTGTTCCCACGAACCTTGCAACCGGTACGGGCAACAACCCTCTTGCCGGATTGACGGGAGCTAGATATGCTGGATTTGCGCAACTTCCTGGTGCTGGAATGTTCGGACCAGATGGTGGAGTATGTACAGCTAAGAGTGTTTCATGGAGTAATGGCTAATTCACCTAATCGCAGATGGGTCCCCCTCCGGATACGGAGACGATGCTGAACATGCTCGAAAACCCTCAATTCCAGTCCACTATCAACGAAGCCTTGCAGAACCCCGCGATGATTGACATGCTAATCCAACAGAACCCTATGTTGCGCGACATGGGTCCCGGGGTCCGACAGATATTCCAGAGTCCTGAGTTCCGTCGTATGCTGACGGACCCCAGCTCGATACGCCAGATGCTTCAGATGGAGAGAGCTGCAGGCGGCGGTCGGGGTGGCAGTGCTTTCCCTGCCCCTGGCGTCACCAACACAACCCCTGAGGAGAACCGTAACACTCAGAACGACAATGGTAGCACACCCACTCCTAGCGCTCCGTTCAACCCGTTCATGCCTGCTGGTCTTGGTGCCGGCAATCCCTTCGCTGCTCTCTTTGGAGGAAACCCTGCTTTCGGAGGAGCTCCGTCCCCCGCAGCCGGCGGTGCTCAGGCTGGCTCCACGGAAAGAGCGGCCGACGGCGCCAGCGGTGATAACAACAATACTACCACTCCAGGCTCAGATCAGCAGCAAGCGCCCCAGAACCCATTCAGTCTCTTTATGAACCCTGCTCTTTTTGGAGGCCAGGGTGGGCAGGGTGGGCAGGGTGGTCTGAACCCCCTTGACCCGCAACAAAACCCTTTCCTCCGCGATCCGGCGATGCTTCAGCAGATGATGCAAGCCATGGGCGGTGCACCCGGAGGAATCGGCGCAGCTGGCAGTAACCCTTTCGCAGCGCTCTTCGGGGAGGGGTTCGGAACTCCTGCTCCTCAGGACAACCGTCCCCCAGAGGAACGCTATGCTGAGCAGCTCCGTCAACTGAACGATATGGGCTTCTACGAGTTTGAACGGAATATTGCGGCTCTGCGTCGATCGGGTGGCAGTGTACAGGGTGCCGTGGAATACCTGCTAAGCAACCCCTGAGCCCCACGTCCTTCCTCCTAGTGACCATTATACATCCTTCGAATTTTCCTATTCCTCTTCACATTTACTTCTTCAGGATGCATTGCCTGCACATGTTTGAACGTGGTATGACAGTTTGATATTGGCGGATTGGCGGTTCTTTTAATTTTTTATTACCCTTTCTGCATGCTCTTTCGATGGGGGTGAGGTTGAAATGGCTTGGGCAGCCTTTGTGTATTAGCTATCTCACGGCCTTGTCTGAAAGGGCCTGGTGGTTTGAGCCGTTTCATCAATGAAAATGATATTTCTCGCAACAGAAATCATGTTACGCAGTTCACTCACTATTCCTGGGCGTCTTGCTAAGAGGGCTTGTGCAAACCTCGAGGTTGTCGCTTTTCATTGTATTGAGCTGTAGAGGCGGACCGGTGTCCACGAAGCTTTTCTCGTTAATAAGCAAAGATCCACCTATAAACAGTTTGCATGTCAAAGCTTTACGAAGTCGAAGGACGAAAATGATTTCCAAGGATTAATAGATTGAAGAGCTCCAAGGGACCCAGCTGATTCAAGCTTTGGATGGTTGTTCAATCTCTGAACTGTCTCTTTCATCTAGGGACTCACTTAACCGCTTCCTTGAGGGATATGTCACAGGGTTCTACCTCAATCTACCTTTCACTCACATCCTTGCCTTCAAACTTGAAACATGCTCTCCCGAATTATGCCTTGTTATGCTAGCAATTGGCGCAGCTTGTCGCTACGAGGTTCGTTTGTCGACCAAATGGTTCTTTCTTATGAAACTGCTGCTGCTGGAGCGTCAGCGCCAGAGGGAGCAGGCAGCTTTTGCACGACTTCCAGGCTTAAGTCAACTATTTGAGAGCAATGACTATCACATCGATGAAGTCCGATGTTTGCTATGCTTGGGTACATTCGCAACCTGGAGCGAGGATACTGAAGTTAGGGAAGAATCGCTGAGATTGCGTGGAGCGCTTGTTCATTCCTTGCGCTTAAGTGGTCTGGAAGAAGTCGAGCCACACTCAATAAATGATTGGGGAGCCTGGGCAGAGCAAGAGTCCGCAAGAAGAACCAAGCTACTCGCGTTCTGCTTCCTCAACATTCAGAGCATCGTATACGGCCTGCCACCCATTATTTGGGGGCACGAATTCAGGCTACAGATGCCGTGCTCTTGTCCTCAGTGGACAGCACCAGATGCAACCACTTGGTTATTACTGCGGCAAGGTGCTGGAACTGACCGTAGTACTTCTCGTGACGCATTGCAAAGCTTGCTGTCGACGTCTCCAGATGCTTACCTTCGGGGCTGCGCCCCCACCCCTGTATCCAACTACGTCTTGCTGCACGGCCTCGTACAGATGATCATATGGGTACGAATGGTCCCTGCGAGCCTGGGCATGACTCCTTCGCCGGACTACCAGGTTCTCTTCCAGTAAACTCCATTCCCACCACATCCGGGGATCATAACAACTGATGAACCATTAGAACGGCTTTACGTAGATGGACGACCTTCTGGCAACGGACCCCCGAGTGAAACCTCCAGCCTCTCGATCCCAACGGGCCATTGCCTTCCACTTCCAGTGCGTTGCTCAGTCTAGCGTAATCGCAATTGCTCGCAGCATGACAGTTACCATTCCACTGGATCATTATCCTGGAACCCAGTGGCGGTAGCTGAACACCTTCGCTCGTCTTCACCCGCAAAGCAACAGTGGGACGAGCTTCTGGCGGCGCATCACGCGACACATGTCTTGGAGATGATAGTCAAGCTAGGTGTTCAGTATGTCAAACACAATCAGGCTTTGGTCTGGGGGATCGAGGCCGCGTTGTGCGGACTTGAATGTGCCGTCTTCCTTGCGAAGTAGCTCCGAGCGCTACAATTGTCCAGCCAATGCGAGTCATTGTCGGGTAAGAACAGGTCACCATCGCGAGTTGACTGCCCTCCCAGCATCGTATAGGGCCTGGGCTATGCTAATTTCAAATCTTAGAACCTGAGACGCTCTTGGTTGACTGGACCCGAAACGTTGTACTCGAAGGCCTGGCGTCTTTCCAGGGCAGCAGAGCGGGGCCTTCTGGGACTTCCGTTGGTGCTTTAGCAGAATACGTAGTCAAAGTCTGGTCTCATGTAATGCATGGGAATTCGCCTCGGTCGTTTATTCGGGTGATAAGGGATGTCTTGGATCAGTATAGACAAAGCGGACTGGAATAGCTTTGATGCAAGACAGGTGATTGTTGAGAGCATCTTATGATTTGAAAAAACTAAGGTAGCATGGCATCGTCCCTTGGATTAAATAGTATGTTGGACTCAAGCAGGATTTGTGAGCAACCCAGAGGTGAGAGGCTCTGATGAGAGGTTGTCACTTTCTCTTCGTCTCTGCAACCAACAGCCGGACCCGCTTTTGGAGATTGAGTTTGGAGATTTGGGGAAGTGGGGCGGGCATTTTGTATAGACTCAGATGATCGATCCCTCCACGACAGAGAATTAATCATCACCCTGTCAACCACAGCAGCTCACCACGGCCTTGAGAGGTATATAAGCCATCATGATACAACCCCGTTTGAGTTCTTGATTCTTCAACTCAAGCATACGCGAATACCACAAATCTCTTTTCCAAAATCAATAACCACCTGAGAAACAACAATGTCGCAACGAACCATCATCCGCATCGACGGCGAGAGAAACTCCGTCCGAAACATCAAAGCCTTCAGAAGCCAAACCAGGAGCCATCCAAGCATGAGGTTCTGAGCCGCGTCCACAGCGTCTCGTTGAACTTCCGAAATATCGCTGTAGCCACATCGCAGTACCCATTTTCGGTGAAGCATCGCGTCATTCCATGCTCGGACGCCGCCGGGTGGTCGTCAAGGTCGGTGAAGGAGTCAAGAAGTTTACTCCGGGGGACCGTGGCCTCGCTACCTTCGAGCTTGCCAATCTTTACGGTCAGCAGGCGAACTGGGAGAACGGCCAGGGGGCTCCGACCGATGGGGTCCTCCGCGAGTATATCAGTATCCCGGCCGCGTCGGTGGTCAAGATCCCAAAGGACTCGCCTCAGAGCTTCTCGGAGTGGTCGGCCCTCGTCTGCACTGGTGTGACAGTCTGGAATGCTCTGTATGGCAACATGCCTCTCAGGCCTGGGCAGAATGTCTTGTGTCTCGGTATGTACACTCTCTCTGAATCGCAGCGAGCAAGAACCAAGACTAACCACTGAACTAGGCACGAGAGGTGTCTCCATCACGGGCGTGATTTTAGCCAAAGCTGCTGGCGCGACCACGATCATCCACCTCGTCCAGCGACGAGAAGCTCCAGATGGTCAAGTCTAAGTTTGGCGCTGACTACGGTATCAACTACAACAAGCACGCGGAGTGGTCCCAGGAAGTCATGCGGCTCACTAACGGTGAGGGCGCGGACTACGTCCTGAAGAACGGCGGCTCCGGTACCATCGCCGAAATCTGAAGTCGGTGGGAATGGGTGGGAATGTCTTGGTCATCGGTTTCCTGTCGCAGGCTAAGGAGATGCCGGATGTTGCAAGCTTGGCCCTGGCGAAGGGCGCGGTGGTGCGCGGCATCACGGTGGGTTCGACCCAGCTTCTGGAGGAGCTCACTCGGTTTGTCGCTCAGAAGGGGCTTCGTTTGCCGGTGGAAAAGGAATTTCGGTTCACTCAGGAGGAGGCTGTCAAGGCGTACGAGTATATGGCGTCTGGGTCTCACATCGGCAAGGTGTGCATCAAGATTGTTGACTGCATGAACGTCGCGTGTAGAAGTGGTAGTTTTCTATGACTAGATTGACCGAATGTGGAGTGGTTGTGTGCATGCAACAACAAATATAGGAGCTGTGATGGTCATCATCATGGATGGTTGAATGTTTCTCCGGAAAAGGCGACTAAACCCGAAGCTGAAACACAAAGCTTCAATCCAATGGATCGACCTTCCCGGAGGCTACCTTAATTCCTTTCCCTGCAACCTGAACTTGAACTGACCACTCACTACTGCACCAAACCACACTGACCCGGCCCTATTCGGCTGCTTGTCTCACTTCACTTCCCACTCCAATCTTTGGCAGTCATTGCCTATTACATTCGTTCTCTTCTTGGCTGCATTGAGCTGTCAATCCCCAGGTTTCGCGTCTCCTGTCGCAATCTGAACCGCTGGATCTCCGTCGACCGTCGGACTGTTCCCCCTCGAATCGTGTTTGCCTGCCTACCTGGCTGTATTTCCCTTTTCCTAATTGATTATGTTTATTCTTTGAATCTTCTCTATATTATACAATCTTTTTAATCATCTTATCGCTCGAATTGACTCTTGGTTGATAAGGATCGGGCGGTCAATTCTGACAGACGTTGATCTACATCCCCCGATCTCGTATCCGCCACGTACGATTAATCAACCGCAATCTGCTGGTGCATGCTTGCGCAGGCGTACTTCAATCTCTGGTAGAGTGGCCGATACCTTTTCCCTTCCCAATTCAATGATGGAGTTTCGACAATTTTGGCGCCCTCATCGATGGGCCTTGTGGCTGTTGCTTACTTCCTGTACCTACGCATTCTACATCCCTGGTAGGTTACTACTGTTGCGACATCCCCCCTTCCATGCAGCTGACCCGTCGTTCTTATCGCTAGGATATTCTGTCAAACATTACAATGACGGCGAACATATTCCTCTCCTCGTGAACAAGATCTTCTCCGACAATACCCAGCTACAATATGCATACTTCGACCTGCCCTTCGTGTGCCCTCCCAGCGGCCGAACCCACGGCGGATCCCCGTTTGGCTCCGGACAAAGCGTGTCACTTAACTTGGGAGAAATTCTTCGCGGCGACCGTATCATGACCTCCGATTTCGAACTGCAGATGGGCCAGAACGTCGACTGTCGGGTGCTTTGTGAACAAGAGGTCGGACGGAAGGATGTCAAATGGAGCCGTCAACTGATCAAGGAGGGATACGTGGCGGAGTGGATCGCGGATAACTTGCCTGGGGCAACGAGCTTCGTGACCGTTGATGGGAGTCGCAAGTACTACGCTACGGGGTTCAAGCTCGGGTTTCAGGAGTACTCGAACATTGACGGCAAGCTACGATACTATATCAACAACCACTTTACTATTGTCATCCGCTGGCGGTCGGCGCCTGAAGGCGGCAAGGCCATTGTCGGCTTCGAAATTCACCCAAAGAGTATTCGCGCGGAGGATCATATCCAGAATGGCTGCCCGAAACAGGTGCATGAGGCGCATGACGGGCTTGAGCTGTACATCCCGCCAAACATCTCGAAACTGCGCGAGATGTACCCTGGATCGTCCTATATTCCCGAAGACGATGATGAGATCGACGATGGCGCCACCCTCAAGATTCCGTACACTTACTCGGTCTACTTCAAGGAAGAGAATGGGGTCGACTGGTGGAACCGCTGGGATCTGTACTTCACCAACCAGGAGGAGGGCTCGGCAACCCACTGGCTCGCTATTCTCAACTCTCTGACTATCTCCGGTGTTCTTGGGGTTGCGGTCTATGTCATCTGGAGTCGGACGGTGCAGGGCGATATCAAAGGCCGCGGAGATGGAGCTCTGGAGGACGGAAAGCTCAGGATTCGTGGAACGAAGTCAAGATCCTCGGAGCAAAAAGGTGATGGGCTTCTAGAGCAGGGCACCGATGTCGAGCGGGATGCGGATGTTTCTGATGACGAAGGCCTGGAAGACATCAGTGGATGGAAACTGCTTCATGGCGACGTGTTCCGGACGCCTCAGTTCAGCGGTCTTCTGGCACCGCTGATCGGCTCCGGTATGCAGCTGTTGTTCATGGTTTCGGGGCTCTTGTTCCTCAGTTGTCTTGGCGTGCTGAATCCCAGTTTCCGTGGCGGATTCGTCAGTGTCGGCATGGGTTTGTTTGTCTTCGCGGGATTGTTCTCCGGGTACTTCTCGGGCAGACTCTACAAGACCTTTGGAGGTGTGCATTGGCGCAAGAACACGCTGATCGTAAGTATCCCGCCTTCGGTTGTGGCTTCGTCACTAATTTATCTAGACTGCCTTGTTCTTCCCTGGCCTGGTCTTCTGCCTCATTTTCATCCTCAACCTTTTCGTGTGGGCGCAAGCCTCGAGTACTGCGATTCCTTTCGGCACTTTGGTTGGACTTCTGGCCCTGTGGCTGTTGATCCAGGTCCCATTGGTCTATCTCGGCAGTTGGTACGGCTATGTCCGCACCTCGCCATGGGAGCATCCAACCAAGACAACCTCCATTGCCCGGCAGATCCCACCTCAGCCTTGGTACTTGCACAGCATTGGCGGTACCCTTCTTACCGGACTGGGTCCGTTTGCGGTGCTGTTCATCGAGCTTCTTTTCGTGTTCCGTAGCCTGTGGCAGGACAAAAGCGGATACTACTATGTGTTCGGGTTTCTCAGTGCGGTGTCGACGATCTTGATGGTCACGATCAGCGAGGTGACCATCATCGCCACCTACAGTCAACTTTGCGCCGAGGTAAGTGATTCGCTTGTGTGAGGGGGAGCGTCGCTAACAGGATCAGAATTACCACTGGTGGTGGCAGAGTTTCCTTACCGGTGGAAGCAGTGCCTTCTGGGTATTCGGGTACTGCATCTGGTACTACTGTTTCCACCTCCACATCACGGGCTTCGTGTCTAGTCTTCTTTTCTTCAGCTACAGTTTTCTCGCATGCACCGTGTACGGCCTTTTGACTGGAACGGTTGGATTCCTGACGGCGTATGCGTTCATCCGACGTATTTACAGGTGAGTCATCTTGGGTCTGAGTGTCTGGATATAAGCTAACAATCAGCAGTGCAGTTAAAGTCGACTAGTCGACTACTTCCCTTCAGCACAGACATCGACAGGGGTCCGGCTGAGCCGCTTTGCAGAATTTTCAGGCCCGGCCGAACGTCTAAATCAGCAATGCACCACCCACTTTACTAAGATCCGATGTCTGTCTGTTGACAGCGTGCAATGCATGGCCTGTGGCCATTCAGCTGTCAACTTAAGATATATATATATATATACTTTGCCTTTAGCGAATTTATATCATCTGCAACATACCGTAAAGTGTAGTCTGCTGGTAGCATTACCTGTGTTCACGCAATGCCCCGACCGCGTACCCAATAACAGCAAGACTACGCAAACGGACCGTAGGTACCAAACCACCACGCAAGCACCACCCAAGACAGACAATCACACGGGCCACCCCGACAACAACAACAACAAAGGAAAGCACAGAGTCGAAAAAGAGTCATAGGCTCGAGCACAGACAGGATCTTCCCAGATTTCAGCGTCATTTCATGATAGTTGACTCACAATGCCCCTGCAAACCAGGACACCAGCACCACGACGTATACTCCGTGCATTAGCGGCGCCGCTTACTTTTCCCGATTCGGAACCCGACACTTGCCCTCGCGGCCACTGTAGCCTGGGGGTTCGAGTCACCTTTGCATTTGGCGTCTTCATACCGTAGAGTCAGTGGCAGTGAAACCATCTGGATAGACTAGGCAAGCGCCTCAGTTACGTGTTCTGGTCTGGTAGATAGTACCTTATAAAGTCGTTGTGCTTGTCTCTGTGCTACAGTCTGCTACACTACTCGTTGTTTATACATCGCGAACTACTATAAACACTCCACTTTGCTCAACTCCACTCGACGCAAACTCCTCCAACAGAGCAGAGCACATCAGGATAGTACCTGTGTCTCCTCATCCCCATCTACCCTCTTTATTCGAGAAATCAAGCCAGACAATCGAGTCGACAGCTGTTATCCTCGACCATCCCTCTGCTCCCTCTTACTTCTGGAAGGAGATACTATAAAAATGGCAGGCTTCAACACAATCCAACGCCCCGCCTCAGGACCGCTTAGTCCGCGACCCCGAACGGATCTCCAGCTCGCGGCGGATGCGTGGAAGTTTGTGGGAAGGCAGGTGCAGAAGGTTCGAAATCGGAGGCGGGAGAAGAAGGGTTCTGGTGATAAGACGGAGTCGGGGTCGGTGTTTAGTGAGGCGGAGACGATTGTTACGGATGGGGATCAAGGTACAATGAAAGAGAGAAAGGAGGAAAAGGAAGAGAAGGAGGAGAATGTTGAGGGGAAGGATGGGGGGAAGTGATGGCAGATTTCTTTCGTGGTATGTATTTCACTCATTCTGAATTAGAGGGGTGCTGATTCTACTGTGTTGATGCGCTTTTCTCTTTTTGATATCAGGCGGGTGGATGGTGTTTGTTTGATGTGGGTTTGGGGAGTTTGTGGTGCTATCTTGGGTGTTGGGTATTTGTATTACTCTGATTTGGGTTGGGGTGGACCCGGGAAGGGGGGTCCGGGGTTCTCCCCCGAAGATACTTATATTCTGGTTATAAGATTGAGTCAAGCTGGGAAGCTGAAAGAAAAGAGGGGTCCGGGGGTTCTCCCCCGGAACGCTATATAGGTGGTTGTGGTTCTAGGGTAGATGTGCTAGTGAGTTCAAATGCTGTGTTTGTGATATGGGTCTGCACATTGTTGCCATAATGAAAGTGCTGTCAATCATCGATGAGCTGATCTGCATCTCCATGTTAATGAGTATTGTGCTTCGCTCGGAAAAGTTTAGATAGCTTTCTTATGAGCACCAGCATCCTGGTATCGAGTATGAAGGCATATAGCACTTTCATCAGGGATATCAACGTTTTGCCTGCACATTTTAGATCGGATATTTAGCTCATTTGAATTCTCAAGCTCGAACAACCCGAGAAGCACCTGGCAATTCGTCAGCGAATTGTGGCGGAGATGAAACACATACATCACCCTGACGCTTTTAGCACCCGTCAGCAATGACAGCTTGTCAGACAGCACCTCAGAACTGATTCGAGAGCACTACTTCCGAAAACAAATATGAAGCAGACGCATATAACTCATGCCCCTGAGACACCAACACCATGATGACTAACCCAGCCGCGGCGATGGCGTGCTCGCGGGATGATGCCCGATGACGTTGAAATCCCATATACTACTCTCCTTACACAAGGCAGAGGCAGGAATGTGAAAACAGCCACCGCGGGCATAAGCTTACCTCTTCCCAATCCCTCTCACCAATACCAGGAAAGAATAAGGAGGAGTACAGACGAAGTTCCAGAACCACACAGACCGCACACAGAGCGGCAGCCGAACAGCAGTTAGATTAGGCTACTAGACGCCACACGACATTACGCGTTCTGCGGCTCAAGAGCCACGTACAAACCGAGCTCTAAACAAGGATCTTCAGGGGATCATCATCCGGGGTAGCAGCGTCGAGAACTTGCGCGGCAAGCGATGGAGCTGATAGGTTTGCATGGCCGGTTGGCGGGCGATGATGCCATCGAGCCGCAGTATTGGCAAGGCGCTACTTGCTATTCTCCGAGGTTGCAGAATGATCGGAGGTGGGATTGATATGCTTGTGGGTTCGTGAGAAAGATGGATATGATCGGGACATACGTCAGATTGTCCGCTTTTCTTGGGGGGATTGATCACGACATCTTGGTTTGCTGTGGGTATGTCGATGGTAGGGTCCGTGGGTGGAAGAGAGGTTATTGTAGTAGCTGCGGATATGTCGATTGGAGGGAAGTAGGGATCTGGGGAACTCGGGGATTATGCTTTGAACTCACAGATAGTGGTGGCCTCCAAGACAAATCCAATTGTCTTATTGCAATCTAGTCGGACAAACTCAGATATTGGGGCCTAGTCGTGGTGCGTGATTGTCTGTAGATTGGAATGTGGAAGCTCCTGTGTGACGACGACTGGCTGTGTCACAGGATTAGCAATACAGAGGTAATAAATTGCCACATTGGGTCGTTTTCTGCTGATAAGCCCGGTCTGACACTTTACGGTCTCTAATATCGTCGCTTTAAGCCGACAGTCTGGACTATTGGGACCATCGACTAGTACTAGTTCTGTCTCAGATGCCTCCGGGGAGCCGATAGCAACCGAGGCGTGTTGGAAGATTCTTTTCCTCAGTCCAGAAAGACGCGTACCACCATTCTGTTCTTATCTGACAGATCACAAGCAGGGAGCGATGATTCGCCTCGAACCTAGCTAGGCTCATCCACGAAAACTGAGACAATGCTTGAAACCGCGACTGGGCAGTTGCAGAACGAAACCTAAGGCCGCGCAACGATTGCCGACAGCCCCGGGTGAGTCAGCAGCCTCGTGACCGCAGCGGATCCGGGGATAGAATTCAACAACCAATGAGCGCAGTGCAACTTGAGCTGCCAAGCAGGCCAAGATCGGGGCCGGTGACAGTCCGGCGAATCCTAAATTGTAGGAAATCCACATTAAAGGAAGTAAGCGACTCAGGGATGGGCGGTGTAGAATGTACACTAAAAGCAGAACCCCAGGGGTGGAACTAATCCAATAGTTTCCCTATCAATCTCGCTTCTTTTTTGACATGTGGGTGTGTGGTAATCGAACAAAGATCGAGTTTCTCAGTTGTGTCGGAGGGTCCAAACACGAAAGAGAAGCAAAATCCTGCTGGCACGTGAGCAGCGCCACGCCTCACCCACCACTGGGAATTTGCAACCATCCCCGGAGATTGCCTCGCGTGGCAAATCATGGTAGAAAAAAAAAAGAACCTCAGAAACAACTGGCGATTATCGGTCAGTCACACCGTCGATCCCTATTGATACATGATAGAGATCAGGCCGGATGCAGGAGTAGATCCGCCTCATCTGCGAGATACCTTCAAATCCTCCCCCATTCACTCCCCCTACTGATGATCAGCAATCACTCTGCCCCCTTGGCGAGTATCCATGGATCCTCCCGCAATCACACCATCGTCCCCGCCGATGGTTCCATTGTTATGGTGACATGGAGTGAGAGAGAGCGAAAGAGTCGGACCGGAGGCTGAGAGAGAAAGCTCGACAGAGAGAGAGACAGAGGGAGATCGGCTGCGAAGCCTGATTCTGCCCGCATTTCCTTTTTTTTTCTCCTTCTGATTTTGCCTTTCTTTTTCTCCTGCTTTTTCTCCTTTCTATCCTGAAAAAGGCACCAGGACTCGTTCATTGCTGCAGTGGCCGGTCTCCACTTGTAGCCAAGTCGCTGTCTGGTCACCATTACTTATATCCGCTCTTTTCCTCCTGTTTAAACTTCTTCCCTTCCCACTCTCTTCTTTCCTTGTCACTCTGGTCGCTTCCACTCACTCAAGACAGACCTGTCAACGGACTACTGTCTCCGCTCAGCAGCTCGTCGCATTGCAAGCTATCCCAGTCTAGACACGTCTACACTCCCTTCCTCGACGGAGAGAGTCGCCCACCATGGCTGCGAAACGGCCCAACATCCTCTACATTATGGCCGACCAGATGGCGGCCCCGCTTCTGGCCTTCCATGACAAGGACTCACCCATTAAGACTCCCAACCTCAACAAGCTAGCTGAAGAGGGTGTGGTGTTCGATTCCGCCTACTGCAACGCGCCTCTATGCGCGCCATCACGTTTCGTTATGGTGACCGGCCAACTGCCCTCCAAGATTGGAGCGTACGACAATGCCTCCGATCTGCCGGGGGATGTTCCCACCTACGCCCACTACCTCCGACGCGAGGGTTATCACACTGCATTGGCGGGCAAAATGCACTTTTGCGGTCCTGATCAGCTGCACGGATACGAACAGCGCTTGACTAGCGATATCTACCCTGGCGATTACGGCTGGTCCGTCAACTGGGACGAACCCGTAAGTGTTCTGGAACTGAGGTCCGAGAGCGAGGAAATATTGACCCGAATAGGATATCCGTCCCGATTGGTACCACAACATGTCTTCGGTCATGGAGGCCGGTCCGGTTGTTCGCACAAACCAGCTCGACTTCGACGAGGAGGTCATGTACAAATCCACTCAGTATCTTTACGATCATGTGCGCCAACGCGGCGATCAGCCCTTTTGTTTGACCGTGTCAATGACCCATCCGCATGATCCCTATGCTATGACTAAAGAATACTGGGATCTGTATGAGGATGTGGAAATTCCACTCCCCAAGCACGGCGCAATTCCCCACGGTCAGCAGGACCCACACTCTCAGCGGGTGCTAAAGTGCATTGACCTGTGGGGCAAGGAAATGCCGGAGGAGCGCATCAAGGCCGCCCGGCGCGCATACTATGCCGCCTGCACCTACGTTGACACCAATGTCGGTAAATTACTGAAGGTTCTGGACAATTGTGGCTTGCGCGACGACACCATTGTGGTCTTCACTGGCGATCACGGCGACATGCTGGGCGAGCGTGGCTTGTGGTACAAGATGACGTGGTACGAAGGGTCGGCGCGGGTGCCAATGATCGTTCATTCGCCGAAGCGCTTCGCGTCTAAGCGTGTGTCGGAGAACGTATCGACGATGGATCTGCTCCCGACGTTTGCGGATCTGGTCGGCGCGCCCTTGGTTCGCGAGCTGCCGCTGGACGGCGTCTCGCTGCTGCCATACCTGACGGGCGGCGATGGAGTCAAGACCGATACCGTGCTGGGCGAGTACATGGCGGAGGGTACACAGTCTCCCACGGTCATGATCCGACGTGGGCGGTGGAAGTTTGTCTACTCGCTGATTGACCCTCCGATGCTGTTCGACGTGACTGCTGATCCGGAGGAGCGCGTCAATCTGGTCGCGGGCCTGCCTGACCCATCTAAGCCACTCGGTGTCAATGGCAAGCTGACGGGCCAGGCCGACCACCCAGCTCCCCTACCTACCCCCAATGACTTCCCGCGCGTCTCGCGCGGTCCCGACGAGGCCTCCTCCTTCCCGTTCCCGACCCCTCCCCGCACCCCAAGCCCATCGAAGCACTCCACGGTGCTGCCCGAAACTAGCGATCCCGCCAAGCTTCTCGCGCACTTCGTCGAGGAAGTGCACACTCGCTGGAACCTGGAGCAGATCCGCGAAGACGTGCTCCGGTCCCAGCGTCGTCGCCGACTAGTCTACTCCGCCCTGATCAAGGGTGTCCCATCCATCTGGGACTACGAGCCGCGCATCGACCCGAGCACCCAGTACGTGCGCAACCAAAGCAAGGGGGCATTGGACGACGTGGAGCTGATTTCGCGATGGCCGCGCGTGTTGCAGCAGGCGGCGAACGCAGTGGGGAGGGTGTAGACGACGAGGATGCACATTCTTCCATTCACTGAACTGATTCGATGATTTTTGTTTCTTTTCAAAAAGTGCCTGCTTACTTGAATTTACGCATTAAGCGAGGCGCTATACCCGACGTTACATACATTTTTTGTGCGTTGTTTGTTCGAGCATATTGTTTAGCTAGCTTGTTGATAGTGAGTTGATTGCCCTAGTGATGTGGTTTGAGTGATATGTTGTCAGGTGGTCGGTTGGACAGCCGTGTACAGTACATTGGAACATGACATGTATGTGTATAAATTGGTGTACTTGGTTTTTACCTGTCAATAAGACTGAGATTGATCTTATCTTCTCCTGGGTTCTACCTTTGCATTTACTGTAGTAATATGTAACTTGATAAACCATGACCCTGCGCAGTGGTGTCTCAATCACAAACCCACACTATAATATCGCCGCCTGAAATATATACCCAACCGTTCCCTCCTCGACCACCACTGACCATCACCAAGATTCCCCAACGATTGTCCAACCCTACCGGAATCACATCAAGATAAACTGCCCACACTCAAGTTCAAAACCAGCACCTGAGGAAACAACTGAAAAAAAAAAAACAAAAGACATGCTGAAAGGTTGAGAATCCAATCCGAGAAATAAACACAGGAAGCAAAAAACGACAACAGTCGGATTTGAACCGACGCCTCCGAAGAGAATAGATTTCTAGTCTATCGCCTTAGACCGCTCGGCCATATTGTCTTATCTGATTTATGTTGTCATTAAGATAATACTCATTCCTTTGGATAAGGGATTGGGGTAGTAGGTGTGATTGATTATACTATGGCGTTTCGGGGAGAAGGGGTGGGGTTGTAGAGTGCTTATCGGTTGCGGGGTGTTGAAAGAGAGAGTTTATTCTTCCTGTCGTGGATATTTGGGGTTGGTTATGGTGCTTGTAAGTGAAGTGATTGAAGTGGATATTTGTAGAATGCTGCACTGGTAGGATGATACTATGTAGATTGAATATAAGCGCTGTCAAGAAGTAAGAATCATAAAAATCGGGCAATATATGCAGAGAACGCAACGCTATGACAAGAATACCAACTCAGTATAATCACGACAAAAAGAAACGCACAGGTATCAACAGTCAGCCCATCGACTAACGAATGTACAATCTGTACACCCCTCCCCTTTCCCCTTTCCCCCCATTTTCAAACCCCCGCCCCCAAAACACCCCGAATTTTAAAGGGAAAAAAAAAAGAATCACCCCCAAACCACCCTCCTTATGCGAATATTCGCCAAATGCGCCACACCAACAACCTGCCTCACCAACTCCACGCCTCCGCCCAGCCCTTTCTTCAGGCCCGCACCGCCCTCACTCACAAACATCAAATACAGTCCGCGCTCCAACGCCGCATCAGGCCGGAATTTATCATGATACGCCTTCTTCCCCTGGATCGGCAGCCGCGCAAACGCATACCGATACATACTCCTCGTCAACCGCTCGACCAAGCCCGACGACAGCCCCTCCACCGTCCCCAGCTCCTCGAACGGCTCGTACCCCAGGCTCAGGTAGTTGCATCCCATCTGCCGCAGGAGCGCCATCGCGGCGAATAGCAGCAGATCTGAGATCCCCTTTGGACTGCCTGGGCTGGCGATGCATGGGTCCAGGTGGTATCCGTTGTGGGCGCCGAGGTAGCGGAGGGCGGCCAGGCCGTTGGGTCGGTTGGTTGTTGGGTCGCGCGTGTAGAGGTAGGTCATTAGGTTTGAGGCTGTGGGGAGGGAGAAGGGGTCGTAGCTTGTTATGTAGGCTTGGGTTTGCGGGTGCGAGTTTGTTGTGTTTGTGGTTGATGCGGAGGAGGAGGGGGAGGAGGAGGAGGAGGAGGAGGAG